CGTGAAAACTGTCAGTCGAATAGCGACGGGTTCAACGGGTAAGTTTCCAATGCGGTCCGTCGCTAGCCGTCGGCTAGAGATGTAGACAGCCTTAATCACGATAGCTCCAATTCGAAATTCGTCAATGATACTGTCCCATATTCGTTGTCTTCTTATCGAACACGTTTCCACGCACACTGACATATGCTGACGATAAAATACAGTATACATGTGCACATACAACAAACAATCGGACCGGAACGATGACTGTGAACAACGGCATGACATGCTTGCTAGGAACTTCCTTCGACCGACGATCGGTCAAAACAAATTCGTGTCGGATCAGGACGATTAATAAGGGTGAGATTCGGCCGGACGAACAAAAGCACAGGAAGAAGAAGAAGAAGGAAGAAAGAGAGAAGAAGAGTCGAAGAAAAGATCTCGTAGCATGCACGCTTACCTTTTGGTGGCGTCGAGCAACGCGCCCTGGAAGCACTTGGCACCGTGAACGAAGGACACGACAACGATGTCCGGTAGCGCGGACTCGACGGTCACGAGGATCTTGTCGCCCCTGGCGAGCGTGAGTGCGGACAGGGCCACCGTGTCCGCCGCCATCTTGGCTCGTTAGAATTATTGCTCCTCGCCGTGTCGAGGCCCGTCGTCTCTCTCTCAGCGGATGACGTGAGGAGCGGCTGGGGCTGCCTCACTCTCCTCCGTGTGTACGGAGGCCATGGACTCTGCGAGGCATACAAGGGGTGGGGGAGACAGGAGGGCAGCCTCTGCCTGTTTTCCTTGCTCGCTTACTCGCTCGTTCGCTCGCTTGCTTTCCTAGCAGCCACCACCGCCAGCCGCGCCGCATTTCACGTTCGTGCACAGCTGGGCGCTCGTGCAATACTGCGCATGCGTCGCAGACTTCTCCCACTCCTTCCTCCTTAGGACCGTACTTGGGCGCTGGAGAACCCTGGATTTTCTTCTTTATGTTCTTGTTTCGAAGTTATTCTGAAAAATAAAATTAGCAATATTAATAGTGGTTGCCACAGTGTGACAATTTATGATCGATAATCGATTAAATTTGATTATGAGTGAAGTACAAATTAATTTCCACATACAAGAAATTAAGTTTCTAAGAATTCCTTTGCTTAACGTATCGTCGTACGTCACTGCGTTACTTTGTGTCAGGACTGTAGAGATCGTGCAAAGTGCCCTTCTCCTACTACAAACAAACCCCATAGAGAGGGTAAACGTGTGTTAGAGGCTAAAACCTCTTACTTTGACGATATATCTTTCGTTTTGTAATTGAACGAACATTTTCCCTGGGTGATTAATCTTGTCCAGTCAACAGGACGTTAGCCAGCTGGTTTTATGTACAATTTTCTTTCACACGATATGTACCAGGACTAGATACACTCTTACACACATACTTTTCGGAAGCATTCTTTCTTCGTGGCATAGTGGGGATAGCTTGGAAGAACCATGATTCTCTATAGAAATATAATAGTGACAATACATAGTATTTTAATACTTGTAACTTTCTTAAATAAGAAAGAATTATTCGTTTTACATATGGCTGCAGATAAATCTTACAAAGAACAATATTATAGCTATGACGATTTCGAGATTCTCTTAATCGATGTTAATTGAAACATAGTTGAATTCGTTTCTTCCTAACCTTGTACACTTGCCTTCAAAACAATGCCTCTTTTCATTATTCCTTAGAAAATTTAAATACATTCTTACCCAGCTAGCAAACTTTAACAACTTTTTATCTATTTAAAACGTATGCTACATGTTCTTTATCTACTTCATACTTACAAAATTATGGAACTTTCCGTATATTATAATCTGTAAGTGCTGTTAAACCTAGAATAGCAACGCAGTTATGTACACTTGCGTTTTTATTAAGAACTTCGTCTGAAACTACTAAATTAATTGGAGTCACGTACAACGCTGTGTTACTAATTAAGCGCGAAAGAATTATGTTACTGTTCTAGGGTTAATGGTGGATCTCCACCGGAAGTGCGAAGGGAGAGCCGTGCATCGAGTAACGACAACAACGAGGCCGAAAATTATACGAAAAATATTACGAAACAATATAATTCCTGACAGTTTTAGCTACAATATGGTGACGCCTGACAAACGAGGTCGAGCTCTACTTTTCGCGAGCACGGAAGTGTATATGTATACATACAGCTTTGGTTGGCCTCTAGTTCACTAACTTTTCGTTTCCACGTGAAAAAAAAGACAGCAGTGACGGAGACAGACCGCCAAAGAAAATCAGGAGGTACGCCGTTACGGGGAATTTGACAGGGATGACCGTGAACTTGATTTTGTTCGCTGACCTCTGCACTTAAGCGTTGTTTAAACTTTCTCTGCCGCCCGGCCCGGTTTCATAACTTTAACAAAAGGGACATTGGACGCAGTATAACGACGCGGTCACCGAGCTTCAATTGCCAGAGACCCAGGGTCGAAAGCTCAACGACGAGGCTTAATGAGTTTTATCTGCAACTGACAACTTTTTATCGATACTATTTAACAAACAGTTAAGATTGTAAAATAATAGATATGCTAAGCCCATGCGGATCGGTACACATTCAAAGTAACCAGATGTACCGATTTATTTAATACAGAATTTTACTTCGATATCAAAAATTGTCTTGGGAAAATCTGATCGGTTTACATACTTACATATGTATGTAAGTACATGTATGCACATCCTCGATATTAGCTGTTCAGTGTCGATATTATTGCGCAACTCAGAATATTGCGCACTCCATATCGAGCGTTTAAGGTGCTCTTCAAAACGGACGCGAAATTGGAAAACTCGTGGATTAATAATTCTTCTAGGGAACAATGTTGTTTCAGCCGTAAGGCTTGAAGAAAAATGGCACCACTATAGAAAGTTACGACTGCGAACGGTACTCCTGAGAGTTGGTCCACAGTCGAAACTTGTCTGGATATTACTGGGTTAACAATAATTTCATGATAAAATTTACCAACATTCCCGAGATTTGTTATATTAAAAATAAGAAATGCAGCTGGCAATGTCACGTATATCTATTACTAGACCCCCATGAACGTTTATATTTTAACTACCACAGGTTAATCATACATATTCATAAGCTTGATACCTTGGGAAAGCAAGGATAACATAGTACATACATGTATAATTTCCACTGACAACCTTTAAAAAATCACTATATTTTTATTTCATTCATCAATTCTCATGTAAATTCGTGTAATTTATTTTCAACTGTAAATTCTTAGTTTGAAAATGTATCCTTTTTGCATGAGAAAAAACACGTTTACGTGATACAGAAAAAGGCTAGCGTGTAAATGTGTAAATACATGTATTATAACGGATATATCTCTTTTGTATGTGTGTCACCGGAAATTGAATGGTGTCAAACGTAACTTATCGTATTCTGATTGAAAACAAAATAAAATGCCATTTTGTTATTGTTTCACAAGTATCCACAAAACCGGCCTTGAAAAAATTGACAGATGCTTACGTTAAGTTTGCATATTTAATTATAACCCCTTATCTTTTGTCGATAGTTTGAAATTGTTTACCGTCTCGTTGTTAAACAATGTCAGAAAGACAAAATATCTATCCTTTATTACCTTTTTGTTTTTATATTTATATATATGTAATTTGCACCTCGTTATAACTCGTTAGTTGAAACAAGTATTAATAATTCAATCTCCGATTATTGATTTATAAATCAAGCCATATACATTACCTTGTAAATCAACATTGTGTATTGTAATACTAGAATACTATTAGTCGAAATTATCGATCTTTCGAGTATTTGACAACGGCAAATTCACAACGATCCTGTGAGAAAGAGAAGGGCGCATGGAACGATGATAATAACAATAATGAAGAAATCACGCTGGAGGGGTGAAGCGCAGGGCCGTATCAAAGTAGGGTGCGCTCGCGTAGGGTGCCTATCAGCTGGGGTGCGCACCGCTACAGTGAATATCAGAACGGAGCAGGGTCTCCAAGAAGTGATACACATATTTTACAAGTAAGTGGATAAAAAGAAAACTCGTACCTATTGCATATAATGTGTTACGTAATATGCACTCGTGCACGTGTAATTTGACGTATAGTGCAGTCTGAAGGGAAAAAATGAGGCAGACTTGCGGCTTCGCGATGTCGTTTTTGAATGAAAATATGCCGGTACTATGACAGAAAGTGGGTCGAACATCAACTGCGGTACTTCTTTTGTTATCGAGCGTAGTCGCTAATCGCTTAAAATCGGGAAACCTTGGATGAACTCGTGCAAAAATGCGATCATGCTAGTATCTTATCGCGATGTTACGTGAACAAAAAGAAACTGTGCACAATAGTAGAGAGGAGGATGAGAAAGTGAACGTGGGCGCACACGCGAACTGTTAAATCTGTGGTTTCTTAGGTTATGCCGTGTTTTTAACACGATTCGCAATTCGCGAAATGGGCTCGTAGTATACACAATACGCGCGTGTTCGATTGGCCATTGGACTCTGACAAACCAACTAACTCACGTGTATTACGATACTATATATTGATCGATGGATCGAATTCGGTATTGTTTGATAATTTTGTATTATAATTTATGGGACCGACGTATTACTTTAATGTCTCGCTGACTACTTAACGCATCGCTCACGGTAAAACGGTGTCAAATAATCGATAGAACCGTTCGGCTTGGTTACAACAATCGATCTTTCAAATATTCGATACCTACATACATAACGTTATTGGTTTTGTTTTTTAAACGGTACTAAATTTTTTTATTTTTTGTTTCTCGAGCATTATGGATAAGACTTGTATAAATAAGTGATAAAGTGATCTTTATGCATCAACCACATTCTGCAAAATACGATATTTGATACGTAATTAAAATTACGATGTATATATTAACGCATTGAATTATATAATTTCAAATTATCTGAATTTTTTGCAAATGGTTTTTCGTTACTGTAGATTAACTAGCATTTTGTCGAGTAGGTAAATAGGTTGAGACATAAAGATCGGCTTATCGGGGAAAATAAATGCGATAAAGCAATCGTAAATTACATTCACGGTCCTATTTAGTATTTTTAAACACAGAAACAATCATTCTGTGCGATATTAAAAGATCTTGTGAAAAGAAAAGAACTCACTTTGCGTTACATCGATCTTGCAATATTCGGTAAGCGAACATCATTCATACTGGCACCATGTTACGTGATAATATTTTTACATATTACATAGTTATTTCAGAACACACCGTGAGCTCACACCGTAGTCTATAAATAATATTACGTTAACGGACCTCGCTGACTGCATCGTGGTTTTTCTTTTCATTCTCAGTTTTCCTAAATACCTACATGCCTAACCGATGATGTTTCGCGTCTGTTGAAAGGGATTGAGGTAACGGTAGCCCTCGATCGGGAAAGGACAAAATGGAGGAAAAAAGATTCGACATAGACAAACCACTTTGGGATCTCAGCACCTTCGCAGGGAGATGGAAACATTTCGCATCGGTGACTGATTTCCGCACATGCCTCGTTCCTGAATCCGAACTGCACAATGCGAAAAAACTATACGAAGAATGCAAGTGAGTATCAAAAGGCGGGAAACGAGTCTATTCAAATTTGTCTGATATCAAACTGCGTATTTATAAATTTAAAAAAAAAAATGTCATATCAAAATCAATAATCTGTACCTTAGACTTGGGAAGGAACCACCTGGTACAACCCGAGAGCAAATGATCTACGCTAAAAAGCTTTACGAGTCTTCCTTTCACCCCGATACCGGTGATCTACAGAATGTCTTTGGCAGGATGTCCTTTCAAGTGCCAGGTGGTATGGCAATTACCGGTGCTATGCTTCAATTCTACAGGTGAATATTGTTCCTGTATCTCTGATTACTATCCTTGAAAAGCAACACGGATCGATCAATGTTCAGCGTATACTTTACAGGAACGACAGCATGTGACAATCGACAATATATCTTTCTTCCTGAAGATCCTTTCCCACACGCTACTTATCCCCGCCACGTTCGCCTAAGGATTTTTCTTAAATTGTATTTCCTTAATATTGGCTATATAATTTACAAGATGATCTATGCTCGAAGATCGTTATTTATTTGTAATAATAATTGCAGAACAACTACCGCCGTAGTCTTCTGGCAATGGATGAACCAGTCGTTCAACGCGTTTGTTAACTATACTAATAGAAACGCTAACAGCCCCACGACGGAGTTTCAATTAGGGATGGCTTATGTTAGCGCTACCTCTGCCGCTATGTTAACAGCAATAGGATGCAAGTCGTTCTGGGCGAAACGAGCGAACCCACTTATGGCGGTAATATAATTCAAGAGTCAAGATTCCTGGACTGAAGTTCAGTAAAAGGAATGATTTCTACTTTTAGCGTTATGTGCCGTTTGCCGCTGTGGCAGCTGCGAATTGCGTGAACATCCCTTTGATGAGGCAAAATGAAATAGAACAGGGGATTGAAGTCGGCGATGAAAATGGCAATAAACTTACAAAATCAAAAGTAGGTTGAAATGATTTTCTGTGTTTATTAACCCTTTTGCTAGCACGGTGGTCCCATGGGATATATTATTTTAATATATTTAGCAGTTTTTTGCCATTATAACATTTTTAATATGCTTGTGGCCCACTGGTGCAAGTTCAAAAATTCGCGTGGCAGCGAAAGGGTTAAAAAAAGAAATTCAGCGGGTGGGATAAATAATACCCTATGCGCGTGGATGAGCGAGAGATTTGGACGCGTGTGCTCCCGGATTAAGCATACGATTAATATTTTAGCTGGCAGCGATCAAAGGTATCAGTCAAGTAGTAATCTCAAGGATTGTGATGTGCGCACCTGGCATGCGTAAGTAGACATCGATTGAACGTAATCAGATCAAACAAAGATCATGTCTTAACAATATTGAAATTTCTGTGATCAGTCATTCTTCCGCCCATTATGGAGAAATTAGAGAAATACCCTTGGATGCAGAAGATCAAACCATTACACGCGCCTATACAAGTTGTGCTCGTCGGTTGTTTGTGAGTATTTTTATGAATATCAATATAAAAAATTTTAAAGCAAAGATGAATGCATTTATAAACATTTTCTTCTTAATGTTTCAGTCTGACGTTTATGGTGCCCACTGCCTGTGCATTGTTCCCACAAAATTGGTAAGCATGATTTCATTTTTATATCTTATGCACAAGTTAAGTGACAAAATAATACAGCAATCTAACGCCCAAGTATAACTCATTTGTTTTAACCGCGTCACTCTTGTTTTTATCGCTAGCGGGTTAACAAATATTCTATTAAAATTTACATATGTTGTTGTAGCTCGATTAAGTCAAGTAATTTGGAACGTTGGGAACCCGAAAATTACGAGATTCTAAAGAAGAATTGTAAAGGCAGAGAGATACCTACGCATTTGTACTTCAACAAAGGTTTATAATGTACGAGAACCGGTAGTCCCGATAAAAATCACTTCAAGAATGCATTTTCAGTCACCTTTTAAAAGGAATTATAGTAAGCCGATAAACTATGGAATTGAACGAGTTTTCATATATAATACAAAGTCGGGATACTTGTAGTTTTCTGCTGGTTCAGAGGATGACAAACGTTCCGAGAAGAACCCAGACCTATTATCTAGTGAATATGACAATATTGCATTTGAAATGATTTTTACTCATATGGCAATATACTTTATTCCTATTGTTTGTGCTAAGTTACGATACTTAAATACTCATGGTGCATTTTTCTAATCAATAATCGTCATTCACGACAGTGATAAACATTACAAACGCTGACAGTACATACTGTTAGTGAATGTAATTATTATACACGAGACGGTTTCGCACAGCAATAATTTGTCCCTATTTAATGAATTAGGCGAACATATCTGTTATGCGTTAAGCCGCAATATCGTAATCTTACACACCATTGTTAAATCGCTCGAAACGTGTATTAAATTTTTTAACGATTGTTGATATATTATTATTTCTACCTTTCTAAATGATTAAACAAAGCAAACAATGCTGTCATGTATATTTTAGTAATATTACAATAAACGATACAAAATTAATCTGAGTGTTTCATTTCAGCACCCTAACCTTATAATGAGCATGAAAAATATATTTCTCGTATTTGTAACGTAGAAAATTATGTATTAGGTCGAGAATGCGTGGCTTGATTTTGTTGCGGCATGTAACCGATGCGTTCTTGAATTTCACTTTGTGGCAATTTACCACCCCACGAGGGAGGATTGAATGTTGCTTGCCTTTCAGACTCTTTCTTGGCTTCGAGAGCTTTCCTCATTGTTTCGTATTCTTGAAGATCATCTAGTCGTAAGTCGATTCTTGTTGGGCTGCGTCGTATCATTTTACTGAGAAAAGTTCAAGACACCTTTCTTTTAGAAAGAAAAAGCTACTCTCCACCTCGATCGGTATGCAAAGAATGTCCGTAATGAAAGCCAAATAAATAAACCGATACTTTCTGCGCAATTATATGCAACATTATTATACGAAAAACTTTATAAGTATGTTTCTCAATAAATTGCAATTTTATAAACTATATCACAAACGTTTTGATTTAAATTTCATATGACTTACTTTTTCAGACTGGTTTCAAATTCAAATGGTTCTTTTTAACAAATACTACGCACATCGAGTCACTATATAATACCGTATTATTAAGTAGCACATGTATTGTTCAGAGTTAATGATATTAAATTAAATGAACAAAGTAGTTTAAAATAAGATAATAGTTTTCTATTGTTTTTTAAAATAGTTTCTTTGGGGCACTACATTTATGTAGGCACCCCTGAACATTAGGTTAAGATGGCGGATTCCAAGCAATAGATATCTGGCCACTAATAATTCCAAAATAAATAACGTTACCACAAATGCATAGATTACTGAGCCACGAATTTTCGCGAAAATGACATTTTTCTTACGATACTTTGTACAGATCATTTATAGATTCGCATCATTTACAGAAGTAGCGTGAAAATGTGGGTACAACAAGGGATTTGGCCGCCGTAAACACGCTTCCGATCGAGTGCTACAATTTTCGTTAATTTTGCCACGGCGGCAAGCACTCCCCTTTAGTAAATTGTAAATAATTGTAAATTAAGTACCAGGCAACGATACGTCAGCACGAAAGGATGCTTTACTTGGAAGATTATGTCGAAAGTACGTAAAAACGAGGCATGGTCTGCTTACCCAGCTTCTCAAGAAAGTTACTAACCTTCCCGAATATACTCTCCGATACAAACATCCAAAACTTTTCAAAAAATGAATGTCGTAGTAGATATTACATTATCCTACGTAATACTTTAAATGCCGCTTTGTATTTTTCTGTAATATTAAGTACAAAATAACATAAGCAGTTACTTGTCATGCAGTTCAATGTAAATTTTAGGTTAGTTATATGTTTTTTAAATGGTCAATAGTTTCTCTGCTTTTACCAATATATTTTGGAGTTAAATTGTAACTTGTAATATCTATTATGATTAGTATATGAATGTTGTAATGACTACTAATTGGATGAACACTACTTATTATCGAATAATTGATCACTTTTATTCATTTTGTTGGGTTATGTTGACCTTCTTCTTCTACGGTTTCAGTGATTGAGCATCTACCACAAGAATTAAGAGACCGATTCACAGAAATGAGAGAAATGGACTTAGGTGTACAGAGTATGTACAGCCTTGTGCAATATAAAACCTGGAATATATGTGTGCAATATATTTTTAATTGTTTTGGGATCATGCTAATAAAATGCTCCAATCATTGCAGATTCAATGGACAGTTTAGAAAAAAAAGTAAAAACATTTTTTTCAAATGCAAAGAAAATGAAACCTAGCGAAAAAGAGGCAGAGTATGAAGCCATTAGAAGAGAGTATTACAAAACTTTGGAGGATGCAGATGAAAAGGTGCACTTAGCCAATCAGATGTACGACTTAGTAGATAGATATTTGAGGAGATTAGATCAGGAATTGCACAAATTTAAAATGGAATTAGAAGCAGATAATAAAGGTATTACAGAAATATTGGAAAAGAGGTCGCTAGAGTTAGATCAACCACCAACAAATAGTAGTCAGAAAGAAAATCGGTATAGCTTTACATCATCCAGTAGGTCACGAGACAATCACAGTCATTGTAAGTATATTATTTCATTCTTAACTGTTATAAATCATACATAATTGAATATAGAAAATATTTGATAATTACACGATCTATTTTACAGCTCGGGCAGAGAAAAGAAGAGATTCAAATGCATCATCTACTTCGATAGAAAAACGCTTAGCTATAGAAAAAATATCTCCAAGTCTTCCTGAATCGCGACCAGCTTCCGCAAATTCAGGACCAATTATCGCCGCTACTAGCGTGCCATCCACTCCTACTGCAATCGCGAATTCTGTTGGTTCTGTAAGCTATAATCTTGGTCATATAGGAGCTGGTGGAAATGCCATAGCAGCTGCAGCTTCGCAAGCTATCGCTGCAACACAACAGATGCAGCATGGCAGACGTACTGCCAGTTTAAAAGCTAGTTACGAGGCCATCAATACTGGCGGTGTACACGCGGCTGAGTTTAGTAGAGAACTGGCTGGTGCTGCTCAAACCGCTATTGCAGCTATACAAGAAACAACAAAGAAGCATAAAAAGTATGCCTCTTCTACCAAGGAATAATACATAATTTACTGAAATCTTTCTTTTGAATGAATATTATTATGTATTTTAGAAAAGTAACAACTGCTGTTCCAAGTTCAAGCGTAGTTGCTGCCGCCGTTCAGCAACCAGTATCACCTCCAGTTATAACTACAAATACACAAGTAGTGGATTCGGATAATCCAGATTGGACGTATGATCCAAACGAACCAAGATATTGTATATGTAATCAAGTATCTTATGGAGATATGGTTGCCTGTGACAATTCAGATGTAAGCCGCACTTTTATCGCTCGTTGCGTCTCCTTACGTGCGAAACAAAAATATCTGATTTTATCAAATAATTCGTTTCGTTTAATTTTTTTTTCCTACAGTGTCCTTTCGAATGGTTTCACTATCCATGTGTGGGTATCACTGCACCGCCAAAAGGCAAGTGGTACTGTCCTCAATGTACATCTTCTATGAAGAGACGCGGAGGTCGGAAAAACTGATTGTACAATAATCAGTGCAAATACAAGGAGAAAAAATTGATACTACCTCTTAGGCACTGTCCGTCAAGTACCAACTTAGTTAGGAAGCTATTAATTCTGATTTTATATGACTTTTTAAATACGTTTAAAGTTTAAGTCATGATCTTATCTGGTCTTGGTCTTGTCTCACGAAACACGAATTTCTGTTTCAAAAGCAGAAAAAATAAAAGGCAGTTTTTTTTTTACTGCGTTTTTCGTAGGCGTAACGAAACGATCAGATGGTGCAAAAAGTGTGCTTCGAACAAATTCCGTTACGAAAAATATAAATATTGCAAATATTTTTTGTACTTTTTGCACCATTTCATTACCGCGAACACATTAGATAGTTTCTACAAATTTACAAATGAATTGCAATCGTCCCTCTGGACACGATACCACTCATTGACTGATACCAGAGGCGATTCTCACGATGAATTTTTCGAAATTTAAGTTTTTAGTTCCACGCGATGTCAGACAACTTTCGAGCAATCTTCGTGTATTTACGTACTTGTATTAGTTCAGATGTGCTTAGTGTCTCGCTGGATTGACGACTGTGCGAGCAATAACATTTTAAGTGTTCCACGCTTTCGGGGAGAAAAACGAAAAAAAGATAAAAAAAGAAAGAGAGAAAAAAGTCGATACAAACAGATTGCGAGAATACTACTTTCGAATCGAAGAAATGTAGCAACTTGATGTATAAATAAAGCGAATGATACAGATTTACTATTTGTGTCACTAATAATTCATACAAATTTCTCTCTACTATTTATACATTAATATTTTTCAGTCCTTTAGGTTCTTAAGCTTAGTACTTAAATTTTTATTTCGTCTTGCACAATTTCAAATGAGTTTCTTTGTTTTATGGTTTTTAGATCGCTTCCAATGGTCTAGTTAACCAGGTGTTCCACGAATAAAGCAGAATTTTATATTTCAAAGAGAATAATAGGAATAGTTTTATTAAAATGCTTGAAGCAGGCTCTCACATGTGCAAAGCTCAAAGTGAGAATGCGACTTCTCAACCAGAACCCTTATTTATGTATTTATAGCGCTGTATGTAACAGATATTTACAATTAACGAAAAGGAAAAACCAGCGTAATTATGATGCATAACGCAACTACCGAGAAGTCATATTTATTGACCTTCTTCGTTTTAACGCGCGTCTGACCTTCCATTTCGTTCCACTTCTAAGCATTTTATTGTGAAAATCCAACAACATTGCGACATCGTTCCACACGTAAATGAAGGCACAATCATGATCGGAAGTAATTTACGACAAATTGTTTGGCCGATTTATTTTACACCGTTTCATTGCCGCGACAAGAATTACTGCTCTTCCACCTGTGAAAGGCCGCGTGTATTATTTTCGTTCCGAAAGGATGTACGAGTTAATATGCTCCTCTAAAAGTTACCGCTTCTTCTATATAAATCAATGAACACCTGCTACTCTAGTCTTATTGTTCTTTGATTTTGCACAGCTCAGAATAACTTAGAAAACAGATAGCTGTTCCATAATGTTTGGTACCAGCTCGTTCCTGTTGTTTGTGGCTTGCATTCTGCGGTATTATGTCCTGGCGCAAGACACGGTTACCTTTGATAGTCCTACAAACGCTATGAAGGCGGGTATGTAAAGCGTTTAAGATTGAAATGATTCACCGAAGAATTTTTTCAAATTATTTAACAAATACCTAACTTTAAGGTGAAAACGGTTGTTGTTGTGTTCCAACGGGTACGTGTCCCTATACATCGACCACTGACATCGACATTCGTATAGTTAACCCAGTACGTACAAAATAGTTAATTTAGTACATTCTTTCGTTTTAATCGAATTTCTTTTTTGAATATATTATTTCATTTTCATTTCTTCAAGGGTTCTGATTGCTCTGCTGGAGAAGTATACTGTTGTTCAATGTCTGGAAACTTGGCTGACTCCTGTGGTATTAGAAAAATCGCCGCAACTTCGCGTCCCCAAGGCCAAGCTAGTTATGGAGCATATCCTTGGCAAGCTGTACTTTTAACTTCGAGCAGCTCTTATGCAGGCTCTGGGGTGCTTATTACTCCAAACCATGTGCTCACTGTTGCTCACAAAGTAGCCCCCTACACGTAAGTAAACTGGTTTTGTATTTAAATAAATTTCTTTACCTTAATATTTTATGTAAATATTACTGTCTAACAGAAATGGTGGTCTCAAAGTAAGATTAGGAGACTGGGATGTACAATCGACTAACGAGCCTTATCCATATAAAGAATATTCAGTCCAGAGAGTATCAATACATCCACAGTTCAATTCTGTTAATCTTCAAAATGATGTAGCAGTAATAACCTTAAGTGGTACTGTCCCTATCTCAACTAGTCCTAATATCAATACTGCTTGCTTGCCTAGAGCAATACCTGCAACTAATACAAGGTATACATAAAAATTTGAAATTTTAATACCTCTTCATGACTTTTGTTACATACATGCAATTTTTAATCCAGGTGCTGGGTATCAGGCTGGGGAAAAGATGCATTCGGTGCAAATGGCAGATACCAGAGTATAATGAAGGAAGTAGATGTATCCATTGTTGGTCAAACAACTTGCGAAGCTGAGCTTAAAAGAACCAGGCTTGGACAATCTTTTGATCTTAACCAAAATAGCTTCTTATGTGCAGGAGGGGAAACTGGAAAAGATGCATGCACAGTAAGTGTCTAAAATTATTTACATTTCATTTCATTACAGTTGTAATACATTCGTACCGTGTGTTTCTTCTAGGGTGATGGTGGTTCACCATTGGTATGTCAATCTGGCAATGATCAGTGGCAAGTTGTTGGAATGGTAGCATGGGGTATTGGTTGTGCAACCAGTAATGTTCCTGGTGTATATGTAAATGTCTATAATTATATTCCATGGATAACACAACAAATCAATTGAAAGAAATAGTTTTGGGAAACAGTACAAAGTGTAACTAATATTTAATTACTTATTCAATAATTTATTTCAAATATTATGCAATATTTTCATATATTTTTTAGATGTTTATACCTTTCAATTTTTCATTGTTATATATACTTTTTATAACTTATGTATTTTAAATAAACTTACCCTCATCTTTACCTCAACTTTCTGGGTTCTTTCCCTTCTTTTTCATGATTTTTCTGATTTCCTTCCAAAACAATTTGAAATATAAGGGTAGTGTTTAAAATTTTACCTGAAACATTGCATTTTTCATGTAAAATAAGCTTGATGATACATTTTTTAATCATTAAAGAATACTTACTCTATCACCTTGATAATTGATAACAGAAAAGGGATTGAATAAGTGCGTTTTACTTAAAACGTGAGAAGTTAGCACAAAATTTCAATAACCATGTTCATTCATGTAAACGTAAACCAATGAGTGCATTCTGGTGCATTCGCTACGTGAATAATGGAAGAGAGCTTATAACTTATCGCGTTGACGTTTGGAAGAGGAAAAATACTGATTGTTTACAATTTGTCAAGATTTGTAAAACCTTTACAAATACGTGAATGGCAATGGATGCCAACGTAGAAGAAGATGAAGCATTCAGTGAATTAGGTATAAATATTTATCCTTTATATTTCAGCTTATTAAATTACGTTTAAAAACATACAGGTTATGTATTTAATCCTTCACATATTGCTCCAAAATACGGAAACTTTTAATTGTCAACAGTTTATAAAACGTTACTTGTGTTCTCGATATTTTGATATCCTTTTATATCTTACATGTATCTGTAATAAATTAATATTTTTATGTCCTTATCATATTACATATCATGTTTCCTATATGTATATATTTTGTTTATCAAACAAAAATAAAAGTAATTCAACAACTTTCTGTTTTACTAAAATATCTAGACAACAGACAGGGCAATGTTGAAGAAGACATGCCTGAAGAAAATGTTGATGAAACAGCTGTATCTGAAAGCACATTTGATTTGACATTACCAGCAACACATTCTGTGAGTTTACAATAGATATCTAATTATTCAAATACATATTTAATTAGTGGTTTTTTTAATAATATATAAATGTATCACCAGTATTTAGGACATAACTTGGAAGAACTGAGAGGAAGGACAATATTAGATGATGGAATTTATATGAACTTGCCATTGTTAGTCAAACAGTCTGTTATGTTATTTCCTGGACAAACACTACCAATGACAGTGTTTGATCCACAGACTATTGACATGTTAACTGCTTGCATCAGAAATAACAGGACCTTGGGTGTTGTATGTTTGGGATATGATAAAATGGTACCAATAGGTACAACTGCAGAAATTTATGAATGTGTGTATGAGGATCCTGAACAAGGCTTTCGTTTGAAAGCCAAAGGCAGGCAGAGGTTCAAGATTCTGAGAGTTATAATACAGGTTTGTTTGTTAGAGATCTGTTATCAAACAACCCTGTATTTATATTATCATTGCTGGACTTAACAGCCGTATCGTTTAATTACATAGGGGTATGATAAAATATCAGCCAATGTAAAAATTCTACCAGAAATAATACTTGGACCACCATTTTGGGACGAACGTTTAGCTTCGTTAGATCATTTACGAATACGTCCAAGAACTGAAGAAGATTTTAAGAAGCAAGAAAAAATAGAAAATTTAGATGCTACTGTTACTCCTTGGCCTGCTTGGGTATACCGGCAATACGATCCTTTAAGACTTTCTTTAAAAATACGACAGCATTTACAGTTTATTGAAAGCAGTAAGTGTAATTGATACATAATATGTAATATTGTGAATTTCCTGATTAAAAATTATTTCAAACATTGAAGGAGGAAGCAGTATACCAGAAGAACCAACAGATCTATCATTTTGGGTAGCCCAAAATTTGTTACTAGACGATAATGAAAGAATTGTTTTATTGAATTATGATTGTGCAATTTCGAGACTACAAAGGGAGATCAAATATTTGGAAGATGTATGTAAAATCAATAGATTGTTACAATACGTCTTGATTTTATAATTAATGGATCTTTTTTTTATTTTGCAGGATAAAATATTTGTTTGCTGCGATTGTGATTCTTTTATTGGAAGGCAGTCAAAAATGTTTCCAATGAGTAAAGAAGGTCCACAGGGTACTTATTGTAATCCTGCTGGAATCATACATGAAACAGTAACATTATATCACGCGCAGGGTCTTACATTAAGTCGCAATCCGCCTTCAATAGAATATACATGGTTCCCAGGGTAATAATCATATTTTTTTTCTATTTATACACTTTGTTTTCTATGTTATATAAGTGAATATTTAATAACAGGTATGCTTGGACAGTAGCTATGTGTGAAAACTGTGGTGCTCATATGGGATGGAAGTTCACGGCAGTTCGCAATGATTTAAAACCCCGATCATTTTGGGGCTTGATACGTAAGAGTTTGAAAAACAAAGACAAGTGAGCAAATAATTTAATCAGTACATTAAACTGAACGAGAAATCTGAAGATTAGTTTAACAAACCTGGTGCATATTTCCAATAGTGTGTTGGCGTTATATCGCTGCCTGTATTTATGCTACTTAATTTCCTTGAGCTTTTAGTAGCAATAATATTAATTTCTTTAATATAAAAAAAGAGACCACATAACATTAAGGCAATTATTTATCATGAACTTCCAATTGACTGAGGTACAGATAATAATTTTTAAAATTTGTACATACGCAGAATTTTATTTTGAAGGAATTATTTCTTATTTATATAAACTTAGAAAAGTACCGTTTGAAGAGATCAGTGAACATTTAAAGGAAGAATATAAATTGTTTTTGCAAAATGATTTATTCTGCTTACGTATGTTTCGATGAGCGTTTAAATAACATATAATCCTTAATTTAAACTTTTGTATAACTAGTCATCATGAAACATGTACATACAGTACCGAACATGATAGACTTCTCCAGGGAAAATGTCAATGCCCAGGTCAACCCCCTTCCCCCGTAAGCTTCCCCGGCTTTGAAAACTTCTGCTTTCCCTATAAAATCATTTTCTCTAGAAAAGTCTACTTTGCTCGATACCGTACATCCAACATAACATTGGGATACTAACATAAGAATTTGTTAATATATCTTGCATATGGAGTATTTCATATTAGGATTCGTTGTGTAGTAATTAAAAACGTTTTTTACAGTATAATGTTTTCACTTGAAACAATGAGATAAAAATAAAACCTAACGGAAAGTTGAAGTGATATCAGTTTTCCTTACCTGTGTGTAATATGTATGTAAATCTTGTTTTTACATCATTACTCAAGGAATGCGTGCGTATTGCAAAATATGTTTAACGTTGTATTATTTATCATTGTACTGATCTTCAATAACTATATACAAGTTATAAACAAACATATAATACATGTTAATGGAATATGATATTTTGTTATTTGTACATCAGAATTTAATAAATGTGAATTTAACGTGAAATGAGTAGTTATTTTCAAATTGATATTCATGGAAATATTTTTATTTCAGAGCGAAATTTAATTAAACTGGGGGGAAACGAAAGGATCTAGTGAATTAAAACGTGTTTCTTCGTTCATTTCTTGCGCATGTCGTATATTTCTCGGTTACCTTAACTCAATTAAATTTATTATAATTATATCTTCATTATCTCAATCATTCTCTTGTGTATGTATCATGGTTGTTCAGCCGCGTTCAAATAGCAGATACGTTTAACAATCTGCTATAAAATGTTAACCATTCGACGATAACGCTTCGTATTATAGTACTATCATTCAGACATAGTTTGTTACACATCGGTATTTATTTTGTATATGTTCGAGATTCCGATACACTATTTATGTTTATCATCTCGACAGTTGCTCGTAGTTTCCTGAATCCTATGTATGTCTGATTGGTATATCAATTTTTATAAGATGTGACTTCATGATACCATTAGTCACTGTTTTAATTATAAATGCGACGAAGTATAAGCTATAAATCATACGTTTGTCTGGCACAAGGATATAGATCTAATTAATAAATAAATAAATAATTGAAGTATAAGATTCTCCTCTTATACTTCAACATTTTAAAGCGCCACTATACTGCTTTCTTTCCCTATAAATTCTAAACTGTTTTTCATACTGCATATTATTTTAAAAAATGATTGATAAGTTTTCTTATGGTTTAAAATTAAAATGACCATGAATGTCTGTAAAATATTTATGTAATAAAGGGTGTTCCGAATTCAATCCGTTTGAAGATTAAAAAGTCGGAAAATTTTGAATGAGCATGAATTTTAAGATGATAATTATGGTTTAATTTGGAGGAAAAAGATTTTTTTTTATTAGTATGTCGCCATCCGCGCATTTTCACAATAATAATACATGTTTATCATACATATATAACAGAAATCTTTTGTCTAGGAGTAGACAATTAGATGATCTGTTAAAAAAAATATCCTCTAATGTTGTCAGGATGTGAATACTTAAAAGTATAAGTGTAATATGAGACCATATTTTAAAGAAATAGATATGTTAATAATTTTTGTCTTCTTAGAACACAACCCCCTATTTAAAATTTAAAAGTAAAAATTTATTAATATGAAAAAAAAAATGTCGATGAATTTTTATGCACTTTTTTACTCGTGATATATGTTTTTCTGAAAATGTTATTTACACAAATAAAGCATTTCTCTTGTTCGCTTGCATATGTTTACTTGAATTTGGATAATATATACACAAAAATTTGTTATAATTATCATCATAAGTATCTTATTTAACGTGTTAATTATTAAATCAAAGTCATCACCTTCAATTTAATACCTTTTTATCTTTCAACCTACGCAAACTCAATCGTAGTAACATTGCCAGACTTGTAAATAGTTCGAATTTTACTATAGATTATATATAAGAATATTATCGAGAACGTATATAGGAGTATATTCGTCGCATATATTTCGAAAGTATTCATTAAATTATATTCCTTTTCATTAAATTGTATATCTTTCAATACATATTCAATGACAAATACTCATCCAGTGAGAATAGAATAAAGTATCAGAATAAAATAAATTGAATGGTATAGACACGGGTCAGGAAAACGTACGTAACAGACTGTCGGGTTTTATATCATTGTTGACTTTCATCTTGTCTCATATGGATGCCACTTGTACACTTCACGTATTCATATTTATTTATAGATCTGTAATATGGGCGTTCAATATATGTGGTTAATATGTTGAAAAAAAAAAAAAAAAAAAAAAAAAAAAAACTTTTATCTATAAGTTGATGAACTTACTTTCAATTTCCGATCCTGCAGAGATAAGTTTGGTGTGCGGCTGTGCAGTTGTGCTTGGTTGTTGATTACTCAATTGTCCTGTAGTCGCTGGCGCAGCAAAACCTGGAGGTGGTTGCATTGCCCAATGTTGAGTCGGTCCATTCTGTTCCTGTATAAAATAGAAGATAAACGTAGCATTCGTTGAATAAATTTGATCACGAATTTGATTAAAAAAATTTTTATCTAAGGGAGGGACTTTCAGTACCTGTTGCGCATTGTGTGATACAGTATGTGTAGGATGAACATGTGGAAATTGCCATGTACTAGTAGTCTGGAATGGAAGAGGCCTAGAACTAACAATAGCTGGATCAATCGAAGTCCAGTCTGCAATAGGTCCAAAATTGTTCCATCCTCCTTTTTGATGCAATGCTTGATGATGAAATTGTTGTTGTTGTTGTTGATTATTAATATCACACCAATCCTTAAGCGTATAAACTGCATCGCCCGCGCATTTACTAATACCTGTATTAAAAATGAATATATGCACAGTGTTAAGAACTATAAAATATTATCATTATTTTCACTGAAAATTACCTTGCGTATTCAACAAAGGATTTCCATTTGGAAGATAGGCATTTTGCTGTGGTGGCTGTGCTCCTGTAAACAGCACACTAGACGAATAACTCATGTATAATATTCTATTAATTTTTTGTAAAGTCACAAGAATTCACTTTTAAACTTGGATAACACTATTGCTCGCCACAACTTATTATTCCCAATTTAAAGAAAAATTGTACCTTTATTGTTTCATTGTTTAATAAAACATTTTCAAAACAAAAAACATAATTGTATACGTTTTTTTCTTTTTTTTAAATAATTACAAAACGTTTTGTATTAACGCAGTAAATACGTTTACAATTATCGTTAATTGTTGATAAAATTGCGAAGATACTAACCCGAAAGAGCATTGTTCGTGGGAGCTGGTCGCGGTATACCAAGACCAAAAGAATTCATGTGATTTGGTGTAGAACCAGGGAAACCTGGTGGCGGAAGGCGACTACGTTGTCCCAAATTTGCAGCAGTCACAGTACTCTGAGCAGGACTTTGCGTACCACTTTGTAATAAATTTTGTGGAAGACGAGACAGCAGAGGATGCGATTGTTGAAGAACTTGGAGGTTTTGCAGTTGCTGAGCCTGTTGTTGTAAATGTGCTATATGGGCAACCTGAATAAATAATCATATTCAAATGAAAAGCAATTAATAATTAAGAATTTTATATATTATTCTAGAATAAAATGTCAATTACTGGTGGAAAATGTTGTTGACCAAGGTTTGCAATATTCTGTTGATGCTGTACCCTATTTTGCTCTTCCCGTTCTCTTTGTTGTTGCTGCTGTTGTTGAAATAACCTTTGTTGTTGAAGTTGCATTTCGTTTTCCATAAGTTCAGCCAGTGCTTTCTGTGTTTCGTGGAAAGGATCGAAACCTAAGTCATCGTCAGCTTTTATATCCGACCCAGATTCTTTGTGATTTCTAACTTCCTCCAGGGTAGCATGACCATTTTGCTTTATATAATCACAGTTCTCTTGATTTTGTTGTGCCTTAAGAAGTTATAATTATTATTATTAATCACAATTAATTTTATCTAACTGATTATATAAACTGCTTACTTGTAAGGCAAGCCTTTGTTGTAATGAATTTTGTTGAAAGTCTGCCATAAATTTTGATGCTGGTGAGTTAACAAGCAAACTTGATGTAAAAGTAGCAGAGGATTCTGATAATGTAGTATACTGTAAATTAGTGTAAACTTCTTCATCCACAAAACCGTCAGAATTGAATGTCACTCCTGGTGAACTTGAAGGACTGGACTTTTGTACAACGTGATTTGTTCGTGAAGATTCGGGTTGGAAACCAAAAGCTGCTTGCCAATCTTCGCTTGACTGAACCGATGGCAATGAGTCTGGAATTGAAGTTAACCCCGTGCTTGTCCACTTCAAATTTGGATTTGCTGCATATTTAAAAAGAAAAAATTAATTTTACAACGTTTCATATTTTAGATCTATAAAATATGTTTATAAATTATTAAATATATTCATTTGTAGAAATTGCAGTATTATAAAGAACTGTATGTACATGCCTGTTAAGGAAGTAGGTGGTACTATGGTAGTAGAGATTTTCTGGAAATTGTTTGAACTGAAGAAGCTATTATTATCCGTTTGAAAGATCGACCGATGATTGAGTTGCATTTGAGACCCATTATGCAGTCCAGGTGGTGGCTGTTGATTGGCACCTTGTGATGAATTTGTGCTAGCTGGAGAGGAACCTAAAGACGATACGCACAAATCTCTACACTACGAGACGCGATCAAATCATTTTGTAGGATAAAATGCCAGAATAAACAGCTTCTAACACTATTTCCTCTCTGCCACCATTAATGAATCTCAAAATGTATTAATGTGCTTGGAAAATTTCCTGTACAAATATAGATATACAGGTTATAAAAATATAATCAATTAACCAGATTTTTTAATAAACTTTTAACATCATGAAACAAAGAAAAATATATATATATTTTTTCCATACACTTAATATATGCACAAATGATGTAACTTACAAGTAGGATAAAGTCAAGTGTGTACAAAAACACAAAAAACAGTTACTATATTTTTTTCCAAAGAATTCTCTTTATTTTGGCATATATCTATAACTATTCATGTTCTATTCTACAGTTATAAGACATAGCCATAAGACACTTGCATGTTATCAATATATTACACATTGTTTGAAAATTATTGTTTCATATATTTAAAGTATATATAACATACAGTGTTATAAGAAGTAGGCACACATGTAGAATGATTTTTGATTAATTACAAGTACTCTGCATGACATTTTATAGTACTAATTAAAATGGTTTAAATATGGCAACTACTATAAACAGCCTTTCTTATCATGTTTCCATTAAAGTTAATAATCATAAACTCTCTTATATGCTATTTTAAATATGAGTATAGTTCTGTTGAATTTCAGAAATATAAAAAAACATATATATAAGAAACGTTCACATACTGATGTAACAAAAATATATTTCAAAGTACAACTCAAAATTAGCATCATAAAAAAAAGAAAAAAAAAAGTTTGGGCTTTATCTTTAAAATTTCCAAACTTAAACAAACAAAAATTCATTTCAATAATAGTTCTACTATTTCTAAATTTGAACACATAATCTTAATAATAGAAAGTGTAATAGAAATGTTTCTCTCTTTGTTCTCATTTTATTTGCACATTTGTTTCATTTATGTTATATTGAATTCAACCATTCTGAATATTTATTTTAGAAGCATGAAATCAATACATATAGAAATGATCACGAATATTAGAAACTCACCCAAAATAGCAGCACCACTGTTCTCCTCACTTGATTCCGCTAAATGTTCCACTTGGTTATTCACATTTGAATCTTCTGAGCTTGAAATTGTACTAGCCGGTGTACTACCTTCACGTTGTTGATCTGTCTCACTATCCGAATGTCGACGTTCTCCATTTTGCACTATCCCATTTACTTTAAGGTCTTGAGACTGCTGCTGCTGCTGGGGTTGAACTAATTTGGATCCTTTATTATTTTGTTGCGGCTGGGATTGCTGTTGCGGTTGCGACGACTGTTGTTGCTGTTGTTGCGGCGGTGACTGCTGCTGCTGTTCTGATTTACACTTATTACCCAACTTTTGCAATACGTCACTATTTGTTTCGGAAGAATAATTTCTAATATCTTTTTGTCCATTCATTTGCGATTGCACATTATTTTGTGTACCAATAGAGCTTGATTCAGATCGAGAAGTTGTCCGTGTACTATGTTTTTCTTTATTTTGACAATTTTTATGTTTATTTCGCGCGGCCTGTGCTTTACTTTCACTATTACTTTTGCCCCTCCGTAAATTCATATTTTCACCTTTGTTATTGTTTGTCTGTTGTTGCGTCGTACCAGTTGACGGTACGTGATTTTGTTGATTTATTGTACCACTTCCGTTTGTTACATTATTTAGTTGTGATGTCGTTTGCGACGGTGGTGATAATTCTTTACAATTTGTTTGTGTACCTGTAAATATGAAGTAATTAAGCAATTATGCATATTATAATGTTTCTAAAGTCAAACCTATATGAAATAAAAACTTACTATTTGTCTGTCCAGTTTGCAACGACGGCCAAGCTTCTTTGGCTTGAGAATTTGAAGTTCCATTTTCTCGAACAATACTACTACCTGTTACGGCTGGTGATGGTGTTGGTTTCCTATACGATATGGGAATAATCAAGTCGTATACTCTTTTGATATAAACATAGTATGTTAGTTTAAAATATAAACAGAAAATTACCGTTGCGCAGATGCATGCGAGGCATGTAACGATTGCACAAGTTTACGCTCGTACTCTTGATGTTTGCCTTGATGCATCTCTTCCTTTGTAAACGATGCCTCCTGGTCCCCAAGATCATGTAAATACATACAATCTGGTTTTGGACAAGGCTGATTACGCATAAAATGTGAACAGTACTTTGTTGTTCCTAATGAGGTTTTAATTGTTCGCCCATCCATGACAACATTATTCACAGCCGCTATAGCACGTAATGCATCTTCCGGACGCTAATATTTGACAAATTTCAAGAAATAAATTATGTATCAACATAATAATGTGTATGATTCTTTCAATGAAAAAATGTACTTACTTGGTAGGTAACATAAGCCGAAGCACTAGGACCTTGAGACCCTGCATAGGAAGTGCTTTGATTTATTACAACTTTGTGAATTTTGCCAAATTTTCCAAAATATTCATGCCGCTTTAATACCTAACCAACAGTTAATACGAAGGTATTATATACTGCTAACGTGTGATGTTTCACTTAATTTATTTCTGTTTAAACTCACATCAGCATCCGCAAGTCGCAATGGTAATCCTACTACAAATACTAGATTTTTTTGTACTACTCTCACATTTGCTAGATGTTTACGGTTTTCGGTAACCCTCTGCTTACGCTGTTGATCTTTTAATCTCTTTTCTGCTTTTAACCTAACAAAGAACATGCCGTGGTCCATGTAACCATTTTACTTATGGTTATTGTATACGACAGACATTACGTACCTGGCGAAATCCTCCTCGCTTAGAGGTTTGAAATCGGCAGGATTTTCAGAGTAGGCCTTCCGACAAGCAGGGCATAAACCATTTTCATCGGTACGAATTCTGTGCCAACAAAACTGACATATTTGATAGCCACAAGTGCATGGAAAAAAATTCAAATCATTCACATCCAATGGTTCCATACACAAAGGACACTCCACTGCATCCTCTCCGCTTTGATTCAATACTGACATTTTTGTTTTTTATCTTTTATATCACACAATACAGTAAGTTACCAAGATTTTTCTATTTATAGTCCTGTACACAAACGAATATATGAAAGGTATGTATTAAAAGTAGAGTAAAATCTTAACACGAATGAAACATACTTACGTGCAAAGTTTTCGCAATGCCTTGATACTATGTAATTGACTGTACTTGTAACTTCTTACACACTAATATCCTTGCACAATCTGAAACAAATTTACTGGACGTTAAACTGTTGTACAGTAAGAATGTTATGAGTCAGACGTGTCGGTCGGATGGTAGCGGCTGTTTTAAAGTATTTCCATGTCAATTACAGATAACGTATGTCGCAGAATATTTGACATTTTAACAGTTAAAAGAGTTATTTTCGAAATAGCGCGTGCGAAAAAAAAAAAAATTAGGGCAGACTGTTTCTTGCAGAAAATAGAATACGAAACGGTGACTGTTTGGCTGACAGATTTGACGAACAGTTGGAAAGGAAGATCCGTTTGACAGGAGCTGTCAGACGAACGGTAAACGAACAAAGGACGCTCCGAACTTCGAGCAATTAAAATGATATTGTACGCCCTACGGTGGACGTAAAAAATGACAAGTTTATATGCGAGGCTTAGTTCGACGACGAAAAACTTGCGGTAGGGCCACTGTCTGTACTCTCCCACTCACTTTCTCTCTCTCTCTCTCGCTCGTATGACGAGACACGAACTATACGAGAGGGCGACGATCGGACGAAACAGCTGTTGGTGGCGTCGAGAGAAGCGAAGAAACGTCAGAGAGCGAGTGAGAGGTACTACGCCATAGCAGAAACCTACGTGAAAATCCGTGAAAAATTGCGTGGTGGGGAATGACACGTAAATTCCCAGAAGCTTCGAATAAAACTATTCACATACGCAAGAACGATGGTCTCGACGATTCGCGATACGATTTTGAAGGGGGGAAAAGGCTAGCGGCAAGCGAGAGAATGAGAAATGGAAGTAACGAAAGGAGTGGCGAAGGGAAAGAGGGAGGGGGGAATGGTAAAGAGAGAAGGAGACAGATACCCAAGAAGCAGAGCGAGAGAGAAAGAAATGGACACACAAGGAAGATAGATAGAACAACGATGCCATCATTCGTTTCATCCCTTTTTAGCCAATGGACGTTGTCTTGATCTTGCGCGTGAAAGAAAAAGACTCTCACCGATCTTGTATCTCTTTACACCTACTTTCTGAAACCGAAATCCTAACACGAATGCAAAACAAGTACAACCTCGACCAATACACAAGTTCTTTTCCGTTTTTTTTTTTTTTTTCAAATATTCAGTTTATATAAAAACAAGTTGCAGCAGCGCGATTAACATAGTATGGTTCGCCGCGAACGTCACAAAGGATTGAATGATTTGTCGTCAGAGGGGTTGCTAAATACCCTGAACTGGTTACAGGGTATACCTGGCTCGTTTAACCTTAATTTCGTTTCAACAGAGCAACTATTCGATAGTTCTTGGTATTCAAAAGTCACGTACTACCGTTCTCGTCGAGTCTAGAGTTAAATTCGCACATTCGTCGATCCAAACCTCTTGGTTCTTGTTTACTTACGTTACAACTTTTCCACTAACAAATCTCTTTTCTCTACTGGGAAATTTTTGTACAGTCTTCAAGACCTGGTCGCATGCGCACCGCGACTGCGCAGAAACGGATGTTACATACACTGGTATTTAAAGAAAGGCCCATAGGTAAAGGATTCTGAAACGCACATCGACTAAAACTTTGATTGCATTATTATGCGCATTAGAATTTATACTTTCAATCTTTTTTATTTAATCCGATGAATCCGTATTTTAATACCATAAAAGTTAAGTATTTAAAATAAATTTTTACAGTGATAAAAGGTTATATTACAAATTTTTGTATTCACAATTTCTCCTATTTTGTATTTAGCGCGCACTCGGAAATAGTAGGTGACTGATCTTACAGGAGTACCAACAACTGATGACGAATATTCCTAACGTTGAATACAATAAGGTACGTTCTCATCGAGCATAGATGTTGTACCTTTAAAATTATTTAAATCAATCACATGTAAAATTTGTACAATTTAAGCTTGTATTGACTCCAAATCTTTTGTGAATTACTAATATTAACCTAAAATTGAACACTGTATTTTATTTCATAAAATATAAATCTATTCCTGTAGTTTATGTTTGTTATCACAGTAAAATTGCTGTCTTTAGTTAGTTTAACTATTAATTTAATTTCTTATAAAAAATAAAAATAATTGTATATAGATGTTTATAAGTAGTACAGCATGAAATATCCTAATTGTATTTAATTTGCAAGCAATATATAATATATAATATTCTTTTCCATTATTGGCTTTCTTGTAGTTATTTTATTACACCTTTAGTAACTTTACCTTCAAAACTGACACCAAACAATGGATGTCGGGTTTTCAAATTCTTAGGAAATGGTACACTACAGTTTTCTATCTGCATTGGCTTAACTTTTGAAACACTTGAAAGTTTCCTTCTAATGGTAATTGCACCTGCTGGTTTTATATTAACTGCATACAAAAATATAAAGATATCTGTTAGAATTATAGAGCACATACTTTAACCCAAAAAAAAAAAAAAATTATTACCAGTTTTGTATCGTGATTTTACTTTGTCAGTATTAAATACACAAGTTATACTGTGTTTAACATCATTATTCACTGCACAATATCGCTCTTCTCTAATTTTGAATTTTGATTTCTCTCCAAATACCAATGTTTGATTTTTCAATTCCTTTGGATCTATCTAAAAGTTATATAACACTTATACTTATTGTATCATTTTACTAAAAGTTTAAACACTTAAACATATATAACTCACTGTTCGAGGAATATCCATTATCCACATGTCCTCACTGTCAGATATGTCATCCAAGGTAAATGTAGAATCTGTACTTTCCACAATTAAATCTTCTTCCTTTACTAGCTCATCAATCTGAAATAAAATTAATTAATGAAATAACATTACATATAATAATAGCATACAATTAAAAAAATTAATTTTATTTACATTATGTGGTCTTGGAGGTGTTTCTGTTGTGTCCATTGACATTTTACTATGATCAGAACCATTTAATGTGTTACTTTCTACATTTTGTACCGTTTCAATAGAACTTTTCCTTTCAGTCTTTTTCAAGATACTTTTTCTAGATGCTGAAGAAACTTTGGGAGATTTAGCTGGATTAATCTTCGTATTAATTTTTATGGATCTATTACTTTTTGGTTGGCGTACTTCATTCTCTGTTGTATCCATTAGTACCATAGATCTATTCAGCTGAGTGTTCAACTTGGTTAAAGAATCTTCCGCATCTAAATCATTCATATTTAACAAGACCATAAGGCTAGATTTCCTACTATTTCATTAAATAAAATTCTCCACAAGTAATGAATTCTTCACACAAAGTTTAGCACAGTATCAACTTAATTTTCTGTATAAGTACTTCACTATATTTGAGAAATGCTTATTCAGTATAATACTTATGTTAATTAAATATATAATAAAATATATACAATTTAAAAAACAAGGCTATACACGTGCTGCTGTTTAGTGTATTCTTTAATAATTTAGTACTACACAACAATAACCCAAAATGTGCAAAAACAAAGCCAATTCACGAATTACAATAAATTACACTACATCACACAGCGTTCTTATATACACTATATACTTCAAACTTTTATAGTATATAGTTTAAAACACAAATATTGTTAAGGGCATTCCACAATATTCATACCTGTAAAAAAATATGAAATGTAGTTCACAATTAAATGTACTATACTTGCCATTGGACAACCGGGTTCAAAAAGAAAGGTTCAGCAATTTAAGAAATTCTATAAGCGCCATCTTTTGGGATCAAATATACACACATATGTATACTACAAATCAATATACTTAAAAAAATAGAAACTATTAAAATTTTTAAAACATTTTATGCTGATAAAATTCCTTGATAACCGTCCTTATCGCATGGTTTAACCAGATACCTCTTCTACTTTCATGATTTCTGGCTATCCGGAGCAGCTTTGTGCGCGTTCCAATAGATGGAATTGTTTCTCGTTTTTACTTTACCCGCGAAATATATATAATTACTTAAAAAATTTTTCCTTGTGCAGCAAGTGTAACATAAAATTATGCATAATAAAATGTTCAGACAAAAACGAACGAGGTTTTTAAATGATGCTAGCTATTCCGTAACACCTTCCTTTCTTTGCTCGCAAACATTGGCACGCCAGAATGTAAATACTATGAAGTAACGTATATCCTGTAATGTCTGGCTGGTTTGTTCAGTGTCAATAGCCGAGGAAATCGTCAAGACTAAGATATTTTTAATAACAAAGTGACTAAAGTCTACTTTGTTTTTCTAACGCGGTCCTTTTCATTTAAAACACTCAATTGATTTCAATTGTATCTAAAATGGAAACAAGATTTTTGAACAGAATTTTCAAAAGCATGCAGCTACAAGATTAATTGAAAATTCGAAGGGTATTCGTTAAGGTGATGTAAAAAGTAGTATAAAACGTCATTGAAACGACGCGTTACAAAGCAAAAAAGGCCCATGAATGACATTCGATTTGACAATGATTGAGGAGTCGTGAATAATGCATTAACACGACGCCAGGACATCGTCTTCTCTTCGAGACGAACGTATTGAAAAACGGTATATTTTAGGCAGAGCCTTTGAACTTTACAATTTCCTCAACGATTAAAAACGTACAAACTTCCATTCCTCCGTGATTTCTCTTAAAAATGTCCACTTGAATAATTCAGCCATCAGAATTGAATTTTATCAAGTGAACAATAGTCGTTCGTTCAACAATGTTTAAACAATACAACGTCATCCGCAAATAGTGCGCGACTTTGCGCACTGATCAAGGTCGTCTCATATCCTTCAAATGACGTCAATCGAATAATGTGTAGAATTAGTTTGTAATTACGTGTATGGATGTCGTTCGATTTTTATATTAATCACAATCTAATCACTCTGCAAAACATGATCCGTTGTAGGCAGCATCGATGGCTCAGAGTCACTTGACTCTTCTAAATCTAAAAAAATAAGAAAAGAAAGATAAGAAATAGGCACGGTTTTTCTTCGGTTAATAATTATCATAAAGAAAGTAAAAAGTGATTACAGAATGGTTGAAAGAAGCCAACGTGGATCGCAGAGAATTATACAGCTTCCTGAACGTAATTGATGTCCACTGCTATCGTTTCAACTGATTATAAAAAATTCAGACGCTTCATTATGAAGCAGGTTTCATGTTCAAGTTGCGAATTAATACATTTCACGGTGAAAGATTCCAGTCCAGGCAGGAAGAACCTAATTTCTTCCGAAAGACGGTGTTATTCAATGAGTTGATGTAATCAGGTAAAGATAGCGATTTTGAAAGTGTTACATTCCGTTCGATACAGTCGTTACACAATCGCGTGCTCTTTCTTTTTTCCTTTCCTCACTTAACTATTATTTAATAACATAGTAATAGTATTTTAATCGCTAGACTATATAGTGTGCTCCATTTCAACGATTATTTTAAAATATAGAATAAGAAATCTATTATAGTTTTACCTTTTTTCCTGGTTTATTTGATTTTCTCGGTACCTGAAATATCAAATGGTTTAGTCATTAAATGATTCACAGGATATTCTAATTAGAATTCCGATAAGATCTCTATTTATATCAATCCTTGAGTTTAAAGATTGTATTTTCACGTGAAATGATCATTTTTTAAGCGATGAACAAAATATACTTTTGCCAGCAAACTTTCAATTTTTCTCAAATATTGCAGTTTTGTCTACTTACGTGAATAATCTCGTTCCATTAGAAATCCATGCTTTCTTGAGAAAAATCTGCTACACGCTCTGGCATAGGACAACGATTCTTGTTGCCCTTCGTTTACGATTCAAGGATAGAAGAGCAATTTACATATGAAAACTTTCCGTTCTTTCTCCTTCGACCTGAGACCGATCACGATTTTTCAGTGTCACCATCAAAGGACGCACATAAACGCGTTTATACTCATAAATTGTGTGTTTAGCACGTTGGAATCTAAACGGAATACAAAGTTCGCGTTATTATCGGCGAAGAAAAAGTAAAAATATGCGTGAGAGGTTTCTTTGAGGAACAAAAACGAGTTACCTTATGACAAATCTACCTTAAAGTATCTGAATTATTAATTTTCTTAATTTTGCAAATTAGCTAAACGTGCTAACAAAAATCTGCTTAAGCGTACAAATATCGTAAATTTAATTCAGAGTATATTATCGTTAATTAACACAACTCCTGGTTTTTTCATTTACGAAACATAGAACCGTAAGCTTTCTAATCGCGAATGTTTGCACAGAATGTGTTGCGAATATGAAGCCAACTAAAAGGCAAAAGATGGTATCGTACCCTAAATCCGGTTTCAGGATAATCCTAAGTGCGTTAACAACGTTAATTTGGTGTTCTGTAACAAAAGAAATACCTGATCAGTGATAAACAGGATGACTAAGATATTCAAGAATCATTTATAATATCTTAACAAATTTACTTATATGTATGTATAAACGTGTGTCTTTTGTCAGGGACGCATCATTGAAATAAAAGCCTTCCAATTGAACCATTTCCTCGCAAACTGCATAAAGCAGATACTTCCTTCTTCGGAATTGGCGTCAGAGGCAAAGTTCATGAGTATCCAGGAACGTGTTGTGAACCGGAAATGGTCGAGCAGTGATTCATGGTACAGTTAACATATTCTCTTACCACATGGTTCACTGTTCCTCCACTGCTTATCAGTAAAACTTATCAGTAAATCTAACAGCAATTGATGTGTTTATTCCTTTAGCGAAAAAATGCTCGCCAAAAAAATTCTTGTTTTTTAACGAAAAAGATCCATTCAAATGAATGGACAGAATGTTTCAAGAGAAAAATATCTTTGGTGCTTCGCGATTATGGCACTTCTTTTGCTGTTTTCAGTGACGCTGCCACACGTTTTTGCTCCTTTTACATAAGATGTAATAAAAATAGTGGAAAATCTTTTAACAGGTATGATCGATTACTCCGTGAACTTTGAACGAGCATTAATATTTTTATCGATTAATGGAGAGACGTTACATAGATTCCAACTCAAGATATTTCCATTTCTGAGATTGGTAATTTGTTTCTTTCTTCGATTTGCTAACAGGGACAATGACGACTATTTACATTTACTGTGCAACCGATTCATCATTCATGAGATGTAATTTTTAGCGAAGTGGATCGAAAAAAATGTCGTCTTATCCTCTTGCAAATTTACTACCATTTCGACCCCGCGAGGTGAAGGCTAAAGTTCTTCGGATTCTTTTTATCCTGCGCGTTTATTTCCGTTTCGAAGTACCGGAAGATGCTGGTCACTGTATTTTTTTAAAGCAACCCAGACAAATAAGAAACGTGCTTGAAGAACCAAGCAGTAAGAAATGTAATGAAAATAGAAGCAGAATAACGGAATAATTCATTGGCGATTATTTTATGTTTTATATCAATAATTTTTTGTGGTTTGTGAATTATAAACAATTCATTAATTAGAAATGAGTATCTTCGATCAATAATAAAACCACAAAAACTTAAAATCTCAGGTATTGATTTATCTATGTTGCCTCAATAAAAAGGAATCTCGTAACGCAAATATTAATCGCTTATTCGAATGTAAATTTTTAATGAATCGATCAGACGATCTGACGATTTACTCAATCTTACTTTCCAGGACTATTATTGCGGAGGTGACATTAGCGAGCGATTCTTCGGAATAACCGTGTTTATGCATCTCGTTAATACGTGTGGCTTCCTCGACTCAGGTACAAAGTAACGCCGATATTCAGTGGCTCGATGTTCATCTATAACTGCAAGGTTTTGTTGTCGTTTGTCATTAGAATATTGAAATGAAGCATCAATAACAAGTATGAATTGCATGTTCATCAACATCTAAATATACACGGATAGTGCATTTATTTGACGAAATAAATGTTTTCATTCCAATTCCACTTGATACGTGATCTATAAAACAGAGAAGAAGAAAGTTAGGCTTTATATATTAATTTGAATGAAATTAAAATGAATGAAGAAAAACCAGATAACACGTGTGCTCTAGGAATTATGAAATTTAATTGTTACCTTTATTTCCTCGTAACTAATTTGAATAATTGTTACGTATAATCTTTGTAACTTCATAAATCCATTTTCAGTAATTAGGTGTTATTAAGCGCATGACGCAAGAGCAAGGTACACCAGTTTCCTAAGACAATAAATAATTAAATCGTTGTAATATATTTCTAAAAATGTTACAGGTTTCAAAAATAGTATTACCTTTTCTATTAACACATTAATTATTAAAGAGACCAGCTGTGAAAAAATGCCTCCATCAATCGCGGAGTGTACGAAAATCTATAAAAAATAAGAAACATAGTTTAGTAACAAAAGTTGGCAAATCATTAACACGATTTCTATTTCAATTTCACCCGAGTATACAATACGTTCGTACTTCCTAACTGGTCTTTCGTTTTGAAATTGTATCGTTTTCTGTTTACGGAGAAGCGAATGCTCGAATTCGCCTCGGTGATTTCAATGCTTGGGAAGAGAACTCCACTTGCACGATTTATAAAATCAACGCGCGCTATCATGCTAAATATTCACGAATTATACATAATTAATAATCCTTTTAGAACCAACAGATTCACCGAGGACCCATTCACCGTGGAATCGGGCTCTAAAAAGAAGAAAAATATCGAATCATTCCCCGAAATCCTGTGTTTCTGCAGAGTCATGCTTATCGAGTCTCGTAAACCTCAGCTTGATCAAAGAGAAAGCAATCAGCTTTACTCTGGCCGGTTTCAAGAATCTCCACCGATGGCGGGTCATTAAAGGTTTCCTTGGAGAATCCCATCCAACTGACGCAAATGAGGAACACAAAACTAAAAAACCGCTGTAATAATCCTGTCAAGGATCAAGCTTGAGAACTCGACTAAGTTCGTACGCAGGAAAGGAGCTGGTAGAAAAGATCCTGGAGAACCATTTCAACCTGTAACAAAAGAATGAAGATATAATCTCTGCGAAAGTGACTGTAATCATTTAATCCTCAATGGTGGAAGTTGGATCAATGGCATTCAATTATACTAATATACCATTTGTTCCAATATATAATTACCACCTATCTATGAAAATTAATTTGAATTTTACATACTTATACCACCCCCTATTCTATGTACTCCTTTACATCCAGTTTCTTAACTATCCTGTAATTGATTTCATTTATAACAGTGCATTAGTTTTTCATACATATCTTAGATATAATTGCTCGCAAAAAGAATGAATTTTCGCAGAAATAACGCATCCACGCACTCGCGTTATAGACTATATGTATCTATAATAGCCCGGCCAGTTTTGCCCCCACTAGCAAACTGGTCTCGGCTCGTTCTCGAGTCGGCTTCGACAGATTGCACAAGCGTTTGATTCTCCATCCTGCAGCCGACCGAGTCAGTTCACAGTGGAATCGCGACCAGACTTCTGTCGTCGCGACGCTCGTTTCCTAGTTACCGTTTCGCGATTCCCGTCTTTCCTTCGCGTCCTTCCACAGGATCCTCCTTCGACATCTGGGAGAAGCGTCTTCGAAGAAGTCTCGTGGTCGGTGATAAAAGACGCAGCTTCCGGGAGGATCCTCGAGGGAGATCTGCAAAGGGTGAACAATCATTACGTGCTCCAATTGATATTTAGCCGGTTGATTCAATAATTAAGGCGAAGACGGTGGTGAAATTTGTCTGACAACTATGGATATGGGAATAACATCGGTGAACGATCGAACCGTGCGATGTAACTGATTTACAGTTATCGAGCAAACTGGTGGATTCTTTGTTGTTAACAAAGGAAGCTGATCGCGAGAGGATCGTCGTCGTTGGAACAGGGCGCAGGTTAGTGAACGTGAGAAGAGTCTGGAAGATGAAAACGAAGGTGTTTGGGTGATCATTAAGTGAATTAATTATGACGATGGGGGTGGTTTGAGTTTCCTGGAAGAAAATTCCAATCGAAGGGGTTTCTTTTGTTTGGAGATCAAGTATTATGAGAAAAAGATAGTTTTATATTTGTGGATAATTATTAGAGATCGTTTTAGAATCACCATATGTTTTTGCTTTTCTTTCGATTACATCCAACATTAAGGACGATGTAAGAATAAAGAAATATTGACGTAAAACTTTCTTACTCAGGAGAAACGGAGAATCATTGCAATAATTGTTTATATTCACGCAACGTACGAGATTATTTCATAAAAACAAAACTAAAATGAACATTTTTTAATGATTAAATTCAAAGCATGTCGAAATTCTTGTTTTTAATGTCGAAAGTATCAAAATGAAGTAACAGGTATCAGAGACTAGATCATTATGTAATTTCTTTCTCAGTGATCGATATATAGAAGGAATAATTAACAAAAATATTTCATTCACAAACAGCTATTACCTCCAATGGTCATTTGAAAGTTATCAAGATTACTTTAGTCAAGAACGCCATTAAATTGATTATCATACTTCATTAGCCATTCACTTAAGTTTGGAAGATTCTTTCCTCATCGAGAAATATCTACAATCAACAGTTTCACTAATTAGTCTTGAATTAAATAACATTCAATTTCCGTAAACAAACTTAAGCAAATCAACGAGAATTTACAAAAGAATTCATTCACGATTAATAAATCATTCGCTGAAGAAAAATTCCACGGAAGAATATCATTGTTCGAGATCTTGTATGCAGAAACAAGAATCAAGAACGATGATCGTGACCTGATTTCCTGGACATCATGGAGTTTTACGATCATTATCATTCATAGATACATCGATCCTCCGCGAGGAATTTCAAGAACGTTAGAAGATTCATCCACCGAAACTTCCTACTGTTATTTTGTAATTTAATTAGAAACAATTGACGCGTCAACGAGATCAAGATAATTACCGATCAAGGATATATCTCGCGTGTGTAGATGAAAATAAGAGTATTCCACGTGTTTACGCGATGTGCATTCGAAAATGCAAATCGATCAAGACGATCCGGTCGTTTTTTCCTTCTTTGAAAAATCCTCGTCGTAGCGGTGGATAAAAAATATTTTGCAAACGCTACAAGTAATGTCGGAGAACGATTTCGTTGCGTTGGTGTTTAATTCAAGGATATCCGGATCCGAGGCTTATGAAAACTTGAAATGGTCAGTGTTGAAATCGTTTTGAAAACAGAGGATTGAATTCGTTCGTGTTGGAGCTCTCTTTGTTAATATAAAAAAGATAAGCCGGGGAAATTAAATTCTCTTATTTCTTTTGTATTATTCTACTTTCATTCTGGATCATTTAAAAATTTCACGAGACCGAACCTTCGAAACCCGATAACACATTTCACTCGGTTTCACAAGGATTTCTCCCGGTGTCTTTTGTTTCTTTACGAGAGCCGACTGATTGCGAAAGATGAGTCTATCTAAGGTTACGTCTAATCACTTTCCATTCCTTAGGACTTTCGCGTGTTTACAGATGAATCGTGACTTTTTCAATGAACTTGTACGTACACCTCGGCCTCCAATATCCGAGGAAATCGAGGACACTTGTTAATCAGTTCTCGATCGATCTATTTTTACCAATTAATATTTGCCTTATCATTTTCTAGATGTTTTTTCCTACTATTTTGTTATTCAACGTTTCATAATGATTACTGAAAATGGTTTTGTTCTCGTTACGTGTATAAAATGTTACATACTAGTTTCTGTAATAATGGTAAAAAGCGTATGCTTAAGATGCACGTTAACTCGATTCGTAAAAAGTTTGCACGAAACGTATTCAGATCGTGGATATTTGCATTTAATCAGATCGAGTATTGCATAAGCTTAAAACGAGGCTGGTATAAGTTATAAATCTGTATAGCACGTGGAATTATTTATGATAAATTGCAGTGAAATTGAATAACTTTTAAAATACCCAAGCGACAGGAAAAGAAAAATTCAACGAAGATTTAAATATGTTAATCTATTCGTCGAATGTTTCAAATCTTTCGTAGGGACACATTCGATTTCAAAACTTAATGAACGATCAATTTATCCAAATTGTTACGTAACAAGGACAAACCCATATTTCGAAATTTATGAATATTTAATCCATAGAAAAATACGTCCGATTGCACAAGAAAACGCATTACTCACTCTCTATAAATTCACCTTTCGTTACATGACCGCAACGTTTCTCTTTGACCAAAAAAACGAAAATATCCCTTTCATCCAAAATAAAAACAACAGCTGCTTAAAAATTATGCGAATCAAGTTTCTGTTTTGTCTGTTTAGTAAATATGTATATAGACCGTGGTTGCAAAACGCGTTTGTTTAATTTCGATTACTTAAAACGAGGTCAGTTGTAATAAGTTACACATCCGTAGTGTCGACATTACTTCTCGCGACCGACAGTCATCACATATTATTAAAAAAGAAAATAATAATAGAATCTGCTAATACTCTAATTATTCCGGAAAGTTCACTTTTGAAAAAATCACAGAAAATCACGTAGATGCAATAGTGACCCAAATTTAATCGTTCTTTTGAAAAGAGATTATGTGTCCCTGAAGGGTCCATTCGACCCGACTGGCACGTCTCGCGTGTCCGGTTTCTCGGCCGTAATTGCGCAACAAGGTCGGACGATTTTTATTTGAAAAAACGAAAGCGAAGGATATGGAAAAAGATCGAAAGGGTCGGTTTTTGAAGCGCCAAAGAGCTCCGGATAGTCGCGGGTAAATTGAACGCTCTGATCGGAACGAAAGCCGATTGCACGTGTTCGAAACCACCTCGCTCGGTTGGCCTGCAGCAGCCGGAGATAGGTGAGAGTTTGTTACAACGTTACATCACTGACGAATCGCACGCGACGCCATCGATTACGTATAAACAAGTCCTTTCGTTCGCTCCGGGTTCTTTGAAATAATTTGGGGTCACCCTATTCTTTAAGAGCAGGTTTATGTACGATAATTTTGGCAAAATGATCTTATCAGACTTATGAGATTCTATGTAATATTTTTGGAAAAATTGACGTCATTTGTCTGATGTTCTTTTTATGCAAGATTTGCGGAAGAATCGACGTCACCTTTTTTTATGGTTGAAAATATAGAAGAGTGAATTTATGATAATTTCTGTCTTTTTTTAAAACTGCTGTTATGTAAGATTTTCAGAAAAACCTGAACTTCCAGAAAGATATTCCTAAAATTTTTCTAAGAAACAGAGCTTTCGTTGAAGAACAAATCACGATGATTCAACTATGAAAGTTCCTTTAAATATGCGACGTAAATCAAGAAATAGCTACGGTGCGAGTACTTTTACCAAGTCATTACCTCTTGCTCACCTGTCGTTTCAACTAGGAAGTATCTAAAATCTCTGTCGATGAATTTAAATGTCCAGTCTAATAAAAACGTGCTATTATTCCCAACATCTTAACAATCATCGATGCAGTAAAAAGGATCTCTTGTTTTTTAACCCGGTAAACAGAGATCAGTCATTAATCGTTTCTACAGAAATGTAAATTCTTTAACGCAAAGACGTGGATGAGCAAAAAGTAGTAAAATAATTAGCAAGTATGTTCATGAATGTTGCGTATGAAGATCTTCTTTTTTCTCCATCATCGATAACAACATGATTGTTAATTTTGCAAAAAATGTTTGACATTTTCAAGCAGACTGACGTTATTCAGATACAATGCGCAACATTTATGAATCACTTTCACGGGAATATGAATTTCTTTTTCCCATTTTTAGACATGGAAACTGCCAGTAGCCCGCCGGTCGTACCGGCAGCATCCTTGGAACTAAAAACAAGAAGAGCACAGTTCCAAACACAGGTTTCGACTTTGGATACCAAACGAAAACAAGCGATATACGTGAGGAGAGCTTTCAAGAAATATGGCCCAAAGAGCAACCCCAATGTCATTCTAGATGGGCTGAACATGACGGTGCCGAAAGGCACCATGTAAGTTCTGTTTAAAATATTTTACCTAATCATTAATATTCTATTCTATAACCCTAAGCTTATTTCATTGATGGTATCTCAAAGCCTTTAACATTAAATTAATATTTCCTACAGATACGGCCTGCTCGGGGCAAGTGGTTGTGGAAAGACTACGTTGCTCTCTTGCATCGTGGGTCGAAGACGTTTGAACTCTGGAGAGATCTGGGTCCTGGGTGGTCGACCAGGATCGAAAGGATCCGGTGTACCGGGTCCACGGGTTGGTTACATGCCGCAAGAGATTGCGTTGTACGGAGAATTTTCCATAAGAGAGACCTTTATTTATTTCGGCTGGTGTGCTGGAATGACGACGCAACAAGTGGATGGAAAATTAGAATTTCTCATCAAGGTGGACGATACTAAACCCTTGTTAATTTCCAAACTTTTTTTTTAAAGATGATCAAGAATATTTGTTCATACAAACCTTTTGAAACAGTTCTTGCAGCTGCCATCAGAAAATCGTTTGGTGAAGAACTTATCCGGTGGTCAACAGAGAAGGGTGTCCTTTGCGGTAGCACTTGTGGCCGATCCAGAATTGTTAATCTTAGACGAACCCACCGTGGGCGTGGATCCTGTTCTACGTCAAAGCATCTGGGATCACCTGGTCCAGGTGACGAAAGACGGGAATAAGACCATCATCATCACTACTCACTATATCGAGGAGACGAGGCAGGCTGGTATCATCGGTCTGATGAGGAGCGGTAAATTGTTGGCCGAAGAGTCACCGGCAAGATTAATGGAAATGCTGAACGTGGATAGTCTAGAGGCTGTGTTCTTGAAGCTCAGCAAACGACAGAACATGGGTCTTCGAAGAAGAAGCAGCATCCTTAGCAGTGTCACTGGCGTCCCTCCAGAAGTTGTACGATATTTCTTTTATAACAATGATACCCTTGAAAAATGATGAAATTGTTTTGTAAGTATGATTGATTGTTACTCAGGATGCAGATGACGAGATGAGCGGTGAATTTGGTGATAACGTCAGTCTTTCTAGTCGAAGAAGAAGCGTTGCCGTCGACGATGGAATTGTAATTTTTCATTTTTCTTATTTCAATGTATTCCTCATTGGGTGAATTTGTGTGCAAGCATTTTGATGAACAGGTGCCAGAGCTACCGCCGGAAGAGAAAGGTCCCTCGAAAATCCAGATGATCGATCCTCAGCACATGAAGGCACTCGTATGGAAGAATTTCCTGTGGATGTGGCGAAACGTAGGGTAGGTATAAATTAAATTGACGTAATATAAAGTTAACAAATGAAAGCAATACCAAACTTAACTGTACTCCTAAATTGATTAGAAAAGAAGCTACACGTCTGATGCTCATTCTTTTCAGAATAATGTTATTCATCATCGGTCTTCCGGTCGTCCAGATCATTCTATTCTGTATTTCTATCGGGAAAGATCCAAAGGGCTTAAATATAGCAATAGTGAACCACGAGCTGAACAATAGTATGGACCCTTGTATACCAACAGATGGATGTAACTGGTCTCTGTTAAGCTGTCGGTTCTTAAAACATCTAGAGGATCGGTCGATAGACCTTATATCGTATAAGAATGAAATGGAAGCTAGAGAAGCTGTTGAAAACGGCAATGCTTGGGGTGCCATAACTTTTCCATCCAATTACTCTGATTCTCTTTGGGCGAGATTCGAGGAAGGCAAGGATGTGGCTGAATGGGATGTCACGTACTCGACCATGGAGATAGTCATGGATATGTCCAGTGAGTTTATCGAAACATAAATATCTTTCGTCAATTATATCAATTCTTGATTCTTTTACAAAATATTATATTTCTTGTAATCTTTCTTCAGACCAGCAGATCGGCCAACTTCTTCAGAGGGATTTTTATATATCGTATCAGAACTTCGCTCGCGAAGTGACGGTAGCTTGTAATTACAGCAAAAAATACGCGAATATACCGGTGGAAGTAAGTCGAGCGATTGTACAGAAGAACTGTAATTATTAATGACAATTTGTAATAACATGTTTTTCAATGTACAGTTCGAACAGCCGATCTACGGTCCTCTGGAGCCCAATTTCACAGATTTCGCCGCACCTGGAATTATTTTAACGTGAGCATTTGAACGCAAATGGTAAATGTAATTTGTGTAATAACAATGTGTATTACAGGATCCTTTTCTTCTTATCGGTCGCTCTAACTTCTGGTGCCATGTTGTTAGAAAGAAACGAGGGTCTCCTCGAAAGGAGTTTAGTCTCTGGTAATTAAGAGTTATCATCAAGTAGGAACATTTCATCAGAATACCAATATACTTATTGATTTTCCATCGACAGGTCTTACTGGACCAGAAATCCTTTTCGCTCAAGTTATAACTCAATTCGTAGTAATGGTAGGGCAAACAGTGATGGTTCTAATATGTGCGTTTGTGGTGTTCAACATTACATGTGAGGGTAACATTGGTTGGATCACCACGTTGACTGTTCTAACTGGGCTGTGTGGAATGTGTTTCGGTAAGGACGTTGTTCATAAAAATAATCATGATCTAATCCTTTAAAAAGATTATCCTGTAACATGAATTTTTTAGGATTCGTTATTGCTTGTGCCTGCGACAACGAAAGGAGTGCCACTTATATGGCAATGGGTTCTTTCCTACCCATCGTGATGCTGTGTGGAATAATTTGGCCCATCGAAGGAATGCATACTGTATTAAAATGCATTAGCTTCGTCCTCCCTCTTACGAAGAGCACAGAGTCAATGAGAGCTATGCTAGCTAGGGGATGGTCAATTTCGAATTCCACCGTCTACAATGGTTTCATTTCCACATTCATCTGGATATGCATCTTCATGACTCTCTCGTTACTGCTGCTTAAATTTAAAAAGGGATAAAAATTCTTCCCGAGTTATAGATTGAACTGCATGATTAGCTGTTATTTGAGAAAATTATTCTATTAAACAGACTGTATAATGTCGAAACTATTCGACTAATTTACTGTATTTTGGAGTAAGAGTGAATGAAACTGCATCATAGATGATGCAATGTACGTTTTTGCTCAATACAATTGTATTTATTACATCAACTACCGTGGTGTCACGGGATCGTGATGGTATTATTTGTACAGTGCAGACATAAGTAGATGATAAATTAAACCTATAGCTATGCAATCTTTATTCATTATAATAATTTTTTAATTAATATTGTACTATAAGTAGAGTTATAGTATTTTTTTTTTATGAGCTTATAATAAATATTATGTATATAGGAATGTATGTACTAAATAATTAGTGAATAATTACTAGTTTGCTGTTTGTACATGTAAATGGAAGAAAGGACAAATAGGGACAAGATACTTTAATAAATAGCAATGTATAAACAAAACTATAAAAAGGTTGTATTTATAATACAGTGAGATCTATCTCATAAAAAATATCGTTTATAAATATTATTTTATGTACATTATTAATGCTATTTATAGTTAATTTACTTATTTTGAAGAACGTAAAAATTGTTCATGTAATACCTTATGAATTCGTTCTGCCTTCTGTATTCCAATACCTGGACAAAGAGCCAATGTATTTGGTTGTGTTTTTATCAAATTACTTAAAGTACCAAAAGTTGATAACAAAGTTGTAGCATCTGTTTTATTAACTGATCTTATTGTTGTCAAAGCATTAACCAACTGAAAAATTACAGAAAAATTCTTCAATTAATAAAAAAATATCCTTAATATTTAAAAAAATGTACTACATGTATACCTTCTGATATGGTGCTGAATCACTACGCTCCATAATTGCATCAGGTGGTTTATTCTCATAAATCTTGTATGTTTCAATAATTCTTCCAGCATCTTCTGCATTCCATGCTAACATTAATGTCAAATCAGCAAGAATACAAACCCTTGTTAAATGTTTCAAAGCATGATGAGGATCTGCCACATCTACCTATTTTTTCAATATATATAAATTCTTGTTAAACAAGTACAACATAATAAAAATGATAAAAATAACCTGAACTAAAAGCACTCTCAGATTATACATGCTTCCCAAAGATTTCAGACGTTCATGGATATAGTCTGGATTAAGTTGATGGTACCGTATTGATAAGAAGAGAGCACAACTGGTTTTTCCCATTACATAGTCTGGTATAATTTCTGAGTACTCCCAAGGAACATTTGTTATATATTTCAACAATGGATTGCCTTTCTAAAAAACAATTGCTATTTGTAAAATATTATTAAAAATACAAAGACTCTTATTAACATACCTGTTTGAAATTGACTATAACTGTATTAAACTTTGAAGGACCCTTAGTCCTGGAAGGTCCAGGCATTTCTTCTTTAAAAAATTCAGATTTCTTTAATTCAGTAGATGCAGCTGTATGAAATATTAATATTTTGATTCTTAGTGCATATAAGTATTAACATAGTCATATATTAATATGTAACTCACATGGAAAAGAATCAATTTTTGATTGTTTAGAAGTAGAAACATCATTATCATTTTCTTCTTCCATTGTATCTATATTTTTAAATCCCTGATTACTGATTCTCCAATCACACAAGTTATACAGGAACTGCAAATGATCATATATATATCATTATACCATATAACATCATATACATACATTTCTATGCATACTATTTGTGATTTTTTGTTATAATCCTTTACCTAATTTATCTAATCAGCAATAATAAAAACTCTACTATTAGTAAATATTCCAACAAGTAGTAGTACCTTTTATATTTCTATTGGTAACACTGACAATTGACAACATCTAATGACATATTAACTTGACACATTTTTATAATCAAGTGCCTTGTTATTTTTATTATATATATTTTTGAAAGCATGTTATGGCTAAAATGGGATAAATATTCATGTGTATTTTAAAGCTTACACAAATCAATAGCAGTAAATCTTAGTAAATGTAACTGAAAATTAATATATACTTAAGTCATAACCTAAACTTTTTAATGAACAAGGAAAAGTCAGAAACTAAAGTCATGAAACATACTCCTTGGAAGGATGTTGGTATAACAGATCCTCGAACACGTTTAAAGTCTCTTTCTGATCATGCTTCCAATGTAGAAATAGACCGTAACATTCGACCACACAGGTATTCAACTTCTGTCAAAATAATATACAAATTTCTATCATATAACTTCCTATTATTATGTCAACTGATAATCTTAATATCATACGTTTCTTTTATTCTCAGGTATTATCGTTCTGGTGTAGAGATGATTAGAATGGCAGACATGTACATGAAAGAAGATGGTCTTGAATATGCATACTTTTTGTATGTTAAATTCATAACGTAAGATATATTTCCAATTTCTCTATGCGGTACTTAATACAAAGTAATTTAGTGAATTTTATAAAGGTATCTATTGCAACAGGATTTTTGTTGAAAAAATAAGAAGTCATCCACAATATCATACAGTACCAATAAAAGACAAGGAACAGAATCAAGAAACTTTACGTAAAGTAATTCCTAAAGCTGAAGAGCTAAAGAAACAATTATTAGAGCAATACCAAGTAGAATTAAATAAATACTTAGCAGATGTAAAGGAAAGAGAAAGAATTGAGAAAGAAAGATTAAAACAAGAGGAACTGGAAAAGTAATATATAATATTTTAGATATTGTTGTATAATACTTAGATAGTATTTACATATATGAATTGTTCGTTTAGGTTGAAAGAAGAGGAGGAAAGAAAGAACAAACAAGCTGCATTGGCAGCTGTTAAAGCAGCAAAAGCTGCTATGAGTACAATTCTATCATCTCCTGAAGAAAATAAACTTAAAGTAGTTCCTAGTCTACCAAAATCATTAAGTCCCGATAAAGCAGCAGTTAGTGCTGATATATCCAAGGGAAAGTTAGTATAAAAAAATTATTCAGTTTTTATAGAATTTTATGAAAAACATAAAATTATAAAATTTATATTTTTCAGAAGAATGCCTACTATAGATCGTTCAACAAAGCCCTCGATGCTTATGAGCGATAGTTTTACTTTACGTGATGTCGTGTTGCCAACTAAATTAATGCGTAGTTTTCTCTTGTTGGCTTTCGCTAATACCGCAAATAATAAGGAAACCTGTGGTATTCTAGCAGGCAAATTAGAACGAAATAAATTAGTAGTTACGCATTTATTAATTCCTGAACAAACTGGGTCTCCAGATTCCTGTCTAACACATAACGAAGAAGATATATTTGATTACCAGGATCAACATAACTTAATAACCCTTGGTTGGATACACGTATGTAACTACTCTATTACTTAAAAAATGCAGAAAATTGGAGTTAAGAGAATATGACAATAGAAAAGATAATTGTACTTCACAGACGCATCCAACGCAGACTGCATTTCTGTCTAGTGTTGATCTTCATACACATTGTTCATATCAACTTATGATGGCAGAAGCAATAGCCATTGTTTGTGCACCAAAATATGACGAGTAAGTTGAAAATATAAATTTGAAGTAGCATTTACTCTGGCTAATAAAATTTATCTCTATCTTCCCTTTTGTCTTAGGACAGGACTTTTTATTTTAACTCCAGAATATGGATTAGATTTTATTGCTAATTGTAGAGAAACAGGGTTTCATCCCCACCCGACTGAACCACCGTTGTACACGGTAATTATTATCTAGATAAATATAATACGCATATGTATTATTTGTTGTATACATTGAGAAATACTTTCTTTTCAGAAAGCAAAGCACTGTAAATTAGATGTAAATGCAGCCTTAGAAGTAGTGGACTTAAGAAGAAAATGACATCTTTCGGAAACATGCATATACATATGTGTATACATACATATGTATACCTTGTACAGGAAATTGTACATGTAACTGTGCAATGCAAAAAATTAAGCGAAAACAGTAAAAGATTACAAATACTTTTGCTTGAATATCACGTGAATGCAAAAAAGTAAATGTAATTTAACATTTCTGAAGTGTTCAATATTTTTCTGACAGAGCATTTAAACAATTAGCTGCATTTCTAACTAGTACCGTGTGTTTAAAATTATATCAATATAATAATTTCATAGAAAAAAGTTTGTTAATTACAAATAAAACAATTCAGTATTTAAATATATCTAGTAATTATCGTAAATTTCTTATCGATTCAGTCGAGCTACACCTCGAGATAGAAAATAAAGGTACATGTTCAATCAAAAAATTTGAATAAACGTGGTGGAGTGTAAAATCTGTCTATACATTTACGTGCCTTTCATGAAGAAAGATAATAGTGTTCATAACGTCATGCTGATTACATCAAGTATGTCCAATCAACGATTGTAGACACTGCACATTCATTCAATAAGACCGTTTCATTACGTAAAATCGTAATTGAGGAATCAATAAATGCATTGACCTATTATGCTAGTCATAACTTAATAAACAAAGCTTTTTATGAAATTGATTGATATTCCAGAATTAGTGTATCAAATTATGTAATGCTTTGTTGTGTCTTCTTTTCAGTATAATGCTGTACTTTCAAATTGTACGGTACAATTAGATGCTGTGTGTTAATACCCATGTAAAAGGTTTTTACCTGATGCAGCTTTTGTAGGTTTAGAAATTCATTCAAGCGCGTTCCTATACAGGATCATGTTTGTCTTAAATGTGCAATATTTTGTATGTGTGATCTTAAAATCTTAGTAGTAACTTTCTACGATTTAATATGTAACAATCAGCTTTCGTTGTAATTAAAAACATTTTAAATACTAAACGTCCGAAAAATAATTTATTACAACATTGGCTGATCTAGATTCGTACAAAAGCAATGGTACACCTGAATGCTATAATTATAATTAGTAAATGAATACATGTGTTGGCGAACGATTTATAAAGAATGAATAAAATCATCGATTAATTTATCATAAAAATCATTTGTTATTTATATTACAAATATTAATAAATATTTCTTTTTCTGTGATTATTATTATTATATCGTACACTGTACGAAAGCATTCCGTTCAAAAGCATTATTCACTCGTGAGAGTATAATAAAACTGGAATCGTTTACAAAGAATTAAAAAAAGACGAAACTATTCAAGCCCACTGCACGGAATTCAAAAGAGAATCCATTGTAAGTACTAAGCGAGTACCTCGTGAGAATGCTTCTCGCCATTCACCTCTCCTCGCGTATATCGAATTACCTTCGTTGAAGGGTTTCGCGCTTTGCAGGGTTTTATCGACGGCAGGGTCAATCTATTTTTACGTGACGGCTTATGTGTTCTTCGTTTCAACGCTTGCTGTGCAAGCATAAATCACGGTACGCGTAAGCATTCTCTTTATACACGATCCTTCGGCCACGCAACTTTCGCTACGTCTTCCTTATTCGTTGCTTTTTCGTTTATTAACATTTAATGATTACCAAATACTAATTATTGAAATTATGCAACAACGAAAGCCTCTATTTCAAAATATGACACTAAGCTGAAAACTCGTGATACAAAGTTTAATACTTGTCGCAATATTAGGATAAAAATTTATGCCGTGCTAAAAGTGATATCGCTTTTAACCAACACTAGAAACATGAATTCCAATCAAAAAAGCGGATGATGTCAGCAGCATCCGCTTTTATCTTGTATTCTTGATCGTATCGTTCCCGTGCTTAGCATAAGAAAAGAAAAGGTCTCATGGATCAATTCGCGTTCTCTCAAATAACGTTTATGCAGCATTTTGATTAGGATACTTAGAGTGAAGTAATGAAACAATTTGGTAACTGAATTCTAGGATTCTCAGTATAACACACAGAAGTATCTAACATACTGTACAACTCGAAAATCTTCAAAAATGTAAAGTTTAATCAGTTCACGGAGAAAGTAAACGAAATGCAAATACATTAGTCTCCTACCTTTCAAATGGATTCGATGACGTATTAAAAGTCACAAGGTAAAACGCCTGTGACGTGTGCGTTGCCTCCTGTTACGTTGCTTTTAATCTCGTTACCGGTTTTTGCCATTCGATATTGATCTGGTACAAGCCAGCGGGAATTTCAGCATACGTGATTTTATTCCAAGAATGTAGCCAAGCAGTGCGCTTCAAAATGAATAAGAATTAATCTGTGATTATCTTAATCGTCGCGCGTTCATCGAGGGCCCAGAAATTATGTAACGAAATGCCGCGTTAATTGAACGATGCCAGAAACTCGGTACATCGATGGTAAGCAATTTACAGCGGCTGAAAAATTTTAAAATTTCTTCAGTAAAATTGAAAACACAATGAAATTAGTATTTAGCGACATATGAAACACTTCCGTAAGCTACTGGATAATGTTGCTATACTTAACTTCACAACAGTCGTCAAATTACTCTTATCGTTAACCGAAAGGATTCAATAACTAACGATTGCATCTGTGATTTGCATTTGTATCAACAATGAAAATTAGTCGAGTTGAACTATAATTTAAATTGTCATCGTAGATGTTACAGGAAAGCAGGAAGCAGCCGGTAGGAACAGAAATGATTCGAGCGTTCATGTTCTCCTTATACTTCAAAAAGCGTTTACTTTGTTCTTGCTTCGATCAACGTTGTAGATTGAATACGATTCAAAGCCGTCTTACTTCAAAAATAGTCCGGGAATATGTTACTATTCAACCTGAAACGAAATGGTTTTTCAAATATTGATTTTAACTCTGACTTGATTGTTCTGAGTAATTGTTAAAACTTCTTTATCTGTAAGATTATAACGCTTATGCAAACGATACTTCACATAAGTCAACTGATAAGTGGCTACCAACGAATTACATTGAAAACTTGTTCACTTTGTTTCCTGTTGCCTCTGTAAATGCCGCCCGTTTTTCTAGCCCTCTCTTCGTCGCTTCTTACTATACCATATACCACTTGAAAGCGCGTGGAACGCGCAGTGTGCTGTTGCTCTCAAGGGAAGAAACAACTGACGGTTCGTTCGTTCCTACGTTTTATTTCAAAATCATTTGCGTGTTACACAGCGTCCAATATACTGTAGCACGTGTTCGCAGCGTCAAGAGTTATTGAATAACCGTCCGTTCGCTGAAAATCTTCGTTCTATTATTAAAAGAAAAACGAAATATACCTGAAATAGCATTGCGTAAATATTTCAACAGTGTCTATAAGGTAACGATACCTGAAAAGTGTAACTTCTGGTGACGCGTTAAATTGAATTTCATGGTTATTCCACTGACTCATTGGTAAAATCTAAATTTCTTCAAATGTGATCATTCTCTTTGCGCACCTACCGTCGCGGTGACGATTGTGTAATTGCTGGTGATCGATCGGGAGCGGTGTTTATTTCTAAAAACTCGTGCGTCAAAGAAATGCACAAGAAATGTGGTACGCGATCGTTTCACCGAGTAGCGCATAAACGTAGCTGAAAGTTCAAAAGTGAACGGCAAGTGAGACAATATTTTTTTTTGTGTACGAATATTTTTCTCTTACCCTGAAGAGAGAATTGGGATTAATTGTAATGCAATTAATCCTGGGATGCTGTAATACCGTGGAATATCGGTGCAATCGTGGTAAAACCGTGACTTCGCACGTGACGCATCATCCGACGATAGTTTTTCAACTCTTAACACCTTGTCTCCGTTTCCCGGTCTCTATGCTAAATGCATAGCGATTCTTCATCGAAACGGTTACACAAATAGGGAAAAAGTGGAACATTCTACTTTCACGTTCGACGAAGGTATGCACTTTTAGAGCGTGTATTATACGTTAAGAATTAGGTTAATTCTTCGATTTACATCGATTCATCGTCGACCAGGATCCTGCATATTTTCCTTTATTTAAAATTGATGAAATAACTGCACCTGCAAAATGTAAACGTTTCACTTGAATGTAATTCCATGAAAGATACTCGAGCATCTTACCTGTATTGTTGGCTTGATCATTTAACAGGTATGATAAAAACTAACGTGATAATCGTTGGATAATTCCGTGCGCAATTATGGTGATCTTTGTATTCAGTGAAATGTAAAACATATCTCAGAAAGAAAAAAAATTTTATATAAAAGTAATATGAATAATTAATTAATTTTCTTCTTTGTTTTAGAAGATTTTCATTTTCTTTTTATTGCCGTTTTTGCACTTGAACTTTATCATCACATTAAAGTATATTATTAGGAATTGTTCAAATTATTATTTAAGTGCTTCTCGCATGTCATGTTATTGTAGTAATGAGCGTGTATGCACATCTGGTAATTATACAAATTTCTTACCGCATTACGAATGAGGTTTCACGAAAATGCATGTCGTATCAATAGTACGTGAATTCCTGCTAAAGTAATCATCTTTCTTGACTAGTAATTGTTGGATCTTCAGAAAAAGCTCAACCAGTGTTTCCTGTAAGAACATCGACAACCGTTTTCACAGAATCCTGATACCTGTGCATTCTTGTAAATTGTAGGATTTCTTGTAAATTGAAATGTTTTTAAAAAAAAATGTTAAAAAAGAGTTTAGTAAGAAATTACTAAATTGTGAACGCTTTTACTTTAAATAAACACAAATTCGAATTACCTGTGGATGGCGGCCATCTTGGTTGCGAACTTAAAACGAAAAACTTAAATAATAACCAAATAGCTTGATTGATACATTACCAGTTCAACAAATGATAGGTGTCAAGTTTGAATTACGGTGGAATAATCGATCGTTTCATTTTTTACCTCTTTTTAAAAATAGAACTCGCTTTTTGCATTTAATCTTTACATTTCAACTTCACCCACGCTCAAAGACCGCCATACTTGTTGAATGAAAAAACAGAGTAGATGGCGCTGTTTTTCAAATGTTAGGCAAAAATTCAAATTTTAAATATAACGGAATTTCTGCCTACATTGAAGGGAATATAAATAAAATTAGTCGTCGCATTAATTATCTGATTGAAAAATCAGATAATTTACATTAATGATATGTATAAATTATTTAATCGTCGATTATATTGAAACAGCAAAGTACAATTGCAAGTGTATTTATCATTTGCCTAGTTTATCTAAGATAACAGATAAAAGCAGTAAATGGTGGGGAGTACTAAAATTGATAATTATGATCTTGATTTCAGAATTGATATTTCGCTGCGCGATAGAAGTGCGAAGTGATAATAATTGAAACAAAGATACGTGTGCAGAATTTCGGAAAGGTTCGGCGGATTTCTGTCGCGAGGAAAGATAGAAAGAAGCGAAGGAAGATGTTTCAATGGCCATTGATTGTTGTATTAGTGGTTTCGATGTTTGGTAAGGTGGAAGTCCATGAATATTTATTATCGGAGATAAAATAAACGTGCACTTAAACGTGATTAAATACTTAGATAAACGTATTGTCTGATTTTTCAACAAAAAAACCAACCGTGGATTCGTGGAAAAGTATACAAAGTGAATTTCCAAAGCGACTGTATTTAAAATTATTTTCGTTGATACGTTTTATTTTTACGTTCAGAAAAATTCTTTTTTATTACAACAGGTGTTATTTTAAAAATAATTTTAATAATTATTAATACTGACAGATGGCAGAGTATGTCCTGCAGTGCAAAAGGGACACGACAATGGCGATAACCATGATGTTACCAAAGGAAATAACGTCACCATCGATTTAAATAACAATGTTAATAACACGACCGAATCCTCGAACAACACGATGGAGGATAAAAAGGGTGAGTAACATGGTAGAATTTTTTAATGCTTTGATCCTTTGGGTTCGCCTCAACTCCCCCTTCGTACTTCAAGGGCATAGAGAGTCAATATTCTTTGCGCGTATCGATCAGTATGATTACCGTGGGAATGCATCGAATGTTTCGTCATTTTTTTAAATATACAGGAAGTCTAAACGGAACCGGAAGCTTGGTGCCTTTGAAGAGGTCGACAAAAGAGCAGGGCCGGCCCTGAGATTTCGGGGGTCTGAGGCGGGCCCCTTCACATATATGACATAAAAAAAGTACCTGAAATAAAATTTATAAAATTAACATTAAAGCTTATATAACTAATTTAGATTTGCATTACTCTTCTTGCATTCTTAGACGCAAAATCGTCAATTAAGCATTTACCGGTCTTACGGGAGCCCTTGGGGGCCCCTATAAAAGAGTCACCATCCAATGCGACGAAAACTATCGAGGATAGAAAACATGATTGTAATACAACAAAGGAAGTAACAGATATGATTTATTGCAATGTCAGTCCACCAGACGACGATGCAATTATTGAACAAAACTTAAACACAACAGGTATGCGGCTAAGAACGTTGATAAATCAAAGATAATACCCTACGCGAAGATTAAATCATGTTTATTTTTTAGAGTCCCCAAGTACCACAATTGCTGCAAACAATAAGACTGAAGCGAGCACCGAATCTCGGGTAACAAAAGTAACTCCTAAGGAGAGCAATGAAAAAGAAAGTGGGAAGAAAACCTTGGAAACTGTCGTGCCATTAAATCATTCAGAAACCACAGATAAAATATCTTATGACGTTGTATCCACGGAACCAAATCATTCTATCCATACCAATGAACCGGGTAAAGAAATAATTTTGATTTAGTAATTTATGAAAGAATGCGGTTACTTTAAAATAACATACATACGTTTGGTGCTATAGAAGTTTCAGGTACCACTTCAAAGCAGGATATCAATACAAGTGAAGCCTCGGTTAGTTCAGTAGCACCTCTACAGACAGATAGCACAGCTATAGATACACAATCTAAAGATGTTATTGCAGCAGTGAAGTCGAGTGATAAGGATAATAATAAACCTATGCCCTCAGGACTCATAGCGCTAGTTACCGCTATAAGTTTCGCTGTAGCAATCGCGACTGTATACATTGGCATGATCATCTGGAGACGATATATTGAGTCAGTATAAAATTCAATGACAAAGTTTATTATTTCACGCAGACAGTTGCTTTTATTAAATAATTTATTTTAGATATCGATACGGTCACCGGGAGTTACTCGTGAATGAACTAGAATTTGATACTAATGATTTGCGTCATTTTGAAGTAAGTACGTTAGAGGTCACTTAAATTATAACATGTCGTTTAATATTAATTTATACTGTTATAGCTGTGATTCTAAAAGAGTCATAACCCGCGTAGGAAGAAGAAGTAATTGATCCACGGCCGGTCAAGGTTTATATAAGCTATAACTATTAAAGATTCATTGATCTGTGATACTAAGGACATGCATCGCGTCTGACAGTCAACAAACCAAATCTATTTGGATAATGTTATACATTTCTTGTAATGTAACTGTTTTATATGCATTATGTATACACCCGGTCTTTTCAAGCTATCGGTCGTTTTTCCCCTCCTCCTGTAGAAATTAATATAGCATTAATGTGCTGTTATTTATATTTTTTCATAATTATAATGCGCAGATCGTTGAATAAATTACTAGTACTATTACTATAAGTATTAATTTAACAATTTCAGAAAGCAGTATGGGTGCTAGAATAATGTTAGTAAATCCATATTTCTTATTGTTTTATAGTATTCAGAATTGTTGAAAATGTGTATGTTTGTTTTTCATTTTTTTTTTTCTGCCTTTGTATTTCCTACATATAAAACATATGTAAATATCACTAGTTAAATAAATCGATGGATTATTTTTTTATTCAAACTGTTTTTATTTTAGTATGTAAATAAGTCTAATTAAGATAAAATAATAAAGTACACTTTTCCAAGGAATTATATTAATTATTCATAAAAATTATGCATATAAAAAGTAATATCGATTACATACATTTCGTATATCACAACATACTCGGTTATTGACGAAAATCATTTTCGCAACGATATATTTATTCATATCTTTGTTAAATCACATTTTAAAAAATAGTTATAAGTAACAAACATTTATTTTGCATCCTGCTTTATATATTATACTCTTTATGGTTTTCAACATTTATCTACATTAATATTTTTTGTATATTTTTGTTTTCTATGAAATATCTACAATGCTGGTGGCAGAAATATTTGTTCTTGGTTATTAATGACACTGTATCTGGCAAGTATGCAATATAATTACAGTTTTATAATGCTCATCACCCATTAATCTTTCTTTTTTGTAACTACAAGAGGTCCCACATTATCGTTTGTTTGTTCATTATGACGTCCATGAGAGCCATCACAGTATGGCCACTGAAAAGAACAACATTTTTACTCATGATTAATTATTACAATACTTAAATGTATCACTTTATTATTATTTCCACTGTATATAAATACAGCTAATATTCACAGGACCATATGGTTGCATAACACGTGTCTGATGATCTTATTCTTGGATACAGTTAATGTAGGTCAGTTAAAAGATCAATTTAAAATCATAACATTAGGTATATTAAAAATAAGAAATTGTTGAACTTACATTTTCAGATTTCCAACAACGACAAAATACAGCTTTTTCAGTTATATCTTCTACATCAATAGAGTCTACCACCTTATTTACATCTTTTTTAATACAATGATTTACACGTCCGCATCCCTGAAAATATGATTTGCATATTTATTTAATGCATCTTTCAAAAATTTATTCAAAATTAATAGCTATGTTAAATTTGTGAAAGGAAGGCAATAATCATCGGATAAGAATTTGAATCAACAACGTTATGTAATGAACGGAGAAAAAAAGTAAAAATCTATCGTAATATGCTATCTTAGCGGCCTTGATGATTTTGTAACAGGTACATGGAATACTTACTGCTCCTCTAGCTAAAGGACAAAATGCTTTATAGGACATATAACCGATGCCAGCTAACATCGCAGTCGGTGGAATCAAAGCGAACCAGTCTCGTACTAAATAAAAACACACAATTATTGTAATCTCATAGGATGCATAACATTCCTCTGTAGAAAGTGGCACTGTATCAATTTGCAGTGTCATGCTTTAAACTTTGTCTTTAAAAATTATTTAACATAACTGTCGTCAGCTATTAAATATATTACAAGTAAAATGTTTAATTTCTTACTTCCAAGTCGAAACCATCCTCCTATAGAATCCGGAATAGGTAATCCAGCTAAATAATTAGGGATGGACACTTTAACGAGATGTGAGACTGGCTCCATGTTTGCAGTTACTACTGATCTAGTCAAGCAGGGAACTAAAGTGTTTCGAATGAAAACCACTTTGAATTTTATATATTCCAAGAATCGATTAGCATTTCCAAATCGTGAGAGAAAGTTTGAAATTAACATACACACTTATGTACATTTACATGGTCATGTGCAAGATAAGAAATATGATAAATATTATTATTTGTTGTATTTATTACTGATTAGAAAATGATTATAACTTTAGATGAGAAACTATCAATTACATATTGTTCTATTCCAAAGTTTTTTAACACAATATTATTTCTTATTACACATAAAATATCCATTTCTTTTATTAATCTTTAGTTTTTAATATTAAAAAAGTATTGCTATGCATTTTTTAATTTGTATATTTCCAATAGCATTGTTGCCGGCAGATTTCGACTAGCGTAGTAGTAAAGGTGAAGGACCGGTGGGGTCCGAGCGATGTCTTGTAAGTGGCGCCATCCAGTCGCGAGGCGTTCGCCGGGCAGGGAGGAGGTGGCTGCGTCGTCCGCAAGGATACGTCGTCGGTTACCGCGACGCCGCCGCGGTTCGCGCAGGCACAGGTACGAAGTGCGCGCGTTTTCGAGGCGGTATCACGAAAAGCGCAGGAGTGGCGTTTCTACGTATCGTTCAGATATCGCTGCTACACACCGTGGTTAACGTGCAGTGAATAATTCGAGGTTCGTGGCATCGACGTAAAGAGAAGACCACGAAAGCAGAAGAAGAAGAAGAAGAAGAGGAAGGCGAAGGAAAAAAAAAGAGGGAAAAGGAAGGGAGATAGAGCAGTTGTATCGCGCGGTGCAGTGCGAAAAGTGTTCGCGAAAGGGGCCCCTTGCTTCCACTCGGCTGTGTGGGTGTGCATGCGTGTGCCAGGCAGGCACGTAGAACGTTGACTAGTGACACACGGTGTTCGAAAACGGAGAGAGAAAGACGAATAAACACGGGTTAGCCGGATGATAATCCTAGTGAACGGTGTGCGGGTTTCGTAAAAGGTGCGTCAAATGACAGTGAGGTGATCAATGTGCTTGAAACATGGCTGAGGAGCTGGTGGTCACCCTGAACCGCGGCGACTCATCCGGATTTGGGTTCTCGCTCCTCGGTACCGCGGGTTTACCGCACGTCATCTACGACATCGTCGAGAATTCGCCGGCAGCGACGAGCGGCAAGGTGAGTACAGCTTCGATCGTTTTTTTTCTTTTATAATATACGTCACGCTTGCAAGTATCGCTTGGTACCAGAAGTTCGAGGACGGTCAAAGGTAGCGTTAGAAAGAGCAACCCTGTATATATACATGTATATTTATGTTATCGTATACGATACGTGGTTCGTTGAGAATCCTGCGAATGCACGAGCCTCAAAATAACGCCCGGTGTATATCGACCCGTGTTATTATCGCGAGCACCCTCTGTCGCCCCCGTCTGTTTCTTGACCTCTGATTACTTTTTATTCTCACACTTTCCGAGTTGTGCTAGTGCTTCTTGTGTATATGTATATGTACACCACTCGTTTTTAACGTCGACGGTACAGGGATGCTGATTGGCTGGGTGGGATCGGTTTAACGGCCACATTCCAGCCTGTCGGTCGGTCCCTCTGTTCGTCTGCTCTCTCCTTTCCTTTTTTCTCTATCTCTGTCTTTTTCTCTTTCCTGTTTCCTGGGGAACGTACCCCTTCTCGACGATCATACGAGGTGGAAAATTTGAATCGAGGAGACGGTACTTTCGTACATTCATACAACTTTACGGTTACGCTTGTTTACGTATTGTTGCCATCTGCGAATCCTATACTACACTAGTATCATTATTCTTGTTTATAAACTAGTAGTGTTCTTAACGAACGTTTGATACGTCGATTTCGAGCGATTGAAATTCTTTTTCTTGTTTTACGCAAGCGCGTTGTAACATGATTGCCAATTTTTTTTTCGCGGTACCTCGTAATCTTCCAAATTGAACCCTCTCTCCCCTTTACCGGCGGTTTTAGCGCAGAATAGATCGATTTCTTTGTAGGAACTGGTTTTTGATACTGGTCGTGAAAATGATGAGAATTTCAAATAGTGGATGAGAGCTAGATTATATTAACCGTCTTACGGACCAGTTTCCAACAGGCGATACACTTAAAGGTTATTAACTGTTACGTCTTTCACCGATAATTTATTCAAAGTGTTGTTTATAATATCTAGATTAATTATCTGTTAGGTAGATGTATTTGTAGGTTATCTTTCTCGGATACGCATAGGTTTCCTTATGTTTGGAACGTGCCAGAGCCAACTAATCAAAGCGAGTGTGTTAAAAACTACTCACCGCGCATGCGTATAACTTTTTGTGTCCTGCATAACTGTCATTCGCGAGAAGAATGCGCGTAACAAAGGAGCGGCCAGTTATTACGCGTGATTGCAATGTGTCATTGTATGCATCATCCCTTTTTCTCCCCTTAACTTTCCACCTTTTCAAGATTTTATTATGCTAATTGATTAACTCGAATAATTAACAACACTCGTTTCAGGTTCTTGCTAGTAATTTTATCCTTCTTCTTATGCTGGATGAAATAGGTTAGGTCACTTACTCGAGTTTATTTTACGAACATACATTTTTGCTTTTACACGAGAGTATGCATTACATTGTAGCTCACGATATATTACCACGGCATTAACAAGATAAAGCTAGATCCGTGATTATAGTTTTGCATAATTAACATTCGCATGTAACCCGTTCGGTATATTCTTCGCCTGTATTTTCAAGACACGTTATCGTTTGGTTTGATTTATTCTTTTTAATCTTACCACTAAAGACGAAAATTCGGTGTAAGTACTACGTTATTTCCTTTTAATTAATATGGCAGCATCGTGGCTCTTGAAAGCAGGTTAGGTCACTGTATCGGTAGCCACTCAAGATTCATTGTTCGACTGGTACAAAGAACGCGTAATACATTTTGTATTGTTCCCAACGGACTGCATGGAGTGAGATTGGATTTCTAAAATTGTTTTTTCTATTTTCCACAAAATTGTTGAAATCGGTGTCAAATTGACAAACAACAGTTTAAATGATTTAAATGTTTCATTTAGAAGATTATTAACACAAATTATATTCAATTTTAATTATTTTTCATTCAACATTAGATTTTTATTTTATTCTGACTCACGTGGTCAATTTGAAATCACTCGAACCTCGATCGATTTCGATCGATTTGCGCGCGTAATTTGAATGTTGCATTGAAATAATCATACACGCAATCGAGAAGGATCAAGCCAAATACGGTCTGATTCAAGTGTACTCTCGTTTGCGGTGTCTCCTTTGCTGTTTTTCTCTTTCCGTCACGACGATTTCTCGATTAGCCTGTTTTAATAATTGGCCGACGGGAAAAGGTTATGCAATACCGTTGCGTGATAACGAACAGAAGAACTTGCAGTTTCTTGCCGGTTTAAGCACGCGAACCCAGCAATTAGTTGAACCGCGCGTCGTCGAATTTCTTCAATTTATCGATCGATTGCACCTCCTTGATAACCATAAGACGAATGCACCCCTTCGTTACGATAATTAAAGCCCTCGGGCGTGGGTGCACTCTCGTAATCTCCGTGATCTTCGTGACTAACGTTCGAAAAAGAAGAAGACAACTTGAAGATGACTGATGGGATTGCAAAACGAGTATTTTGGGGCGTATAGCATGGCGATAATTTAAAATTTCACTTTCATGAGTAAATGCATTTCATTTTTCCCATAGGTTCTATAAGTAATATTCTATCTTTGTATCTGGGTCAGAACGACCCTCCAATGTATACCACCCGGTATGTAGAAACCGGAATCATTTCTATCACACTACTCGTATAGTGTACTTATTTACAATAGGGAGCAATAAAGTGGGTCAAGGGTTAAATTCAATTTTTTTTTTTAATATATATATATATTAGATACAGTCGTTGCGCCAGACGAGCTGCGAAATCGAATCTGAGACGGCTTGCCATTTATCCGTTGTTTCTGCAATACCAGACTGATGTTGCATCAATGCTATCTTACACGATGCGGTTCCTATCTGACGTATTAATTTCCGCGGAATTTCCACCTAGTAATACGATCTAAATCGATCGGGATCGAAAGTAGAGCGTTAAGCGTAACATTTTATAACGGGTCGTTCTTAAAATAGCTGGTGCATTCCTAAAATAAATATGAAAAATCAAAGCGTAAACCTGGAAACGCGGTTAACGGGCTTTCCAACGGTTCGTTTGCCTATTTGGAGAAAAGAAAGGCCGATTTTTCCCGGTTTACGTCCAAGGGCGTTTCCTGTATTCTCTCGCGAATTGAAGGCGCGAGCACGCGCGAGAATGCGACAGAAGTAGAATTCGCCGGTTGCGTTCTTAATGGGTTCTCGTAACTTGCATTTCATTAGCACGGATAGCCGGCGTGCCACGGGCTCGTTTCACTTCCATTTCTCTACGCTTCTTTCCCTTCGTGACCAAGTTCTCTCCTGTAGCCGTTTCCCGAATCCGCGTTTCCTCTTGTCCGCTCGTCGAGAAAGGGGTCAATGGCCAGCGAGATATTCTTATTTCGCTAAAAGGGCCGCGGTCAAAAGCCGACTTTCCAAACGTTACACGGATGAAAGTCACTGAATCATTGTGCGAGCTCGGTTACAACTCACTTTTAAGTTATGTAATTCGTGAAGATTAATTGAGGACCTTTCTTTTTTTTTTTGTGAAATTTAAATAGTTACTTTTTTTATTATAACATACGATTATTGTAGATGTTAATTATTGATCGATAATAGCATTTTTCCCCAAGACGCATCTGGTGCGTCGTTAGTTCCGTTAGATAAACAGCATAAGACGCACCAGGTGCGGCATCCGCCTTGAATTGGTTAAATTAATCCGAATCAACTTTCATCAGCCTCTTCAATGGCACTTAAGATTGTAATTTGTCACTTTTAATGGTTTAAGTGGTTTACTTTGTACAGAGTGATAAAACGGTTGGCTCTCTATAAAAATAACGAAAATGGTGGCTGTGAGCTTCTTTGTGTTCACCTCGGTAAAGATTTGCAAAGTTGTTGGCGAAGTAAGTGCTTTGCAGGCTAAAAATAACACGTTTATCCACGAAGAGAAAGAGAGAGAGAGAGAGAGAGAGAGAGAGAGAGAGAGGTACAGTAAAGCATGTAGGTAATGGCCCATTTTGCGTGCAGTTACTTGTTTAACGATTTAGGTGTAGCACCGTGAGGCCAGAATTCCAACGTTCTACTATTAAAAAGTAAGATCGTAACGTTATGTTCCTGATTAATGATAAACTATAAATTTGTGAATCAAAATGAAAAGAAAAATAAGTAAAGAAAGAATAAAAATTGAGTTGTTAAATGGAACGCTTAGGGTGCGCGTGTACCCAGGTTATAAAATCGTGAATATTTAGGTTATTAACACGAGGTTTTAATGAGAAATTCAAGTAATAGCAGTAACTCGGGCCATTTAAACGCCACGTTAAGGAATTCTACTTACCGGGGTCAAATAACGCGTTGAGAAAGCACGCTTAATGTCTCAACCGTTTCCCGCAAACGGGTATTTTCTCGTTCTAATAAATTTTCCTCGAGACACGAGGGAAGCGGCGAAGAAAATAGTCGGGGAAACGATCGGTCGTGGATTGAAATCTCCAAAGCGTGCTGTTTCGTCGGTTCACCCGTTGCTTCTGCACTCTTTGTGTAAACTGCATTTTCGCCCCGAAGGCACGGAACGATCTCGAGGAACGGTCGAAAGGGGTTGTTTATACGGTAGAAAGAGAGGAAACAAAACATAGCTGTTCTGTTTCTTACCCTCTCGTCCCTCCACCTTTCTCGTTGCCGGTTTGGCACGAGACCGGAGTGAATAACAAGCAAACGACATTTGAAAAACGCAACGGGACGCGTTTGCTCTGCATTCTGAGCGTGACGAGCGTAACAGACCTCGAAACGCACAGGATGTCTGAAAGTAGATGTACGCGATACGATCTATAAATTCGGTGTAATAAAATACGTCGAAAAGGTCCTTTACCGCTTTTCAATCTGAGCCTTCGTTTCCGAGTTACGAGAGGTTGAATAATACCGGGTACCCCGGAAGTGGAGGATTCAATCTTGAATATTTCCTATTTTCCGGACAGAAATTATAATTAAAGATAGAATATCTGTCTTTGTACCAAAGGAAATCAAAAAGTCCTTTATTATTTTACTATCTGAAGCTTCCTCTTCAAGATAAATGCGTTTGAATATTGAATCCTCAACTTCCGGGGTGGCCTATTTAAACCTTACCAAGCGAGCAACAAAGGATTATTTACAGTAGAGTTTGTTACATCATCAGGAAGATTTAGAGTGACCATGATGACATAAGCTGTTTACTTGGTTGCACAAAGTTTATGCAGAGCACCCCGGAAGTCGGGTGTCCCATCTTTAATTTCACCTATCTCGGAAACGGAGCTTCAGATTGTGAAACTGTAAAGGACTTTTAGATTTATTTCGCTGCAATGTTCTCGTGCTGTACATCTATTTTGAGAGACTCTGTATACAGCTTGCTCAAGTGAAATAAATATCGTCTTATCTACGGCAGCGTGAATAGGAACGGCATTCGATACGATAGCAACGTTCGCGGCATTTTTCCGATTTCGTTTCACCGTGAAACCGTTAAATCTTGGGTTCCTTAACCTGCTACGAGGCGCGGTTCTTTTTTAAGGAAAGCGTTTGTAAATAAATAAGAGGTCTTTGATTCGATGAATATAATTTCTTATCGAAGCTGGCTACCGTTTTATTTTTCAAGAATTTATGGCCTTAAATTAAGATTAGCGAGTTACTATCACGGTAAAAATGGACCCAGGAATTATTAAGCATTTCAGATATTTTCTTTTAACGAACTGGAAATCCTGAGTGGATTTGAATATCGTCGGGAAATAGAAAAATATAGAACGCACCTGCAGTATTTCAATTTTGATCCCGTAGATTTACGAGGAAATATCGTAAGTTTCCTATCGGAAAAACATTTTCCAGCGATGCCACACTTTCTGCTCATACAGAGGGAATAAAGTGTGCCGTGCCTTCCTTATTAACTCTTAACTGTTGAAATAGGGCCTCGATATACTTTCTGTTCCCCTATCACCTTCGATACTGTTCATAAATTACTCGATACCTACTGTGCCTTTTATTCAGCAACACCTGTGATCCCAAGATAATATCGTATATAAAATTCTTGCGATTTATACGTAAACAAGGTGATTAGATGTTCGATAAGATCGATAGAGTACGCGATAGAGCATTGTTAACAGATAATATTAATTTTGTCGAGGGTCGGTGTTTCCTTAGGACAAAAGCTCTTAGCTTACCACTGGAAAATAGGTGCGCCAGGTTCTTGCAGGTACAGTGAGAGGCAAAAGTGAGTAGAAACTGTTCAAAATAGACAACCTCGGTTAAAATTGGACTAAATAATTTGAGATTTTTTGAGAAGCTATAAAAATTAATTTGAAAAATGACCATTCACTATTGTTTTTTCACGGCTTCAACAAATTGTAATTTTTTAAAACGATGAAAATACAAAGTTTAGTGAATTAATTTTTATAGTTTCTCAAGGAACCTCAAATTATTTAGTCGAATTTTAACCGAGGTATTCCATTTTGAACAGCGTCTACTCACTTTTGCCTCCCTCTGTATATCACGCGAATGTTACTCAGGGCTGTATTTTTCGAGTAAATACCCGGGGTGCTTAGCTTGCCGGAGGGAAAATGGGAAAGCGCAAGTTCGCTTCGATGTTTATGCTATGAAAGTTCCAATATACTTTCTTAGTGAAAAACAACACCGTCGACTGTACTTAAGGAGCAAGTCTGATGGATGTTTAACAGTGTCTTTCGAGCCTGAAATTGTTGGATTAAATTATCGTGAAGGCAAAGAGTCTGATGGAATTAATACCGGTAGAAAAGTGCGTGTTTCTTTTTTCCATCAATGTCTGGCATGATTTTATGACACAAAAGTATCGCGAAAAAGTATGTGTAATATATCAAATTAAAGCTGAAAGTTTGAAGAAAATGTCTAGTTGTTTGTGGTTTAAAATTACGAAACCACGGTCCCGATATCGTTGAATGATGTGTTTGCCGACGCCAATGAACCAACAGCTATTATACCGCGTGTTATACAAACGTTTAGCGAAACAGTACGTCTAATAAGTGTGTTTACAATGCTCCACGTTATCGTGCGCGGAATCATGTAGGGTATTATAATTTCGAGAATAACAATTCAGCCAGGAAGAATGCTTCTGTTGAAACAAATTTAAGAACGCGCCATTGAATTATCGTTCGTACTGATTGGAGCTATTGTTTCAAACGGATTTCGATGTTAATCAATGTTAATGAATGAAAATCGAAGCAAACACGGGATAAAAAGGCTTAAATTGAATTAGACGATATTTCATTTTATTACAACAGAGAAAATGGAACAATGGGGAGGATACGATGGGCTATATATTATAGAGGTGGAAGGTTTAATTAAATTCTATGATAGATGTGAATATTTTGAATAATTTCATGAATTTTCTCTAGTAATAGCACTTGGAAACAGAATATGTAATAATTTTAAATATTCTACTGAATACGATAGAAAATTATTATTATTATTAATTAATCTTCACGGATACTCGTGTGATCTATTTATTTATTCAGAATAAACGTGACGAATCGTTCGGTATGAATGAGAATTATATACAATAGCTTAAATTCTGTTTAACGTACACCCAATTATGTTTGAATTTATCCACGTTTCCTGGAACAATTCAAGATGTTAATAGCCTGTTTTGGTAATTGAATAGCATTTGATTGCACAGCAATTTCCAAGTTATCGTGGCAGGAGAATTTGTTCAAAATTTCAATTAAATTTCAATTGAAATTTAAATGAATAATTCCGTATATGCAATTACTCATAGATACGCCTACTCACATGTTACGAAATACATCAGGTTACGTAAAGGAATGCTTATCAAAAGAGTCGGATAATCGTAAGAGAAAAGACAGGGTAAGCGGATCGTTTGTGAGACAATCGTAAGAGAATCTGAAAAATGCCTCCGATCCTCGATGATTCAACGAAAAGAAAGAAACTTGCCCGTCGGCGTGGGTTGGAAAAACGATTGACCTGACAGCCACATAAATTCGAATCTTCAGCCCTTCTTTTCGCGTTAGCTCGATGGCTGCTTCACGAGAGTTGAATCGATTCCAATTTGGGTCGGAATATAACGCCATTTACGGATTTCGCGACAACCTCTTCTCTTCTCTTCTCTTGCCCTAGAAAAATCGCCCGAGGATCGTGGAAAAAGCAGAATGTTTCCATTTACGGTGAAATCACAAATGTATTCATACCTTCCTCAATTAACTTTATTTTATTCCTACAAACGTTGCAGAAAGTAATGAAATTTCTGTTTAACCATCGAGGAAATATTTATTTTTCATTTTCATACGGGACAATTTATTTTCATTAATTGAAAAGTATGATTTATACAGCTGAATAAACTCTACCCACGATGAAAAATTAAATTACAATCAACCTTCTATCGTGAGATTAACCCTATTCTGGAAAATTATCAAAATTAATTAAATATTGTCGAATATTCGCGAGGAAATACGGTTCTCTGAAACGTCCATTGATTTACGTTCACGTAAATCGCTTCCTGTTGAATTATTCCACGCGTGAGGATTTCAGAAATGCTTCCACCGAAAGTATTGCCGCCTCCTCATCGTTGCACTTTGATCTCGATCGTTTTATTTTCTTATCCAAAGTAGAGCATCGATTCCGGCTATCCAAGCCGATTTATACTTCTATCCGTAGAAGGGTCTGGCAGATGGAGGGTACTTTGCCACCTGAGGAACATCGTACGATGATAACCGGTCTCCTCGGCGTCGTCTGGCGTCTTAGCAACCTCGAGCCTTCTCGATTCTCATCGATAAGAATCGATTGCTCCAAGGGGTGCAGCTAATCTTAGTTACCTCGACTACGAACCAATACCCTTGCAACTTTGAAGAAACTAAAACTTTCTGCTCAAGTTTTTCGTTAAACAATCTTAAGAGTTTTTACAAGAAACGATCCCGAATCGGGAAATTCACAGTTTCATAATTTTTTTAATTTTCCGATTCGGGACTGTTCCTTGTTAGCCTGGAAGGTTTGAAGATAATTAAGGATTGGTTTCCATTTGAATTTTCAAATCGCTTATAGGAGAGGGTGGAAGTGAGGAAGCTAAACCATTATGTTGTATTAGCGTAACGCGTTGGCTGGAAATGGGTTAAGTATATTAAGATGAAGGGTGGGAGCAGACGAAACGAATTTGATCATACCCTATGGCGATGTTTAAAGAGAGGTTTTCCCGCGCAATTACCCGTGATTAGGCTGTTTTCCGCACCTTTAAAAATTCGTAGGACAGTCGCGTCCATGGCATGGTAAGAAATTTTCTTAATAGCCAATGGTGAAATTTCCTGGAGCTCAAAATTGCTATTGAATCTAAGGCTCATTAAGATTATTAGCCTCCTTTTGAAAATTTCCGGGACATTTGTAAGGTTAATTTCATTTGAAAAGAGAAACAGAAAAAAAGATCCGTGAAGAGGATGATGAGGTACATTCGAAGCGTAGAGGAAATGACAATCATGAAGTAACGTTTTAACGAGGTTTACTTGGTGTTGCCAGTTGGAGAATCAGGATAATACGAGTGCACTCGCGAAGTTATACGGTTCTTTCGCTAAATTTAGTCGGGGCTCGAAAGGGAGGCGAAAAACGAGCAGAAGGAAAATGCCTGGTCGCGTAAAAGCGAGAGTACCGGATTCTTTTCGCACGATGGCACGCTTTTTGTTACGAATTTAGTAAGTTCGGTCCTCGAGAGGCTCGGTGAACGAACAATTTTCCGGGTCGACAGGGTCTCTCGCGAAGAAACGACGCTTGAAAATACCGTTTCTTCTTCCTCCCGACGCGACGGTTCTTTTTATCGTTTCAACTAAACCGCGAGATCATTCGCGACTAATGCACGAATTAGCAAGAAAATCCTGAAACACGGATTATCATTATTAATTCATCGTATTCTAAGTTAAACAAATTTCCTAATCTCTAACGATAACATCAAACTTCCTCTATTCGAGATCGTGTAAGATTATCGTGGTAAATATATCTGAAATTTACGTCATACATCGGAAAAATTAGGTTCACGGAAGTGGAACGAATTGCAGTCCGTGCATTATGGCATACACGTGCATACACATGCATCACGGTGCACGTGCGCGCAGGCTGTATATGAATATGCATACACTTATGCAGGAGGTGCACGGTGCTGAGCGAATTCGTGCTCATTAGTTTCAACCAGCTGCTACCACGGTCGGCTGTTGCCACGTAGGCTACAATGAAATTAAATCGTACAGGAAAAAAGCGAAATTTCGATTGGTCCAGTTTTATCAATACAAATGCCGTTAAATTATCTCGCCCAGGTCCAATTTGACCAATTTTCCTTAAATTATACATATAATAAATTACTTTCGTTTTTAGTTTATATAGGTTATTTGAATTTTTAATTGTTCATTAGTAACATATTAACATCTTCTAGTTTTGAAATCCCCTTCCCCTCCCGCATTATTGTTAGTAGCGCCAAATACGTTAGGCCCTGTCCTCGCTTCTTAATTCGTGGATCAAGTTATTCTCCTTCTATGACAACTCTGAGCCCTGTTTCGTTTCCCGTTCAAGTAATCCAACAGCTGGCGTAGCTGGTGAACGCGATCGTTCTTAGCCCCAAGGAAAATATTGAGCTTCCCGAGATCGTTGGGTGGTTCTCCGCAGATAGCAGGATTAGGACAAGTGGTCCAGACTGGTCCGTCGCTCCAAAGTAGATCGAATCCACCGATTCTCGTCTCCAGGCCGGTGAAACGACCCTCGAAGTCGAGTATGTTCAACGTGTCGTCGAGCAGATCAAACTTCAGCCGATAATCTTCGCTGTCGGTGCCGGTCAGAGCCGGTGAAGCGTTCACCTCGAGCAACCAAGGAGTTAAAGCTTCGTCGAGCAATATATCGTAGCCGTACAATTCGAATGAATTCTTTCCTTGCATTATTACCGGCTGCACTGCTAGTAAACTGGCCATTATCACGCCTATTGATTTTTTACAGAAATAATTAAATTTTTGTAAAATCTCTGGGTGAAAAAAGAAGAAAACTAACCAGCAATCCTTTGGAATAATATCTCAACATCAGCCACCCCATGGCGAGCTGTTAAATATTCTCTAACTTTGATCAAGGCCCATTTGCAACCCTTCTTCAACTCCTCCCTCTTATCATCCCCCTGAATCTTTAACTGTATCGCCATGTTGGTTAAATGCACCCTGCTGTCGTCGATGTTCTCCAGGTCGAATAATTCGGCGGATAAACGAGCGAAACCCTCCCTGGCCAGCCATACTTTCAAAGGATGAAACGAGGTGACCAGGGTGTAAATACGCAAGTCGAATTTCCTCCCTGGAACCGACGTTTACGGTGTTAACGTGTTTACAAACTTTCCGGGGACGTTTGTCGCCGAATAAAGGGCACGGAATGCTCTTGAAGAGTATCTACAGTCTTGTAAAACCATTGAAGAAAGTGGCTCTGAATGGTCCCGACGGTTCAAGCTTTTTCGACACTGTCTCACAAAAAGATTCACGGATTTCAACCCTCGCCGTGTTCGCCACCCCTTCGAAAGGTATATTGAGGCATCCTCGACAACGACGGCCATTCTTCGCTTGTGATAAGCGGCTGAAAGCAGCTACTATCGCCAAGTAAAGCACACGAACCTGCCAAGAGGTAAGGATTCTCCACGTACTTCTGAACGATGAAAGTTTCCACCGTCGGCTGTTCCCGACCTGTCTCGATCAGCTGCGGACCGTATTCTTTGCTTCGCCATTCGGCTAGATCCTTCAGCTTCCTGAACAGGAAGATACCTGTTAGAAATATCCTGCTGTTCTAAGTTTGCTACGGTTTTTAACGGGATAGGTTTACAGTAAAACCTGGATAAATGCATCGAAAGAATGCTTGGATAAGTGCAACATCGCTATCCCCTCCACTTGGGGGGATCCCCCTAGACGAACCGAGCCGCACGACGAGAAAACCGTGTAATATGATCCGACCGTAATATCGGTGTGACTAATACTAATTCAACGATAAAACTTTTTTATTTTTAACTTTTTCTTAATGAAACTTTTACTAACGCATTTGTGAGATTTTTCTGATTAAAATGACACCAAACATGATATAGTTTGAATTATATTTATAAACAATAGTAATAGAATAAACAACATAGAATTGACACCACGATTGAATATAAATGATGTCGGCTGAATACAAAACATATGTACGGACACAGAATCGACACCTCGTTTCGATAAATGCAACATTAAATGCCCAGAATCGCCACCTTGCCTGGATAAATGAAACCTTTGAAACCAGAGCCGACACCGCGACTGGTTTTGATTTCGATCTCTGTTGCTTTTCGCCAACCTTTAACATCAATTTTAGCAAGTAATTATAATTCAAACTATATCGTGTTTGGTATCATTTTAATAAGAAAAATGTCACCAATCTGCTGGTAAAAGTTTCATTAAAGAAAAGTCAAAAATAAAAAAGTTTTATAGTTGAATTAGTATTAGTCACACCGATACGTTTCGGTTCTTTCCTTTCATCATCGGACCTCTCTCTTTTCGCCACTGTCTGTCCCTTTCTACGTTCACGCTTGACTGGTCGTCGCGTGTAACCCGAGATTCGACACCTCGCTTGGATAAATGCAACCACTGGGTCCCAATCTTGGTTGCATTTATCCAGGTTTTACTGTATTAGGATCAGAGCCGGCCCTGGGCCTAGGCAGACTAGGTATCCGCTAAGGGCCCTTCAAGGTCCAGGGCCCCTATAAGATGATTTTCTGTCTAAGAATGCAAGAAGAGTAATGTTTACTTGAATATCAATCATTTATAAAAGCTTTAATGTTAATTTTTAGGAGCTCGCCTCGGGCTCTGATTAGGGTTAACGTTGGGAAAGTGGAAGCTAATTAATGTTGAGCTAATGGTGTCCTAAGGTTTAAAAGTAATCGTACCTCTTCCCTGTGATCTTCCAGCCGGTTTCACGATCCACGTGGCACCGGGTTGCTTGTGATACTCCTCGGTAAAAAGCCTGTAATCATTAGGCAGCTCGAAAGTAAGGGGCATGCAATCACAAAGTTCAGCCTCCTGGATTTTATTCGCCTTCAGCAACGATTTCTTGTATCTCTTCAGGTTTCTGTTCAGATAGTTTTTCCGTGTCAGCTCGTAATGGTTACGAAAGTGGGGTATCTTTTGATGAAAGGCCAGCTTTAAATCCAAGGCTGGTCGCACGTCGTTGATCTCGCACCACCAGAGGTACCAGCTCGGATCCTCGGGATCCGTCACCTTGTACGAGGAATTTCGCGTGGGTGATATAATCGTGGGACACGTAAACGCGACTCCGGAAGACGTATGGCATCTTCCTGAGTTAGTTACGAGAGGAAACAGATGTTAGATCAAAGAAACTGTTTGTGTCAATAAATCGCTTCCTGCTTTTGAAACGTTGACGGTGAGCTGTGTCTGGTGCAATCAGAACGTGTTCTCATTTATGGTTAACTCGTTCGAATATTATTATAAAAATCAAATTTGTCTTATTCTAGAAAATTTTCCATCGTTCGTTTGAAAAAGATCGTAAGGTGAATGGGTGACATTCCATTTACCTGGAGCCATCCTCTGGCCAGCATCACCTTAACCTGCGTCGAGGGGAAGTCGCAACGGAATTTGATGACATTTTCGTCCCCGTTCTGCCTCCTTTTCGCGTTTGAATATCTTTTTTCTCGTTGAATGGATGACGCACACTCCTCCAGCTCGCCATCACAACCAGATACCGTGTTCTTGGACATTCCTTGGAGATTGCTCGATGAAGCGGGAATTCCTTTGATTCGACTTGAATAGTCGAAGAAAATTGCTGGCATTCGTGCGGATTAAAATATTTCCAGATGTATTGGACAGATTGATTTTCTTACTACGTTTCAGGGCAAGTTCAGATCATTCTATGGTGTTTTCGAGCCTTCATTCGAATCTCATTTGTATTATCTTTTGTTCGAACAATGGTAGAATTAATCGACACTGGTTCACCTTCGTGGGTTGTTTCGTAACAGTAATCACAGTTTACTTCTCTTAAGTATCTTAAAAATCTCAGGATTTTTCGTTCTTTGAAACGTTCTATTTCGTAGCAGAGAAGTGATCCGATTAATGGAACACTTTCAGGCATCGCAGTCACAATGCTTTCGAAATTAATCCGTCAATTGGCACGCCGCGTCGCCCATGGGACTCGCGTTTCTTCCTCAACTATACAACGGGAGAGAAAAGAAGCTTATGTTGTTTCGTACCGTTTCATCCTCACTTTACCATTCCATTACCAACCTGATGCAATATCCCTGGTAATATTCCATTTCCGAGGGAGAGAAAAATGCCAAACATTTCCTGAGATATTTATATACTAGAGGAATTGCAAGAGGTATTTGATATCTGTTATTTCAATCAATAATCAAGGGATTTGATAATTAATTTTTCAGTCAACGAACGATGGTATTAGAAAATTTATTAATAAATCCTTAATTCTAAAATAATTAATAAACTTCTGGTAAGTAAAACTAGATCCAAGTTTAGTTTGGTGCATCCAGGAAGTCAGTGACCCCAAGTCAAACCTAACACGAGGGTATTCACATATTTTTTTTTTTTTCCACTCCTGTCGCCTTTTCCCCCGTTTCTCACGGCACACACCCTGTACATATTTACCGGACGACTAGTTCTTCCCGGTTCGAGCGTGAATAAATTTCAAGGCATGTCGTGTAGCCGGCATTAGCCGCGTTTGTTCAGTGAGCAAAAGAAACGTTCCAGCTACCTGTCCGGTAGAATCATGCGGAACAAAGTTTGCAGCTGAAAGACACACAGAATTTAAGGGAATGAGTGAAACAGGAGTCACCTTTTTTTTCGTTTCATTTAAATTAACGATATTATCATTTATTTTTATTCGAACGCTTTGGAAGCATAGGAACACACGACTATTTGTTGGCAGCAAAATCATCCCCTAACTGTGCACCCTCTATTAAACCTCCAGCAGCCTAATCAGTGTTGCAACTCGTTAGAAATCCATTCGAACCCGAAAGTGAACAGCAGGCCGGTTAAAAGCCAATGAAAGGCTGCGTTTCGCTTCGGTTGTTGTTGCTCGCGATAATTGATACAGCCACGTGTCAATGTTGGACGTTTTGTACACGCGATGCAGGTCGGCATATCATTCTCGTCACGCAGGGGCCACCGACTGAACACGGTTCGCGTAATGCACGCGTGTGTCACTTGTCGACAGATCGACGTTCTAGTCACGCTGTTCACAGTTAAAGGGTTATTTTTTTTTTTTTTATTTCCTTTATACAGGCAGGACCGGCCCTGAGATTTCGAGGGTCCGAGGCGAGCGCCATCAATTCATCAATTTAAAGTTCAAAGATTAATCAACATGATTACATAAAGGTTTCATCAGTATTCTTAGCAGAAATTTATTGGTTCTCTATTGACACGTGCAATAAATCAATCGCATAAGGAAGTATCATTTTGTATTAAGAATATCGATGAAGCATTTATGAGCTTTAAATCGATGTATCGTAAGTACTACTTTGAAATACTTTTCTCTCATGATAATAGATTAGATAGAAATTGATGAATCATTCAGATACGAATGATACGACAATTAAATTGTGACACTGACTCGAAACTTTCATCATTTCATACATCATGCAACTTTACAGTAAATAATAGAGTACACTATCTCGAGTACTCTAGTATTAAACCTATTTCACAGTAATTCCACCGTGACCACTTGGTACTCCAATACGAGCTAAGCTTTAATCGCGAGGATACGCGAAGAGGTGTCTGGAGTGAGCGCGCTGACAGAGGAACCGTGACAGAGGCAATCGTCACGTCACGGTACAGAAAGCCACGTGGGTGGAAAATAATAGCTATTTATATCAGCGTTATCGTCCAACGCTCGTTTCCGCCTGACGTTCCTATCTCTGTTTCGCTACTTGGCGAACGTATACCCTTCCGTTCGATGCTCTTCTCTGTCCGTCCTCCGGTCAGATAAGGCTTATCTGATTTCTTGGAAGATGCACGAGCACGCTCGATGATGCAGTGTCAATGCCAATGGGATGACACGCGATGCTGGTTTAGAGACCAGCTGGACGATGATACCCACCTGTGTAACCATTGGCGGTTACATAAGGGTGCCAGAGGGTTACGATAAAAATGAAGATTAATCTTCGTCTCGATCATCGGAATTACGTGACTCTACGAGCGAAACGAATCACGAATTCCGAACATCATCGCCACTCAGGCTGATTCAGAGTTGATTCGTCATCGAGCCAGTTAGATAGCCTGTTCGTCTTCTAACGCGTTTGCACGTGAAATGAATTCTGTGCAGAGTTCGACCTGGGTCGAATTTACATTATTTCTTGCCATCGTCGAATTGCCATATTTTCTTGCCGATCCCTCTCGATATATATATATATATGTATAATATCGATTTCATCCCCATCCGAGCAAAGTACTCGGCTAGACGGTCGTGGTTCGCTTTGAACACCAAACGACAGACGGTGTTCTCTGTCTCTGTTGGCTTCATAAAAATGGATCACGTCGAGACTCGTAATAAGAGAAGAGGGCAAACAGACTGTTATTCTCGTTGGCTTTTTCCTACCCTTTTAAACGTTCCTCGTCTTCGAATCGGAGAATCTCGAAGACCGATATCGAGTGGCTTTCAGTGACGATTCGTCTGCTTTCTTCCATCGATGCTTTCTCGACTAATAGTTTCAATTCGCGAGTATTTTTGAAGGATTCAACGTTTTAGCTGCCTTTCGTTTAGAAAGAATGCAATTTTCACGAGCTCGGATGTTTGTTTCTCGAGATGAATTTTGATTAACATAACGATTCACGCGTAATGACCGAAATAAATGTATTTGCGGATGAAAATGGGTCACCTTGTAAATGGTTGACGTCGAGGAGATACGAGACGCGCTGGTTCGATTTAAATTTTCAGGGTCCTCGACTGAAAATGAAAGTGAATATATCGGTTTGAAACCTTGGAGCACCGCTTCGTGACGCGTTTTCCAGTGCCTTGCATTTATTTTTACTTACTCCTCTTGAGGCTCGATCGTTCCTCCGAGGCTCGTCAATTTATCCGATCCAATTAAAGCGGTTTTTATATAGAAACTTCATTCAAATTAAGCACGTACGTCGATGAATCATCGGTACGTGGATAATACGAAGAAGAAAAAATAAGCATCGAAAGATCAGACGGTATCGAATCATCGTATACGATTACAAGGTAAATCAATGAATCGCCATTGAGAAAACACAATGGACGCGTTGAAATTTCATTAAACCTTCGGTGGCGCATTCATAATCTCGTTACAATGAGGCATAATTGACCCATGCGATTCGCAACAGTCGGCTCTGATGCAACAGTTATAAATAGTTGCGATCGAAAGGAAGCAGATTTTTCGTACGTAACAGACAGTCGACACCGTAAACGTACCGACTGTTTTGCGTAACAAGTGCCGTTAGGTTAATCACCATTGACGAACCATTTCCGACCATTGAATAACCATGCCGTATCTCCCACTGTTGGTTGCCTCCTCAAGGTCGTCCATCATCGAGGAGTCCCCTCGGTGTTTCAGCTCCGAATTTAAATGACGATCAACGAGCGCCGGCGGATCAAACGAAATGGTTAACATCTGGTTACCCAATGTCTGTTTCAAGTGTGCAAGCTGTTTTCACACTGGCTTCTGTGAATAAACACGCGGCAATGAATGTTTTGTGAAATTAGATTCGATTCTACGACGTGTTCTTAGCGATGGTAGTACACATACGAAGTTGCATTATTATTCCTTTTATCAAAGTAAACCTAGACCAATTATTATAGGCTCTAATTGCCCGAGGTGTGATCTATCATAGGCTATAATGGTCCAAGGTGTGATCTAATTAAGGAGTTTCCAAAAAATTAAAAATTAAAAAATTCACCAAAAAATTAGAAAAAGAAAGTGATACAGGGGACATAGATCACACCTTGGACAATAGCCGACCCTACTTTTCTATCCTCCCCCTCTATAACAGTGTGTATTGTCCACCGATCACAAGAAGTCTCACGGGACGAAAGATCGACCGATCCCCTAGTTTTACACGAGCCTAATTAATAGACGTGACCGTTATTCTCATAGGACTTCTCGCGATTTATCCTCTGATTTTCTATATTTTCCTATTATCATCAGATCGCGAAAAACACCCTCGACAACCTAGACCCACGATTTTCTCTACCGATGCAAACTAAGCTCCTCATTCCTGGACATTGGTTTTCTAATCCTATTAGTAGTAGTACAGGGTGCGTGCAACTCGTCGGTTGGACACGAGCCCGAGGAAAGTCAATGTCACGGCAGACAAAAATACAACGACGTCTGGCAAGCAACACACGCTGTCTGAATTCTAATCCATGACCGAGATTTTCGATCAGTCGCATTTCGCGTACCATCGCGTAGTTGATGTTCCTGGTGGTGTTTGCTCGGTGCTGGCCGGGTCGCATAGCAAACGACGTGCCATTCGCAAATGCCCAATTTCACGTATTGTCTGTGGTGTTGCTGCCGTCCCCTAGATCGATACTTGTCCGGACACGGGGACAGGTTCGATTACGTCGAGTACACACCCTTGTACCAGGTGAAAAAACACTTTTTTGTCGAGTGGACCTGTCGTCTGGTGAACGTCTGGTAATTAGTCTGCGGCATAGTTGAAAGGAATATTTTTTGTATCATTTTTATTTATCAGAGAGTCGCATAAAGGATCGCGAAATCGATTGAGGGATTTGTTGTTCCTGCCTTGATCGTTGTTGTTCTTGGTTGTTTTATTTCTGGCTCTGTCTACGTTTCTCCTTTTTCATTTGTTATTTCTGTGTACGTATGATGTTGTTGGCAACAGTACGAATTCAATTAAGCTGTCGTGAAGTATATTGTTGGACTTGAGGTTTGTTTTCTTTGTTATTTGCGTTGGACGAGGATGATGATAGTACGCTTCAACTAACGTCTAATAAAAGAAACGAAATTTCATTTCAAGTCAATTTCATTCGCTCCTCGTATCTATAAGGGCTAATTTCTCGTAGTTATTCGGCATCGACGTGTACCGAAGAGAAGCTGAAAGCAAAACGTTACAGACGCAGCACGCGCATATACTCTGTGGCTATTGCATCCTGATTTCGTACATCGATCAGTGCCATAGGAAACAAGAAGGTCGACTTTGCTGACAAGCCTTCCCTCGTAAATCAATTTCAGGACAGCTTCGCTGTACGCGTCGATGCATTCCGTAATAGATTTCGACTAAACGGGTCAGAGAGAGATTCAGGCACGAAAATTCAATGTAAACACGCTTGCAAGCAGGACAACGTAGCGGAGACAGTATTTGTGGAGATGCTGAGTAATTGGATAGAGCTGTTCGATGAAGAAAATACAATTTCAGAGTCGAGGCTACCAGATTTCGATGCTTTGAAACGTGGAAGTTGTGATAGAATTTGTTATTCCAAACTGCCGGTGGAAACTTTCCTTCTTTTTTAATTTATTCATTAAAATTTTCAACGATTCCAATGCTTCAGATGGGAGTCGGAATAAAATTTGCTATTTTGAGTTAACCCTTTGCTGTGATGCAACTTACAAGTTCAAATGTGTTAAATTTGGCTGGTGCTAATTAATCGTCGAATGCATATTTAATTTTTCTTTATTTATTTCAAAATTGAAGCATTTTTATTTTACTTAAATGAAGTTTGTAATAGTAGGCAACTTTGCACACTTGTAGCATCTTTGATTTCTTTTGCACGCGACAGCTGCTCCTTTATTTGTTCAACCGGAAGCGAGGATTTGCTAACAGAGAAACCGTACGAACACAGCCTTCTCTTATCTGTCCTACGTCCGATGACTTATAACTCCCCGTAAACAATTTCGTTTTCCCAACCGGGAGTCGTTTTCCCGGAGGCGGGTTGTAAAAGAAAATCGCTGGTCCACGAACGGTGGAAAAGAAATAGAGGAGCGATTTTTCAGGGAAGTTGGAGCATCAAACTTGCCTGGCAACTGCTAGAAACTACGTGAAAAGTTATATTTCAAAGCAAAAGAGTATGCCTTGAAATACGTTACCAGACTTCCTTATTTCCTCTCTCTGGTTCGTATAAGTCGCAAAACCAGCAGCCGTTCCATCGACTGGAATATCCGATACATCGACCGTCAGTAGGTTTTTCCTTCTTTTAATCGACCGTAACTCGTTTATGTATTTCTCTATTTTCTTTTCACGGCTCCGTAACAGAAACGCGGCAAACGATGCTCGATTTTACAACTAATGGATTGTCGCCTAGAAAGTTTGCTACGATTTCATGAAATAAAAGTGTCTAGAAATGGCACTCTTGGCGCATCAATTTAAACCTTAAAGCTTGCAGATTATTATAAGATTTTTATTCTAGGTTTTATTTTGTAAAATTTATGTGTCACGAAATCTTATCAGACTTTCCATCTTCGAAAATCGAGAATTGTATTTTATACGTGATATATAGATAAAAGCTTTGCGATGATTTTCCTTATGGCAGTATTATCTCAAGGTCTACCGATGTACATTAATAAAAAGTAACGAGATAATGAAAATATGAAATAATTTAGCAGTAACCAGTCGAGTGGTACAATGCTCTTCCCTGGCTCGTTAGTAACGAGCGTAAGTTATGTAAAATGTGCTCGTTTCCTCGGTCGTTCCATTCAGATGATAATTTCAAGATTACCACGACGTTACGTAAGCAATGAAACCGAGTCGAGGAGGGTATTTCAACGGCAATCGGAATAATACGTTTTGATATGAATTCTTAACAAAGTACACTGTACGAAACTTTACCTCTCCTTGCTATTGAACTTTCTCAATCGATAGAATAGCTTTATCAGTCTCTAACCCGAGTATATTTTACGTACAATCTAAAATTCTCAATTTATTTATAAAATCGAGTACTATACACGTTTATACAGGGTGTCCCAGTGATGGGTTATAATAAATAAAAAATATGGAATCAATTTTTTCAAGGCTCATTCAAGTCTTTGTTTTTGAGAAAATTGATTATAAATTTTCAACAATCTCTCAAAGAAGATTCAAAGTTGATTTTTTCTAAAACAAAGTTTTAGTTAAATAAATTTTATTCCATATTTTCGACTTATTTTCTTATATAAAATCATCTCTAATATTTGGACAGCCTGTATATCGAATCGTATCATCGATCAAGCATATCTACCTGAAATATATTTCCAACAGAAAAATAAGGGCATAACGTTTCGCGATGATTTGCATAACGGGGATTCCGTCACAGTTAACCCTTCGAATTCGTCGACGGATTGCCCGAAGCGCCAGGGACGAATAGATGCTTCACCGGCAATTCGTCATTCCAGACCAATTGATCGTTGCGCAGAATGCGTTTTCATAGAAACGGTGTCTGGTTGGTTTTGCAGGTCGAGGCCGGCGACGTCATACTCAGGGTGAACGAAGTCGATGTCAACCGATTCAGCACTAAAGAAGGTAAGAGATGATAATCGACCCTGTTTTAGAATTTCAATAGGCGGTTCGAACGCACTCGTTTCCCAAGAGACTGTCATTCATTTTCATTTATTTATCTAATCGGTTCCGTTTCACCGTCCCTTCGTTAAATTTCTTTGTTAATTAAAATTTCTATCCCGTAATATTAGTAAATTTCCAAGTAAAAAATACGACAGAATAATTCGCGGCTCGATGCTCGTTTCGTTTTGCTCGCTTTTGTCCTGTCGTCGACGATATGGAATTTTCGTTTGATCCTCTCATCCACGGGTAAATTCGGCTGAATTCTCTGACACGGAATGGCCATCGAAATTGAACTGGAAAACACGAAGGAAAATCGTATATGTAAGCGGAGCAAGCGTGCATCTGTTGATAAGTTTAGAGATGGAATCCGTTCCGCTTAACCTCTTGATCTTTCCGAGTGGGTTATTCATCGTGGAAAAACGACGCGTTCGTGGAAACTTGCTTTCCGATGAAAAAGTAATTAATTTCAATTACCCGCGATACGAAGAACGCGTGAAGTCTCGTTAGATCAATTTTTGAATTCTTTTTCAAGTAGAATTAATTTTAACCAGAACGTAGGATAAATATTGGATTTCCTGTCTTATAAAGGACGAGATCAACTCGTCCTGGAACGATACCTTCCACCAGACACTCGAGGGAACAGCAATTAATTCGGCTGCCGCTTGGGAGGCACATTTGGACCGCGAAAAGTTAAATCCCCGTGTAGACACGGTTCACGAAACTGAAATATTACTTTCGTGTCTGTTCGCGATGTCAGCCTGTCAAATTAAACGGCAGCCAGAGGAAATACGAGCGAACCGATATTGCGTCGGCCCAGGAATCTTGCCTGGTCGACCACGCGCTTTAGTTGCTCTTTTTCACCTGTCCTACGGGAGCCGTAAAACACACGCGATAACCGCTCGGACCGTCGGTACAAAGTATCCTTTTCAAGCTTCTCGTTATTCGATTATCGTCCATCGTGCTTCAGGCTTAAAGCCGTTTAACGAGCTGCAAATCAATTGATTAGCTCGTTCAGTCTCCTGCATCTCTTATTTTTTTTTTTAACAGAATTCATTGAAACTTTGCTTACAAATGGTGTGATCAATCGAACGTTTCAAATAATCATTAGGAAAAATTGGGGTAATTAGTTATCGTCGATTTATTGGAAAATTCTTCTGTAAGCAGATATTCCTAAACCTAACTCGAGGTCAATGTGGACAGCTATCGTGTTTCAGGCTTAAAGCCGTTTAACGAGCTGCAAATCAATTGATTAGCTCGTTCAGTCTCCTGCATCTCTTATTATTTTTTTTTAACAGAACTCGTTGAAACTTTGCTTACAAATGGTGTGATCAATCGAACGTTTCAAATAATCATTAGGAAAAATTGAGGTAATTAGTTATCGTCGATTTATTGGAAAATTCTTCTGTAAGCAGATCAAAGGATGTGATGATATTTTAACTCGAGGTCAAAGTGGACAGCTGATCCGCGAAACGGAGAATGGTCGATATAAAATTAACCAAGGGTCATTTCGTTTGATGCACCGGAACACGAGCGAGTTACCACGATAATACGGTCAATCAAGTGTCCCATTTCGCGTGGACGTCGCAAATTCGCGTCGCGTCATCGGTGTCCCAATAAAATTCTCGCATTAGCAGCTGACGGTCCGAAAATATTGCCTTTTCCTCCTAGACCCGTCGAAAATTCGGCTACTTCCCGTTGTTTAATGCGATCGTTGAAATTCGTTTACGGTGAGCTCCTCGCGTCCTGCTTCCAACAGGATTCTCAACTTTTCTCCACGAACTTCTCTGCTTATGAACGAAAGTTTTTCTCCCGAGCTTGTCCCCTCCGCTTCTTGTGATTTACCGTCGTCGTTAACCGGATCCCCGTTCCGAATTACTTGTAACTTGGAGCAACTTTGTTAGAAGATCCGCCCGTTCGTAATTTCGTTTGGCTCTTTGAAATTTCTTTCGGAGGATCTCGTGTAACTTTACTTTCTCTCTGTCCTGGTATCGCGAATTATTAGAAAGCGTGTATCTTCCTTTTTTTTTTTTTTTGTTTCATTTATTTTGTACAGGTAGTTCGTCCTAATTGGATCAAATCATTTTCTATCGTTTTAGGAACTCGATTAATTACGATCACAGCAATCAACCGGATTTTGTTAGAAACATCGAGGAAAAGTTTTGAAATTCTTGTTGCAAACACGATCCACGTATAATTCCTATTCCAGTCGCTTTTCCAGCCGCTTTCGAGCCCCGACACTCGGCTACTTCTCACTTTTACCCGCTTTCTTCTACTTCTTCTTATTTCTATCCGGTCGTTTTGTGTTTCAGTGTTGAAATGTCTGCGGCTCTCGTCGGACCCCGTCACCCTGAAGCTACGGAGGGGTAAGTGAAGTGCGCCAGCAAATTCTTTTATTCGCGTAAAGACCGTCGTTGAGCCGGCGAGAAGCCATCTTGACTTCTCTGGATGGATTCTCATTTTTTACATTCGAAATTGCAGTCGAAAAATAAGTAAAATTATTTGATCAACACAGTACCAGTTTAATTAAAAAAGAAAAACAAAAAGAAAAATAGAGCAATTTTTATTTTTATTTTAAAAAAAGAATCTCCAATGTTACAAAACGATGTTGTTTATTAAATGTTCCAAAAGTTTTCACGCATCAAAGCTAATTACATTCACCGGTGCGGTGCGTTGATTTATGAATGGATTTCACCGTCTCCCGTTTGCGCTAATAATCGCGACGCTCGTTTCTGCTTAAACGAGCCGGGCTAACGAGTCTTGTTCTCGCTCTTTGCGAAATCCGATTGCAGTCGGAACGGTGAAAGTACGCGAGAGGGAAAGAAAATCGAGAGAAACGTCGACACGACGAACCGGTGTACCTTGCCACGAGTTTCGCATTCCATCGATAAGGTGTTCCTATAATCAGTACCGCGTGGGCGGTGGATTTCTTCATCGCTTCCTTTCAATTTAACGCTTTATTTCTTTTATTTTTTCGCACCGGATTTCTCTCGGATCTGAGATAATTTTCACGTCGAACGATCGAAGCTATTTGCAAAAATTATACAAAGTTTCTACCTGTAATTCGACGGGAAAATGTTTATCGTTGAATGAATATTCAACGGTGAAAATTCTGTTTACCGTTTCGCGTGGACGTGCATTTTGTCACGAGCTAATTCAACTTGGCCGGTAAATATGCAAACGTTCGGTATCAGAGGACAACTGGCCGTGTTGCGTGAGCGGAATCATTGTGTAAACTTACCTGAGGGAGCAGATACAAGGCTGCTTTACAGAACCCTCGTGTCTACCCGATTTACACCGGATTATCGTTATCACTGCACGCGCACCTTGAATTCATTCGACGGTTCTAGCTAGGCCATCCTCTCGCCAGCCTGTCTTCCGCTAATGAAGTTCGTGTTGAACAAGCTGACGACCCGATTAAATGATCGTTACGTCGGTTGAATGAACGATCAGGAAAAATACCGACACCTGACCGAGATAACTCGACGCGAATTTAAAGAGGAAAGAAAAAAAAAAAGAGCAACGAAACGATTGTTTCCGTATTTTATAAATAAACCGCGAAACGTCAAAGCGTCGAAAGCGTATATGGAAAGGAATTTTTTCGAATAATTTCCTTATCGGTCGTAAGCTCGTTTGTTAGCCGAGAAAATACAGAATTATCGGGATGGTTGATGTTTAACTGGCATAATATAGGGAGGGTGTAGTTAACATATTATTGATTGTCGGTTTGCTAATCGGCTTTCCTCCGGCAGCGTTCAATGACCGAACGTTGGCTAATTGGCTTTTCTCGCTTGTGTACGAAAGGGATTCGCGGTGTTGGGGAAAGCAACAACGATTTAAAGGCCTCGTTTAAATGCGAACAAACGAGATCTGTTCGTTTAACTAAAAAAAAGTATAATTACAGCTGAATTAATAAGGATCGACGGGTATTTATCTATCTATATGTAATTACAATCGATGGAAAATTGTTGAAAATTATAGTCATCGAACTTGATCGCTTAATCACTGGTGCATTCGTGAAAGATCTGTAGAATTCGTTTTATTTCTACCAATTAAATTATTTAATTCAAAGCGTAGATTAATAAAATTAATATTTTTTGCGTGGTTTTATCATTTTTTTTCTCGATAAATTCAGTAATGATCAGAAGGAAGGAATTTCACGTGTTCGAAGCGAATTAACGAGCTCTGTACCGCGGTTCTAAAAGGTAAGATAATTGCACCATGTCGCGGCGTTGATTAATGACTCAACGTGATGAGGTAATTTAACGACACAATGTACGATTCGTTTCAAATATTTTTCCCATTTGCGATAGCAAATCGTCTTTAGCACGTTCCTGCACGACTGGCCTTTAGATAATCTGACCGTTGAAAAACTGAAAACGCGAGGAAAATGGTCGAGTTAAGATTCCAAGAGTAACGTGCGACGCAATATTTAATTATCGTTAGAGCCGTAGATGACATTAATTGATAACTATAATACGCTGGTATTAAAGCAAATTGACCGATTGACGATAACGCGAACCAATTAACTCGCCTGATTAGATTCTAATACGATTGATAACATCGGTTTTAAAAATCGCCATTCAGGATATAATATCACTGAACGAGTAATGATTTAATCCAATTTTGTTTAATACAATGGCTGCTAGAATCACTGTATTTCTCAATGAAATTTAAATGGACAGTGGATTTTGATATCAGGATTAGAAAATGAAATTCTTTTCTTCCGATTATTTTAATCCGAAAACTGGATGACTGTTAGTTTACTAGTGGTTGCGTTAGGGTTACGAAAGTGTGCAACGTAACGTCGGTGTTCATCTGGTGACTGAACTCTCGCCTCGATCTAATGATAGAACCTACTGTCCGCGTATATGGTCGCTCTTGAACCTGATAATAATAATAGAATTACGCGATCGTGACGGATTGAAAATGCGATCATGGCGTCTGTATGCGAATGCTTTGCCACGGTGTTCCAAGCGACGTCAGCTGATCGTTGCGTTGTTCACGCGCATTAATATAGAGAAAAAAAAGAGGAAGAGCGTCGAGGGCGTTTAATTAACCGTAACGAACGAACGATCAAACGGTGCACCAGGGATAACAAACGATTTTCTGTTACACTGGATCATTGATTGATCGCGGTCTGCGGGGACGACGCGTGTCGAGCCACGTGTAAAATTGTCGCGTGTTAGTTTTATATGAAATGTACGGGGTAAGATTGAATTCTTCGAGCAACAATATCCGTTTTATTTCTACCACAATTTTATCTGCAACTTTCTTAGCCACGATCTAATCTTAAACCAACTTCATCCCAGCAGAACATAAGAATCCAGATAAGATAATCTCGTTTCTGTAGATCCTGCAATCAAAGCGCACGTGCGTCGTTTATTGTCACCTGGTCAGCCAGCCTGCGACGAGACAGACTCGTCGAAGATCACCCACGAGGCGGCAACGATCGCGAATAACCCGAAATCGGCCGTGTCGTCGGGAAACGGCGAGGACACCGAGCCAAGGAAGCCTGGAACCCCGGAACTTCCGAGCGGATCGCCTCAGGAACCCACCAGTGCGACGCAATACGCGACGAGAAGCAACGGTTCGTATAGCGATGCATCTGGTTCCTCCGAGTTAGAAGCGCTGCTTCCGCCAGTGGACAGTTTCAAGGAGGAAGAACGAGCCCAATGGGAACCCCTGTCAGCTGATAAATTCACCAGGCAGAAGAATACGCCTAGGTAGGTAACTTTTCAACGTGGAACGTTTAGAAGATGATCGATTCACCTACCTATCAACTCGATCAATTAAATGGATCGAATAGTGATATCTATGAAAATTCAGGTTCGAAGCGTACATGATGACCGGCGACCTAATGCTGAACCTGTCGCGCACCCAGCAGAGCACCGGTCTGTTGCCGAAGCACCAGAAGAAGGTCGACTCCCTGAGGTACAACAATCATCACACCCACCATCACCATAATCACCACAATCACCACCATCATAACTCGGTACCCACCAGTCCTAACGAGATGCTGGGCCATCACCGTGCTTACAAGTGTACCGGTTCGAACTCGGCCAGCACCTCACCGGTCGGGATCAACAAGCGTGACGGCGGACAGTGTCCAGGTCAGGCTGATAATAGCAAACAGAACGCGTCGAGTTTCGGTTACTCGAGCGGCTTCGTACGTACGTCGCGGTCCGAGGATCACTTGCAATTCCAAAAGGATCCGTCGATGAGCGCTGTGGACATCGACATCGACGACGACGTCACGTCCAGCTTGAACACCCTGTTGGACACACGGCCGGACAGCGGTCAGGGTTTGTCCAGCGAGAGGATCGTCTGGACGTACAACGCGCCTGTTAGCTCGCCGTCCGCCTCGGAGCGCACATCCTGTTGTCAAAACGGCAGCTCGTCCCAGTCCTCCTCTAGTAGCTCCTCGACGGAGGGTACTAGCCCGCAGAGATCCTTATCGCCAGCCTCCCCTACCTCGGTCTCGTCCTCCGTCATGTCCTCCAATTCTGGATCCCGTAGGTTCCCACCGCCGGTACCCACGGGCACCGCATCGTCAGCCCTGGGACCATCCGGCGACGGGACCGCGTCCTCGGCCTCCGGCCTTCATCCCACCAACGGCGACCTCAGCCAGTCCGAGGCGATCAGCAACATGTCCAGTCCCGACTACAACGACGAGGAGACTATGGACATACTCAGTGCACGCGATATCATGATGGTCAGTGATCCGAGTGACAGTGACTCGACGATACTGGCCAGTGAACCTCCGCAGAGAAGGCTAAAGGCGAACCCACCCAATTCTTCCGCTTATACCTCTGGTCAGGACACGTCCGAGCACAGGATAGTGATACAGGTGAAAGGACCGGACAAGGATACACCGTCGTCGAGGAACACCAGCCCTAGACAGAACAGGCGGCGAGGAAATCCTGAGCTGGTGTCCACGTCTTCGGGTCAGAACGTTCAGCGATCCAACAACGCCGGGATCGGCAATGTCTCTGAATTCGTTGGGTACCAGGTAGAGCCATTGGAGAATCCTGTTGACACGCGAGGATAGGTGTTTCTCTTTTCCTCTTGGCGTGCTTTTTAATTTCATCTTTGTGCTTTAGGAGTTGAAGGAGTGCGAGGACGACAGGGAAGCGTCGAACGCTGGATTGTACGACGAGAAACATACCGGAGCCTCGCCACCCCAGTCGGCTGACGATGAAAGCGACATCGAGAGCCTGCATAGTTTTCATTACAGCCCGAAGGCGGTGGATTTGCCGTCGGCCGTTCGATTGGCGAAGAGATTGTACTCTTTGGATGGTTTCAAAAAGTCTGACGTCTCTAGACACCTTGGTAAAAAGTACGCGAATGATTTTGAGAGGGTTTTGAAGGGCGTGATCGGTTCCGAGGTGTAACACTGTTTTGTTGGATTTTCAGCAACGATTTTAGTACAGCCGTGGCTGAAGAATACTTGAAACACTTCAACTTCGAACATGACACGCTGGACGTGGCTCTCAGAAAGTTCCTTGCCCAATTCTCTTTAACGGGAGAGACCCAGGAGAGAGAAAGGGTTCTTCAACATTTCTCCAAGAGATTTCTCGATTGTAACCCCGGCGCATTCAATTCTCCTGGTAAAGACTGTTTTGTTCAAACAATTTCATTGAATTAATCGTTTCTTATATAATCATTGATATTTCAGATGCTGTTCATACATTAACTTGTGCTATAGTGCTGCTCAATACGGACCTCCATGGTCCACATACCCATAGAAAAATGTCTTGTAACGCTTTTATAGAAAACCTGTCGGAAATGAACGAGGGTGATAATTTTCCTAGGGAGGTGCTAAAGCAACTCTACAACTCCATTAAATCGTTCCCCTTGAAATGGGCCTTGTAAGTTTCTTCAAATGTTATACGCTCCTAGTTTGCGTCATAAAAAAAGAAGCAGATAAAACGAGTTAAATTGTATTATTCATTCAGCGATGAAGGAAGCGAGGGAACTACGAATCAGCCGATTCAACAGGGTGACGGTCCAGCGATATCTGCGACCGGAAATCCGTTTCTTGATGTGCCAAACGTTACGGGTGCTACAGAGTTTAAAAAGGGTTACGTTATGCGAAAATGTTGCTTCGATTCCAATGGAAAGAAAAGTATTGATCCTTTATAATCTGTACCGTGTTCAGTCATAGTGTCTAACGTAAGATACAACAAATAAAATATTTCAATCGTTTCAGCTCCGTTTGGAAAACGAGGCTGGAAGATGTATTATTGTACATTGAGGGAACTTGTATTATATTTGCACAAAGACGAGCATGGCTTCCGTAACGATAGTTTACACAATGCGATACGAATCCATCACGCGTTGGCTACCAAGGCGTCCGACTACACGAAGAAACAACACGTCTTCAGGTTACAAACAGCTGATCAGGCAGAGTATCTCTTCCAAACGAGGTAAATGTTGTTTATTGAAAGATCCCTGAACAGCGTTTAATTTGAAACATAATATGATTTCCAGCGATTCCAAAGAATTACAGTCGTGGATCGACACGATCAACTTTGTCTGCGCCAGTTTCTCTTGCCAACCGTTAGCAGGTGCCGTTGGTTCTCAACGAAAATTTCAACGACCCTTACTTCCATGCAGCCACACTAAATTATCTCCTGTGAGTACGGTTCGGGTGCCAGAAAATATTTGAGAAGTGGTTTCTTCTCGTTCGCTCGATAGAATGTAATCTCTGTCTTCGTTCTTCTCTCTATTTACAAGCCTTCCTCTGCTACCCTCGAAGCGAAGTTCACTGCTTAATTATCGTATCTTCGACACGGAATACACTCGCCGCATTGACGAAAAGAGATCATTCTTTTCGGACACGAGATTAGAATCGACGTAGAAAAAAGTGTATTGCACAGATTCGTGTAGAGTGCACAGCTTGTATAAACGACGCTTGAATCTACCGGTTGTTTTACGATATTCTTGAGTGTTTCATTCTGTCAATTAGAGAGAACAATTACGGGACCACGAGGAGAGAGTGAGCAAATTGGAGGCCGAGTTGGAGGAACACAGGCGACATCCACCTGAAAGAGGAGCGAAAGCTCTCACTGTACAAAATTATAAGGAAAAGGATTCTTATTTGCATCACGAGGTATATAAACTGTGATACTTTCTAAAACCAATATAATACATAACCGAAACACTGTTTTGCATTTATAATTCTTAATAATTTTACCCGAAACGATTACCTAACGCTCAGCAAGACCAACAAAATTAAACTGCAGTACTTTCACTGCGGTACAGTTACGCAACTGGGACGTATATAAAAGTGAACCGATCAAATTTCCTTCGATCCCTTTTCTATTAATGATTACTTGTAATGTATATATTACAAGGAAATAGGTGGCAAAACTATGGTAGCGTATTCCACCTATTTTTCTATCACTCAACGATCCTTTCAGTTCTTCGCTCTTCCCTCTAACATAGCTAGTCATGGACTGGTAAAGTACTCGTGGGCCTTAATTTGGATTCTACATCAAGTGAGTGGTATATCATGCATGCAATAAATAAGAAGAAAACGAGCAAGGGCCCTGTGACTTTGTAAAAGCTTCCTATGGTTTCTTTAGACAGCTACACAAAATGAAATCAACCAATGCCAAACGTACCGCTAATTTATACGTTGTATGTTACAGTTGAAGAGGTACAAGACGTATGCGTATTTACTACGATCAAGATTGGCATTCACTGAGGTGGAACCGTCTCTGGTGGAGAGCAGTATCGGTGAAGTGGACGAAGGAAGCGGGGCTATGTTGAATTCGGAGGTGGCTCTGGTACCACCGCCTGTTCCTGATCGACCAGCCATAAATAGGTACAGTTACAGGGCTGCCATTTACAACCGTAATCTGCTAAACGGTCAGGACTACGGCGGGGACATTGGTTGACGTGTGATGGGTGTATTTTCAGCATGTGTGGTCTAATCTGACCTGCGTAAGCGCAGTCAGAAGCAACTGCTGAAATCTGGAAGAATAAAATTAACGAAAGAAACACACGAACTAACGATGTATTCGACGCATCACTTGTTAAGTACTGTACCATTAACGTACCGTGTACTACTCACATTCTCTTTTACTATATTTAATCGTAATTTATCTCAGCGGCCATTAAAACCGGTAGTGGGTAGCATTCGTACGCAACGCTCTATCACAGCAGCATTTTGGATCTTCTCGTTTGAAACGTTTCTTCATATATCGCTTGCGTTCATTGTTTTTTTTGAAATTGATTCATCAATCGGCTCAACTCTATCGCGTTTGTCGATATGTTTTTTTCTATGATACATTCGAAAGCTGCTGTTTTAAGCGTCTATTCCAAAGAGTGGTTTAACAAAAGTGGTGATTGGGTCAGGGTTCGCACCTAACTCAGCGTAGTGTAAATGATTCACTAATTATACTCGAGTAGATTGTTAAAGCGTTGATGAAAAAAAAAAAAAAAAAGACTTGGCAAGGCCCGACTCATCAGACTCGTGCCTTGACTGAAGATAAGACCAGTTTACGTATAGAACAATCCTAAACGATAGGATGACATAAGTGTTCGAGCGTTACGGACATCGTGAAAAAAAGAAAAAATTACACATGGATACGACAGATGTAACCATCGTTCGTTCAATTAATCTCGATCTAAGACTAATTGTATAAACAAAAAAAAGACACAATAATACGAAAAACTATGAGCATGGTTTTTAACGATTGAATCGAACTTTTTCTTAAATATATCTCGTGACCATTCAATCTAACACGTTTCTGTATTAAAATTATAGTTGTATAGAAGATCTTCGTACGTCGAAAACAACAGTTGTAAAATCATTGATGTCATAACTGCGTTTAACGTGTATCATTGTGTGAAAACAAACTGCACGGTACTTTGTTGCTATATCAAACTGTGTCTGTCTTCGTACAAAAAAGTATAATTACTACTCGAAGCATTCCCTGGTGCTTTTGGTTTTCTGCTTTTTTCTTTCTTTTTGAGTTCGCTGCTAACATTTGTAACATTATTTTAACTGGTTCACTGGTTGTATCAGGTGATTGGTAAAAAACTGCTTTTTCTTACTATTTTCAAGAAACATCAAACAAGTGCATTTCCTTTTTTATTTTATTTTTCATTTTCTATCATGCTACTTACTACATGGAATATAACAGACTGTCGTATGGATAATTCTATGATAGTTACAACTTCCAGACGAACTTTCTTTTTTATTACTATCGTATAAGGATGTAGAAGTTTTTATTGGTGAAAAGAACGGTATGTTTTATGTAAACGTGATTTTTATAGATTTATTAACCGAAGAGTTCAGGGGTACGAACAAACGACGAAAGTGATATTTTGTAAAATTCCAAAGTACTTTACGATCATTGTTGAATATTTATTTAGAATTAAAGTAGATGTTGAACACAGATTTCTTTATTTTCTATACGTATATTTAAATAGAAGGACACGCTTTCTTTTACACGAATTCAAAATAATATTCTCTTGTTCAGAGACAAAGTTAAACAGTATTGTGTTCTGCCTTTTCAGTTTCATTGTTGGTTTGCAACCAAGCTGGTATACGTCTGAAAGAGGGTAAAACGTCGATGACGAGTTATGAAAGTTAAGACTGGATTTAAAAAAAAAAAAAAAGATATTCATGTGCATATTTCAAGTTATTCAAGTAAACTTCAGATGTAATGTAGGCTTCTTTTGGTCGAGGGTGAAGGTAGAGACAGGAACCAGCTATCATTTGCTTTTAATCTTGGGAAAAATCTAGGAGAGCCTAATCTAAAACCTCCTGCCCTTGCACATAAAAGAACATGAATAAATAAGGCAAGTAATGAGACGTTTCTTCCCCTACATTTCCTTTTGACCAAAGGAAGCCTAAATCGCAGCCATGCATCACGATTAAATTGTGTATCAGCCATTTTACACGTATAAATGTACGATATATTTTTGTATTTGGTACACATTTCGCCAACAGTTCGATCTATTCTATTTGATAAGCCTCCTTCGATTTCCATGCGTTTAATCGACATGTTTTCTGTGATCGCGTTATCGTTGCTTTGCGTTCTGTAAATTGGTTGATACGAATGTATAATGTTATTCGATAGGTTTAGTTGAGGATAAAAGAAATGATGATGAGAGAAATATCGAAACTTACGTTTTTCTCATATTAAAATTACTCTATCGCAGATAGGAAACTACTGTAGGCCTCACATTATTCTAATCGCTGTTCTGAATTTACGTTTAGATGCATAACAAGTAGCAAACTTGTCGAAATTATTCTAGCATTTTTCAAACAAATTATACAATACTGTATATATATATACATGTATGTATATAATGTGTACATATATGCAAATATATATATAAGTATACAGGATAATTATTCTAGTATAAAAGTATTATGTAACAGATTGAATGCTTTTTCAATAAGCTATCATGGTTTTTACAAGACGTATATTGTACTAAAATTTGTTGATCAAAGAATTTTTGGTATTACGTTCTTTGGGATGTTTTAATTACATTTAACAATTGTTTGAGAATATTACTCTTACTGTTGTTGTTGATTGTTACTGAAATTTCTAAGAAGTTGATGATTGAATCAATCGTTTGATTTATCAAGGAAAAAGCATTAACAAGTGTTATGGAATTCTTTTATGCCAGTATTTTGAGACTAATAAAGCGATACTTTAATCTTGGAGAATGAATATTAGGATCTACTGATTTCTTACCTTTCAGTTTGAAAAGAATGAAAAATCAAAATCTACGTATTTCTTTTTAGTAATTTTGTACGATATATTGCAAGCGTAGCTGAGAAGTTTTAGAGTTAATTTCTTTCTTCTTTTTTTATAAATTTATTTGTTGACTAGTCGAATTAGCGTGTTTCTAGGTATGGTTCCTGTAAATCATATTTCTGCTCAGTATCTACGAGTTCTATTAATTTAAGTACATAAATATAAAATATTATATTTCGTTATTTTTGTACTTTCAATGTAGATAGTCGACTTCGATTCTCTGTTTGCTATTTATTATTAACATCATTCATATTTCTTTTTGGTATCGTTCTTGATAAAGTTGTTCACGCTACATCTAATCATAGTGTACACTAGGCCCCTTGTACATAAAACTGTATTATATGTGGATAATAACGATTATTATAAACTATATAAATGCTAATGGCAATAAACAGTCTCCAAATTACATAGATTTCGAGAATTTCGTACGTAATTCCCATAAGTTTCAGATGCCAGTAGGTATTTACTAATATGTACAATTTTATCTGCACGATACGTATATGCATTTGTATTTTGCATTAAAATTGCATGAGAAATTGCACGCTGAAATATTATAAGTTCAAGTTTCTGACACTTGATAATGTATTAAATATTAATTTTATAATCAAATTAATAGTTTGTTATAGTATGAAATAATATTAGTAATAATTCTATCATTTATTTATGATTATTCTTTATATGCTTGTATTCGAAATGGATTTAATTTCTTGCATGAATTATAGTATACAAATAAGCATGAACACTGCAATTATACACATATGAAATTCTGTAAAATGATGTATTTCATATTTATCTAAACCATTACTCTTGCAAAATTTATACCAAAAAATAATGTTATTTAAATCTATGATACTCTACTTTAAAATATATCATATTATATTATACAAGACATCCAAGAGCCAAACTGATTAACTACAAAAAGACATAATCTTTGAAAATGTGGAAGTACAGTTAATCATAAAGGCTCCAAAGGACTTTACACACAAATTTAATTATCTCAAAATGTCTGTATACTAGAATTACTCGTCTACTGTTCACACTTTATTTAATGATTCTGTAATTTATTGCATGCAACAGGATTGAACCAGTGACATCGTGAAAAGAGGACAAGAGGCCATCATCAAAAACTGATCCAGCATGCACAGAAGTTATGATATTTAAGTTTTGTAGTGAAAATTAATGTCAAGATGGAATGCATTTGTTCTTGTACATCAGGTTGGTAAATATCTGATTTCTTTCATTAAGAAAGCAGATGCATCATGTTGCATTAAATCTTTAATTGAAAAAAATGATTTAAATATCATAAAGGATATAGTATTAAATTTTGATGAGGTACATTTAGAGAAAGAAATCAATCAATCGTTTATCATCAAACAAGTTTATTGCAGCTTAATTTTGAAAATTAAGACATGGTTCGAACTCTAATTACAAACTTCTACTAATGTTCTCTCAATTAAGTCCTAGGAAATTTGCCAAACCGATCGTTTTGCAAACATGATTAGCTTGATATGTATTTTAAGAAACCTAACAATAAGCTACTCTATCGAGAATCTCTCATACATCGATCAAGGAAATTACCGTTTAATACAATGATTTACACAACAAAGAAAATGACTATTACAATTTACAAATTTTACCTAATATAAAGTTGAAGACAAATTGCATGGATCTCGCGTTACAAGCGTAATATTTAAAAAGCAACCGATATCGCTCAATATAATAAAACTATTTTTTTTTTCTTTCTATTTTTCTTTTTTAGATAAAATACTCGAAAAATCCTCGCTAGAGATTCATCGCGTTAGAAACAATATACAATATACAATCAGCATCGATGTGTTTAGTCGAATACCGATCAGGTATGAATTTACAAAATCTGCGAGAAAACTTCATTTCTTTTTGTTTTTTTATACAACATTTACAAATGTAATATTGTTATCCGACACGTCAATAGTATACAAGTGGTTTTTTTTAATTGTAAGCGTTGTACCTTGTTCCGTACTTATTTTTTAACGCTTAAGGTGATAATTAAACTTCTTTAAATTGTACATAAGTTACTATTGTAACGTTAGGATCGCCTTACAATTGTATCGTGCATAAATGCCAAAGAATCGCATTTAAAATACATTTTTATTGCAATGTATTTTCTTATTCGCATTTACATTCACATATTCACCGGTTACATTACATTCTTTACTCTATATTCGCCTGCATATTCTATTTTTTGTGATGTACTTTGCTCTCTTTCTCCTTTTCGTTCTAGCAAGTTTATACATACATATAAATATAATAATATCGGTTACGTTTACAGTTTATGGAAATCTTTAATTATATATATTTTTCTGTTCTCGTTTTTTAATTGTACAAAATAAAAGTTTTACGAAGATTCCATCGAGAATTTGTATAAATTCATAGCGACACATCTTTGCAATCGAATACTCATTGTATATATTATTTTTAGTTTCTTTGTATCTTTTCCCCTTATTACTAACTGTGAAACTTAAGAAATGACTGTGTACTTTTGTGTACATGCGATATATCACTTTGTAAATATTATTTTACATTTGCGAAAAATAAAATTGCGAACATGATTCATTATCGTTAAGTCATCCTTTTATCCTTGGAACATTCTATCGTTATTTGTGTTCCAATAAGTTTCGAATGAAATTAATTAAATGCTAAATACAATTCTCTTTTATCCTTTTTTATGTATTTTCTTTCGTTATGTGATAAATGAAACGTTGGAGTTATTAACACTTTGATAAAAATGCCATGTATGGTAAAACACATTTATCAAAAATTCTTCTGTCAATAGATCTTTATATATTATTAAAAAATAAATTCAATTGTTTTACATTACATCATTGTGTTACAACGTTACATCAAGTATTAGTATAATAGAAACAATTTTTACATCATTTTTTTGAAGTCCCTAGTAATTATATATATATATAATTATATACACATGATTTGTATACAAATTTTCGCGGTTCATAATAAAAATTCTTTGAAGGAAGAAATGTTCCTTAATCATAGAAGTTTGTTCTCTTTGATAATATTTTTTTTTCTTTTCTTTTTTGATCAATTTAAAAGCATAGTTTGTATTTCTACAAGCATAGTATGAAAACATAAATAATTGCATCACAAATACAATTTAAAATGAACATTCACGACGGCAAAATGTTTGTATACTTCATCAAAATTGTATATGACAACTATTATTTATTGTTTTTTCTTTATATATATATATATATTTTTTCCTACGAAACGCTAACAAATCGAATTACACAATAAAGAGGTATTTACAAAAATGAAGGTATCAATAGATTTTGTACGGATTTATTATCATATAATGAAATAGTTATAATTGTATATAATTCTAAATTAGATACTGTTATTTTACATAATTCATCTGGTGATTCAAAATAACATGGATTCTCTACTTATTTACAGATACAGTGCAATGTATATGCAATAATAATTAATAAACGATTTATATTACAATAAAGGTCAACTAAACGTTGACCCTACTCAACATACAAAGATACAAACTTTCTGTATACATACACACGACCCATAAAAATTTGTTTCTCAATTATCTCGTGTCGTGTCATTTAAAGAGTGTCCGTAATATACAAGCGATCAATGTTCTATTTTTTGTAAAGTAAAACTAATATTGTACAACTTTGGAGGAATGTTGTGATGGCATAGCACCAACTTCACTATGAATTCAATTAGTCAAACTGCAATGGCACTTTACAAATTAAATAATGTGTCTATGTATATATAAATATATATAAATATAATATATATATTTATATATAATTCTTTTCTTTTTTTTTCTTCATGTAAAACCTACCCAATAACGTAGTAACAATAACAACCGTGGATCGAGCTCTTTAGTTCATCCACTTGCGGCAGTTAGGCGCGCCACATGCGCATGCTATCTTGTGCTGGTCATCTTCTATGTCGAATTTGTAATCGTATGCCAGCTGTAAACAAAGAAAAAGAAACACAATGTATAGATCTGTTCCCCAAATGTTAATTTTAATATAATATCATTAAGCCATACCTCCTCGCCACGTGAGATTCTTCGCTTTGCAAAGATTATGATTCTAAGATCACGTTCGACCTCAACGATTTCAGCGACACAATTCGGGTTACAAGAATGATTGATATACCTTGCAAGACCTCCGCATAACGTCGCATCGACCACTCTCTCTTCGTCCAACCGGAACATATAAATACCACGATTCTGTAACAAACATATAATCTAAGTTTTTCTATTCTATCATTTGATTATCATTAGAGAGCATCATTGTAGGTATCAAAGATTACTCCACTGTCACTTGTTCAGCACGTACCGCTTGTCGGGTAAGATTTATTTCAACATTTAATATTGCGATACAAATGTTATACAGTAATAACTATAAACATACCCTTGCTTCATACTGCTTCTCCCTAGTTTCAGCCAATTCAGTACGAATTATCTCGCCGATGTACTCGATGACCATAGTGTGTTTCTCTAAATCCCGTGCCGCGTACAATCCCAGACCTTGGATCTTCGAGCGTGCCAGGTACACGTTGTTACGCCATTCTTGCTTCATCTTTTTGTACTGTGAACTCTTGGAATGAACGAATTGTTTCGAATAGGGACAAGCCACTTCACCGGCGACGGTCGCGGTCGGGACAAAAGCAGCCCTGGCCGACGAACCGGTACGCTGCGTGTGCGGCCTCTTCCAAGGAAGCTGATTTCGTAGACGAGCCTCCGTTCTCGCGCTACCGGTTGGATTAATCGCTAACGGCAATTCTAACAACGGATTTCGACCGTATTTAAATCTGTAATCGGTTAAGGTTTCGATGCCTGGAAGACTTTCGAGAACACGAACGACAGCTGGCTCGGTTAGTCCAAATAAATCTTCGCCAGATACGTAACGCGGAAACAACTGGACACTGTGCGTAGATCTTCGTAATTCGGCTAACGGCTCGAGGATCCTGCTCCAAACGGCACGAGGCGTTGCATCCCTTAATTCGACGTCCTCTTGCAGAGGTTCCTGTACAAGTACTCTGAATTCTGGTCGGCCGGAAACATCATGGATAGAACACACGTAACGGCAACGTTTGTTCGGCCTTCTCATGCTCCAATAGAATCTAACGATTTTGTATCCAACAGGGTATATGTAATTAGGTGTGTGAAAATTGGCTAGCTGATGCGGAAGCAACTGTCCGACGCTTAAAAATATTAGACTTCCGACTCTCAACAGGTGATTGTGTTCCGAATGATGCATCACAGCCGCAACTTGTCTGTTCTCGTCTCGGTTAACGTACACCCTTCTGTATACTGATAACGTAGTCAACTCGTTATCTTTCTCGTTCTTTTGAACGTGCTGAGAGCAATAGGTACTCTAGAAAAAAAAAAAAAGATATATTTACAAGTGCAAACCACTGAAAGCCTTAGAATTCTAAGATTTGAAATATATAATTTTACCTTATTCTTATAAAAAACACAGCCATCTTTAACGGCGCAGCCAAGGTGGTACACGTTGGTGCAGCGCATTTTAAAACATTTTACTGTAGCTCCCGGCTTCTCGCAAACGATACAATTTAATACAAGACTATGTTGTAAAGCGGTATCGAGATTCATCAAGGCACCATTTACAGTTTCATACACATCTTCCGACCATAGGGCACAATTTAAGTGCACCCATTTGTCGACGTCAAAATTAAGTAATCTAGCAGGACCATCAGCTGTACCATCACCTTGACTGTGACAAAACATGCATCGTCGACTGTCTTCCGCTTTGGCAGGTACTACAGTCACTCCCATACGGAAAAGCATCTAAAATAAGTTATATGTAACGTTTTATTATGTACAATAATAATATATTTCTTTAAAGTTATATTTAAATATAAACTATCGTACCTCAGTGATTTCCTTGTCGGTTGGTTTCTTGTACTTAGTTGGAGGTTGCATCGAGCCAACAGACCAAGCTTTGTACCGCAAGCCTCTCCATACTTTAGCAGGTGGTTGTGGTTCAGTCGATTCAGTCGAAGACTCCTCCATCACTGAATGTTTCTTCGGTCGTTTATCATCTAACATTTCATCCCTTGTTTCAGGCAGGTCTTGCTCTTCCTTCTCCATTTTAATTTTAATTTCAGGTTCCTTCTCTATTTGATCCACTTCCATGTTTTCAACATGTTCGACCGGCTGTTTGACCACAAATTTCTTTCCCTTTTTGAAATCATCATCCAATACCTTAGCATCTAATTTATTATGACACAGATGATCTACTATTGTAGCAGCCTAAAACAAATTCACGTTAAGTATACTTTTTTATATTCAATATAAAATATAATAGAGAAAAATATGGTTTACCTTATCTTGCGTGTTTGAAGGTGTTCTATGCATTAGGGCAAACTGCATGTAACAGGCTGCCGAACAGAAACATAGTTCATCGCCAGGCTCAGCTTCTTCCTTACTCAAAAATGGTAAATCTGATACTTTCTTTCTTATTAAACTATTTAATATCACAACATCGCAATGACGACAAAATTTCGCGGCGCCATTCAAAATACTTTGTATATCAATCGGGGCTAAAAGTTGAACGAAAAGTTAAGGAATATGTATTACAAAGTTTGTCTAAAAAGAAAAAAAAAAAAATCGTTAGTAAACAAACCTCCTTCTTTACCATCTTTTCCCTTGGTTCTGTAAAGACCTAATTTCTGACTAGGAGGAGTAGTAGTACGTTCTACTATCTGGTAACCAGTAGGAGGAGCAATATTTAAAATATTAGCCAAATCCTTAAGTACTCCCATTATATCATCCGCAGCCTGACTGTTCAATGTCAATGTAACTGTTATGTTGCCATCTCTCAAAGGTATTGGAGGAGATTTTCCAAGGCTATACGAGAAGGTAATTCTTTAGTTAACAAATTAAAGTTAAAAAAAATGCATTTCACTATACATATCGCCGTTTTACATACCGAGGTATTCCTAGGTTCTCTTTGTCTTGCTTAGAGGTATCCTTAATGTAAGTTGGTTTCAGTCTAATTGGTATTGGTGAAATTAAAGGTATCACGGGTGAAACTCGTTTCAGCCAATCCGATTCTTCGTCCGATTCTTCTTCGATTAATCTCAAACCTGGGAATCGATGAATGAATTCTGGGATCACGCATTCGGGCGAAGATGAACTGACTATCGTGTCAGGAGAATCGACGTCGCGGTTCATTGACAAAGAATTCTCTTTCTTTTCGTCGGCTGAAAGTAATCAGAAATATTGATATTAGATAAACCTTTACACGAGCGAGTAAGAATTTTTAAAATATAAATTACAAGCTTACAATCGTCCAATTTAAGAGGCGGAAATTCTTGATCATAGAATCCTCTTTGAGTGGAAGCAGGTTGCTGAGGTGGTAAGGGTTCTAATTCACCGAACGGTTGGGTGTTATAGTGATCAGATACACCAGGCAATGTCGCAGATCCGTATGAACCAACTAAATCTCCTGTTCTGGTACTATAATCCTTTTGACTACCGATTTTCGTCAGGTCCCCCGAGCCAAAGATGGGGCACACGCCGTAATTTCTACCAAGAAGTGGTTCTAATACTGCCATTGGTTGAAGTTGCCGTAATTGTATCATTAAATTGTCAATGAACGTGTCGTAATCCTCGTCTAAGCGGGATGGTTTCCTAGCGCGCTTCTTCTGAGGCGCTGTAGCCGCGTCTTTTCCCTGGCTTTGTTTCCGTTTCTGTTGATATTGTCGCCTCTTGAACTTCTTGAGATCTGAAAACATGAAATTTAGTGGTTTCGTTAAATTTTTATAATGCATTTAATAGACCATGAGAAATGGTGTTTCATGACATACCAGTTTTGTCGTCAATCGATCCATCCATAAGCTCCTCTTTGGCAGTAAGAAAGTCTTTGGTATCGGTTAATTGGGTAGGTGTACCGCTAGATAGAACTTCATCAAGAACTTCCTTTTTGACTTCCACTAAAGGCACTGTGTGTTGTGCATTTGCACCCTGTGACGCCTGGGCTTGGTGGCCCACAGTGTGAGACACCGTATGAGGCACTGATGGCGGTATTGTGTTTATATGCGGGGATTGTTGCTGGGTCGAGACAATGGATTTCAGGGTTACCGGTATCTGGGGTTGAGTTTGCTGGCTTTGCTGCTGCGGCTGAGCAGTCGTGACAGTCGTTAACACTTGGGACGTTTGAACGGTACTCGACGATACTTGGGTGCTGGACTGGATACTTTTAGCAGCCACCGTTGTGATCACGGCTTTCGTTTGGGGCATCACTCGTGAAACGGCAATAGCGGTCGACACGCACTGTTCCTGAACGGGGACAGTACTGTTAACCACAGGATCGTTTGTAAGCTTTGCCTGCGGCTGAGAAACGATCGGTTCCTGTTTGATGGCCGTTGTCGTCTCCGAGGTTTTGGTCGCAAGCGGGGGTGGTACTTGCTTGCTGATCGTCGTCGTCGGCTGTTGATTCGCTTGAGTGGCGACAGTAGTAGTCTTCGGAGGTTGGGTCGTGATCTGTTGCTTGACGAAGGTGTCGACCACCCGTTGCTGTGATAGAACCGGCGCGGATGTGGAAAGCGGCGGGGGTGGTTTAGGTGGTTCCTCCTTGGTAGGAGGACTTTGCACCTTCGAGGACGTTACCGATTGCGACAGAAACGATGTCTCTCTGTTTAAAACTTGCTTGTTGCAGGTGGTCTTGGGTGCTGGCACCTCGTTCAGCAAAGGTGGTAACACAGAGAACGGAGTGGGAGGCACCGGTCTAGCCAGCTGCGCCTCCAACGACGGTACCAACGGTAAGCTGGGTCCTTGAGAAGAACCGGAGCACAGAGTGGTCGTCGCGCATGCAGTGTTCTGTAGAAGTTGTTTCAACAATACATTCTGCGATTCCTCCATCCTATGGGAACCAGTAGAGCTCTTATTCCCATCCAATTCCAGCCTTGCGGTTGGTGGCTTGTCCAGTGCCGATTGAGGTTTGCAGTTGGATTCCTCCGACTCCTTCTTCAAGGGTGTGCTTTGCGCTAGCCTCTCAAGCTCGTTGCTCTTCCCGTCCACTGTCAGATGTCCGGCTAACTTGTATTGAGTCGGACCAGACGCGAGCTGAGAATGCAACAACGTTGGCGTCTGAGACAGGGTCGACTGTAAGATACTTGTAGTGACGTTGATGCTGTTGGTGCTTGTAGTAACTATGGGAGGTACGATGGTCCTGACGCACTGCATGGACGTGGTCACGGTCGTCGAGGTGGCGTTAACCACCACTCGAGATGGTGCCGAGGAACAACCTGAACTTACTTGCAGGATCGCTTGAAGACTCTGCGTCCGTTGCACCGACGTAGCCATAACAGAGCTCAAGAGATTGCTGGTCTGAGTTGGAGCGGTGTTGGTTCGATGACCAGCGATGGTAGGCTTCGCAGAATTGGTGCCAGCTAACATGGCGTTCAGTATCGCGTTCGAAGTGATCGAGATCCCTGAATTCGTTGGCGGTCTGGGTGTGATTACAGATGACGTTTGCAGGGATATACTACTGGTAGGCTGCGACTGCATCGCACTCGATGCGACTCGTAAAAACGGATCCGAAGGGGTGACCTTACACAAAGTAGAAACAACGCTTATCGTAGAATTTGTACTTTCCTTTGAATGAGGAGTATAACTAGCGGCCGTCGTCTCCAAATCTGCCTTGCACGTGGCCGTTGAATGGGAGGTGGTTATACATGTCTGCAACCGAACGTTCGCGTTACTATGCAGATTATTTACAGAGTTTGGCGCAGACGAGCTCATCGTGGTCAGTATGTTTCCTACTTTTGACACGGAGATTGCCGAGGACACCATGGTGATGGTCTGATTCACGGTTGTACAATTTTGCGAGGGATTAGTCTGTAAGGAAGAAAGTAACGTTCTCAATTGATGGGACACGTTCGCAACGTTCGACGTCAATTCGGTAGGTTTCGACAGAGGAGAAAGATGAGGTACCGTGGTTGTACACTTTTGCAACTGCGCTATGGTGCTAGCTACCAAAGGAGCGCTCTGCTGAGGAATCGGAGAGCTCTTCTTCGGTGTTACTTCTACAGGAGGTGAACTTGTTTTCGGTTGTACTTTTGGTCCTTTATTTTCGTTCGTCAAAAGATGCTCGTTATCCGAGTGCTCTTGCTCGAGATCCATCAAAGAATCTTGAAGTATATTCAAAGGTAAGGTGTCCAGAGGTGTTGGCAATTCGTACATCATGCTCGACTTCCTGGATCTATCTTCTTGAAGCATATCACTGTTTGCCATTTCTGGTTTCGACGATATGATGTTGTGTAGCATGTCTAATATATCGTCAGACGACTCCTCCATTATACCACCCTTCTCCTCGTTAAGGCAGTGCGGTACATAAGGTTTGCTAGTTTCAATATCCGTACACAATTCTTGCTCGTGCTTCTTCTCTTTCTGAGTGATATTCAAGTTACTGTTATCCGCGATGCTTGTTTCAATTTCTTTTGATTTATTATTAACTCTTTGAGCTTCTGACGTTGCTACACTTTCGTCTTTGTTCTCGTTCTCGGCTGGCTCGGAATCATTCTCCAAAATATTTACCAAAGATAAATCGTCGGTAACTGGTGATATTCTTTTGATGGAGGAAGCACTGTCCGTCTTGCTATCCGCACGTGAGTTCTCTCTGCTTATGGTGTTTTCAGCAGGATTATGAATTGCCTCAAGCATACTTTCTAGTTCATCGGTCGTATTCAAAAGATCGTTCTTCTTCTCTTCGTTGGATGTTAATTCTTGACTGGAAGCTGTACTCGTCGCTACGTTCGCGCTTGAATTATTCACGCCAGTTTCGTCCGAATTTTTCGCTGAATGATCAGTCTCGTCCTTTTCATTTCTCACCTTCGCAGGCTTCTCCAAAACATCCAGTTGTTTCTCTTTCGTCACAGAGTTACTATTACCATTCTCCTTTTTAGGGAGATCAGGAATGGACATCTTCGGCGTGGACAACGTGACAGACGTTGGTTGCACGCTCAATATCAATTTCGTAGGATTACCTGACTCCACCGTTGTACTCGTCGCGGCATTTTGCACGAAACTCGTTATTTTATTGTGTAAATTGGGCACCGAAGATATCAGTTTGTCGGCGAATGTGGTCTGAAGCTTGGTGATTTCTATACTCGGCGAACAGATCGTTGCTAATGGTTCTGATTTCATTGTACTCTGCTGCGAACTAACAGCAATGTTCTCCAAAGCCGTTTGACTGAGTTTCGCCGCGATTTTAGCGTCCGCGACGATGCTAGCCATGGTCGACGGTAGTTGCTTTTGATTGTTGAAAGTCGAAGACACCGCGTCCTTTGTCATGTTCAATGTTGTAAAGATAGAGGTTGATTTAACGGGCGTTTCTGTTGCTACTAACACGCTGGTAGATATGCCGGTGATGGTATTTTTGTTGTTGCCGCTGGCAGCGTTTGTACTTGCCGAAGTTCCTAAGGCTACGGTGGACTTGTAGGTAGACGGTACACCTATGTTCGCATGATGAATGCTAGAAGGTGGAATTTGATTGTATAGAACATTATTACAGAACACGAATGACGGAGGACTCCTAGTTACTTTTGATTCTTTCTGCGGTTTACACTGATCCTCGGCGGTCGATTCGGCAACGGCGTTCTCTTTCGGCGCCTCGGATACAGCCGGGGTCTCAGTTTTCTCAACCTCTTCGTGGCAAGATTCCTTCGACAGGTTGTCCTCAGGCGACTTCGTGCTGGGATCAATGATCACAACTTCGGATTCGCTGACGAAAGACACCATGAGATCTTGTTCAGGCGACTGATCCATGTAGGCGCCGGGAGACGGATCGACGCGGAGTTCCTCTTGATCAGGCGACTCGGGTGTATCCGTGACGGTGACAAAGCTTTTACAAGATTGCAAGGTTCTCACAATGTCCAGTCTGAGGCCCTTTTTGTTTCTCGGATGAGAGGGGACCAGGTCTTCGTCGCTGAGGATCGGCTCGTCCGTTTGGGATTCCGGATTCTCGATCTCCAATATTTGTACTAAATCGTGTCCTTGACTACCCTCGTTGACCAACGCCTGACAAAGAGAATCGTTGCTATCCGCTGATAAGTCTACCACCATTCCAGGTTCGAAGAGAACGTATTCCTCCTGCATGTCGCCTTCCAGCGTCCCCGATATCACGTCGACCAGTTCGGAATCTCCGAACTGGTCTATGACCGTAATATCGTCGCTGTCTCGTTGCGCAGTGGAGCTCAAAGTTACCTCCGTGTTCACAATGGTTTTATCGTCGTCGTAGTCGGTGGTGTCGGGTATAGGCTCCATCTTGCTGCTCGGACTACCCAGAGTTAAGGGCCCGTTATCGGACAAAGACGTTGTTTGCTTGGTCTCTATGGTGGTCGGTGGTGTCTGAGGTGGTGTTCGTGAATCGTCATCGAAATCATTGTAGTCTGCACACACTAAAGAATTGATTTTCGACTGTGGTATACCAGTCTTCCTGTGTACCACCACGGAAGTGTTCGGTTTCTCGTCTATATTCAACAAGTGCGATTCCGAGGTTTTCCCTTTGCTGGTCTCCGCCTTAGTCGACCACATGGGAGAACCACCCCTCAGTCCGAGTTTGAAGTATCCATACCTTCCAAAAATGTTTGCAAGCGGTATCGGATTCATTGGATTATGCGGATTGCCTCCACCTCTGTTCGTGTGATCCGTGGAAGATGTTTGGTCTTGCGTATGAGATTGTTGATGCTGATGGGACTGTTGTAACTGCTGCTGTTGTTGATCATTCGTTACCGTCATGTTGTTCGAATTCGGAGCGTAAGAACCATGCGGTGTATGCGGTGTGTGTGGAGTGTGCGGTGTTCTCGGTGTTCCTGGATTCTCTACGCTTTGAGGTCGATCCGGCATCGCTGGACTGTTGCCAGTGGATTGCCTTCTCTGCATCTGCATGGGCGAACCACCGACCATCGGACTTCTCGGCATCGGAGAACTGGGCGGTTGAGACGTTTGAGGATGGTGAGTGTTGTTCAGTTGATGCTGCAGCATCGGCGACGTCGAAGGATGATTACGAGACATCGGGCTGGTTGGTTGATACTGGGATATCATCGGTGAATTCGGTGGATGATGAATTCTCGTGTTCATCGGGCTAGGAGGTTGAGAAGTTTGGCTCAATTGTTGTTGAAGCATCGGCGAGCCCATTGTCTGTTGAACCATAGGACTGCGAGGCATGGGTGAACTCGGAGGTTGTCCATAATTTTGCTGAATCTGTTGGTGAAGTTGAGGACTCGGAGAATTCGCAGGTTGGGAGACCATCGGAGAACTTGGCGGTTTCTGCATCGTGTGTTGTTGCTGCTGCTGCTGTTGTTGTTGCTGTTGCATTTGCAAAAACTGTTGCCTCTGCTGTTGTACTATTTGTTGCTGCTGCTGCTGTTGTTGCAGCATTTGCTGTCTCTGCTGTGCCATTTGTATTGTACGCTGAGTAATAGCGTTCTGGCCATCTTGAAGAATACCAGCGTTCTCGTGCTGCTGCTGAATAATTTGCTGTCTCTGGAGCATTTGTTGATGTTGTTGATTTATCAGAGATTGTTGCGTAGGTTGAGGACTTCCGAGCGGCGAACGCTGTCCATATACAATTCCTCCTTGCAGTTGCAACCGGGGCCTTTGTCCAGGCTCTCCCACAGCCGGTGGACGGACGAAACGTTGAGTCAGACCGTGAACTCGAACAGTTTGATCTCCGATGATTTGCTGAGCGTTTCGAGTATCCGGAGTGAAGGCGCCCGGGCTGGTCGCAAGTCTTCCACTGATGATTGCACGATGTTGCGGAGACGTCATTCGATTCCCTGAAGGGACACACATCCCAGGCGATGGCATAGCACCAGGACTGAAAGGACTTTCCTCGTTCTGCGAATGCGGAGTTCCAATCCTAGGAGACTGTTGCATATTGTGAGGCGACATTGTTCCTGGATTTCCTGACTGAGGATTTCCAGGACTATGTTGCAGTAACGGTGGATTCGGGCTATGCTGGATGATGGGGGTAGCCGGTGAATGCTGTATCATGCTTGCAGGAACATTTCCAGGTCCCGGGCTTTGAGAAACCAGCGCAGCAGGACTGTGCATCGGTGATTGTTGAGATGGCGACATCAACGGTGAACACGGTTCGCTATTTTGTTGCTGAGGTTGTCTCTGTTGCTGTTTACTATGATAGTCTTGTATCAACATGCCGTGCTGACGAGTTTGCTTGCGACTCGCGTCCAGATGTTTCTGCAATATCGCTTGCTCGCTCGAGATACGTTGCAGTTCCGCTGCGTCGTTCTCCGTAAGTTCGTTCCCAGATTTTCTTAGCTGACGTTGCTTGCTATTGAGAGACTGTAAAATTCGGAGAAAATTTAACTGTAATGAGACTGTATCGTTTAGTATGCTATAAAAAAGAAAACACCGCAACATAAAAACATTCTATCCTTACTTTTCGTATTTTACGCAGCTTTTGTACCTCAGTTTCGTAATACTTCAACTGTTGTGTCAACACTTGGTGCTGGTGATTTAGCCACTGCTCGTACTGCAGTTGTACTTGACGATCCTGTTCGTTTACAATGTTCTCCGGTGGCGTTGGCGGAGCGGGAATCTGAGAGATGTTAAACGTAGCAACCCTTGCTGTAACAGGGAAAATATAAAGGTTCGATTTAAATATGAACTTAAAAGTTAAGTATCAAACTTATTTCTGACACTAACGTTCAGGTGGAGTCTGGGTAGCAATAGGTTGCCTGGGCACTTGGGTTGCTAGTTTTGTCGCATCCGGTACTGCCTGTTGCCAACTGTTACCTGGAGCGGATGGCGGTGTTGGTGTACAAGGTGGCCTAATTACAGGAACTCCTCCAGGTACTGATGTAATTCCTTGTGGAGGAGAAGCAAGAGGTGCAGATCCCAAAATATCTGCTTTAAATCTTTCAAACTCACTGTCACTTAATAGAGATCCTCCAGAAGTCGTACTGTCGCTTTGCTGCTGCTGCTGTTGTTGTTGTTGTTGTTGCTGCTGCTGCTGCTGCTGTTGTTGCTGTTGCTTTTCTTGTTCACGTTTTTCTTGCTCCAACAATTCCTCCAACAATAATGGTTGTTCCTGTGAACACGACTACTAACAGCTTATCGAACCTCCAACCATTTGATATAATATTATGTAAAGAAATACATTCTTAATTTAATTGAAATGATAATATGCAATCGTATAAATTGATATATCATGAATTTATTAGACAGTGAAATAAAGCACACTGATCACTCTAATCAATGAAAAGAATACAAACATGCAAAGATACTACTTCTACGATTATTTTCATCAACAAAAACAAATCATTTTAATGATAATTTTGAGTGTATAATTTTGATAATGTTGAATCAAATATCATGATGAAGCTTAATCCTTTCCTTATTTAATAACATACATGCACACGTAAAAATGCAACATATTTTAGTTGAACGAAACCTCGTTATAAATACAGTCACTGATTAATAATTGCATCTTTTTTTTCATGATTAGAATTTTCGCCATCCAAGGATTACACTTGCTCCTATCATCAATTATGATTTATATGGAGGGAAAGAAAAGAATACTAGTGCAGAAATACTGGGGAAAAAAAAAAAAAAAGAAACTTGACGACATAATCGTTGACTCTTAGTATCATTGCAGGTGATACTTTGTGCTGAATGCTGTAAATTCCCCAAGTCTTGCTCACCTGCAGAAGCAAGGGTCTTCGGTGAGGGTGAGGTGTCATTGCGGGCGTACCAGTATGTACCACAGGGGCCATTGGTGGACCCGCCACGGGTACTGGGTGCCCTATATGGACTGGGGGCCGCGTCATACCCCGCCCACCTGGGCACAGCCCCATCTAGACATGCACCAACACCAATGCATTGCAAACACCCAGGCGAAAACACCATTTTACCAGCCAATACTTTTATATTAAATAAATTACTTGTCTACGGCTACCGTTCATAGCATATTTCAGATCTCATCGTCTCGCTCGAGTTTACTTATGTATACTTAACAAAACTTGACACCTCGTATTAATACAATCACGTGAATTCAAAATGCTACAAAGTTACAATGAAATACAACTTCAGCTCGATTTCACGTCGATTCAAATACACATGTCAGTAGAATATTACAATCTCTAATGTAACACGTGAAAATTGATATTCAATCTTCAACGACGACGACATAGTTTTCATTATTCGTGTTACGTACTCCTTGAAGCGTTTGTTGCTTATTAGGCTACAAGAAACTCTCGTCTCCTCGTAGTTAGAGAAAAGTGTTAATATAATTGCGTAAAAAATACTCAAAATTAAAGCGATGCAAAAAACTTGAGAACATCTAGGCTGCGTGTAACATTTACAAACCTGTATAGGTCCGGGATAAGGCGGCGGTGGTCCAGGATACGGAGGTGGAGGTGGCGGGGGTGGTGGCGCCAGTGGCATACGTGGACCGATCATGTGATTCACTGCAACCACTCTACCAGCCACGTTTGGTACACCCGTTACTCTCATACTAAGACGTTGCTGTGGAGTTACTGCAATTAAAAGAAAACATCACAGAAAGGTATTACTTAAAAATTTCTTAAAATCCTACATAACGATACAATTTAATATGCATACCTTGGATATGCGTTTGTGGTATTCTTTGAGGGTGTCCTGGGAATGTGGACGGATAACTGACCGTGACGGTGTTAGTCGACGTAACAACTCCAACTGCTCCATCAGGCGAAAGCAACCGAGTTCCTGGAGGCATAGGTCTTCCCATTGCCGCTGCTTGTTGCACGTGCTGATGCATTTGTTGCTGCACAACAACAGCTTGAGCATGCGACTGAGGCATAATCGTAGATGGTTGCTGCGGTGTTTGAGACGCGGTAATGGGAGCTACTGTTTGTGCTTGCGTCGGAGCATTGGACGTTTCTGTAGGTGTTTGTACAGTGGTTGTCGTACACGTGTCACTCATATCTGAATGCACCGCGCTAGTTCCGCTTAATTCATTCGATTTTCGCTCCTCGTCCTTAACTTCTTTCTTCTGTTTCTCTTCCTTGGTCTCCACCTCGACTTGCTCTAAATCTAAATCAAGTATATTTGTTTTCTCGCCACCGGTTATGTTGTCTAATTCAGGATCCGCGTATTCCAAAATATTAAAATCTGCTCCCATTTCAGCTGCAATGAGAAAATAGCTTAATATATTTGAAACTCCTCGAGAATGTTATTTCGAGTGTAATCGTTCACTTACCAAGGAGTTCGTCATCATCGTCACCTAATTCACCTAATATTGCACTCACGCCCTCTCCTTCGACCTCGACCATCGGCGCTCCTTCTTGTTCCAATTTCTCAAGCTCTGCAGTCACATTGTCCGGAATCTCTGATGGTTCAGACGGACTCACAGTAGCTTCGCTAACCGTCGTTGGTATAAGAGGTGCTCTTGTCCCAACCGCTTGCGAACTTAACATCCTAATTCCTTGATTTAAATTATCCTGAGGTGCTCGTACAATGCGTTGACCCATATTTTGACCTTGACTGGTATCTATAATCATTACTTTCAATAATTGAACGGTCAAAAATTTCATTCAATTTTAAAATCTGTAACATGAAGTACATCTGCATACCTGGAAACCTTTGTTGTTGTAAAACATCATAAGGTTCTGTAATAGAATTTCTTACAGCTGGCATTCGCGTCTGTATAGTTTGATTCCCTTGAAAATGTTGTTGAGGTATGCTCGCAGCCACCTGCGGTCTTTGCAAAAGCATCCTCGTACGTGGATCCATATTCTGAACCCTGGCATCCACGTTCCCTGCCACAGGATGCCTCGATGTTATTCCTAGACATTAAATAACAAACCACGATAAAATACACATCGTCAAATATAACAATAAATAACAGAAACATACCAATTTGATTTCTTATCAGAACATTTGGCTGCATAGGCATCCTGGGTCTGACAATACCAGGAGGAAGAGGATGCCTGAAAGTACCTTCACCCGTGTTGCTTGTCGCTTGAGAATGTTGCGGAAGTTGTACATGAGCTGTGTCGAATTGCTGTTGGTTATTTTCAGTGTTGTTCTGACCATCTGAAAATCAAGATACTTGTAGATATTTGACTCTAAAAATATTATGTCTCTTAATATACAGCCAGTTAACGTACCTTGGTTCCACGTAGTGCTGGCAGGTTCCATCTTTTTACTAAATTGTTGTCTTTGCAAAAGATCACGTAACTGTCTATTCACTTCTGGTTGTTGATTGAACACTTCAGGCTGCTGCGAATCTTGTCGAGATTCCGGCCTCGGCGAGGAGTAATTTGGAGCGGGCGAGGGAGTAGGAGGCTGGCTACTGTATGGATCAGGTGTACGAGATGGTGCATATACATGGGTAGAAGGACGAGTAGTAGGAGCATTAAACATAGGCCTTGGTGTACCTGGTGGTTGAGGAAACACGTCGCTTCTGGGAGACGTGGAATACGAGGGTGTACCAGATATCTGTGATCTGGGCGTTTGGGAACCTTGAGAGTAAGCATCGGTATTGTCAAAACGTTGAAAATGGTCCTGAGATTGCGACGAGGCTGGCGACTGTGGGAAATCGTGAGGGGATTGCGGAGCTTGAGGAGAAAACGGAGACGGTGGTTGAGTGAAATTGTTCGGCATCCCAGGCCTAACCACTGTCCCAACTGGACGAGTCATGGTCGCACACGGTTGATTGGGTAAACGTGGTATACCTTGATGAGGGCTTTGCGGTGCTAATCCTCGCGTAACTTTCACAGGAGGTGTCGCAAATGTATTTCGTGACCCAGGTGATGGCGAGGCTAGTGGTCCCATATGAGTTCCATCCTATATAATTTTCATAAAATATTTAGAAAGATGCTCCTTCCTTACATTTCTATATAAACTTGAAATTATAATATAAATTTTACCTGTGACGTAGACACTTGCAATTGTGTGGTTAATCCTGTGGTATTGTCATTACTTATTTGAGTTGTATTGTCTTCGCTTATTTGTCTATGAACTCTAGCGATAGCTGTTAAGCAAATACTCATTAGACATGAATAATATCTAAATTGCATTATAGTTAACATGTGTAACTCTATGTTATATACCATGTACACGCTGTTCGTGAATAACTTGTTGTTGCATCTGTGCTTGTTGCTGGCGTAATGCTTGTAATTGTTTCCATTGACGTTCTTGTTCAGCTTCTCGGCTAGAACGATCTCTATTGGAAAGTCTTTCTTGTTCCTGTTAAAAATGATTTTATTAGAGGCAAGAAATGGTTGTAACAGAGGATCATTATATTCTTGAAGTCATTGTTATTGACACCTACGATCAACATGATTAAACAAAGACACGTTTTTCTTTTTAATGATTGATTAATTAAATAATGAAGAATATAATGATCCATTCCTTTTTGAAGCAATATAAAATATACAATAAGGCAAATTGACAGTCAGCCAAAGTGTACTTAAAGTTTTAACATTCAAGTAAAATGATGGCATATTACTAAATTAATATAATTAGCAAAATCTGAATTCTTCTGTATGTGCAACACAGTTATAACCAGCCACCATCTAGAGTAAATATTATGTACTTAAAGATTCATAAAAAAAAAAAGGTATGTATATATTTTAGCACATATAACACCCATAAACATTCGTCTTAGATTAATTCATAATAGTTTCATGCATTTGTTCCATTGTACACCGAGAAATATACGATTAGAAGTATCAGACTTTTACTTTGTTATAGATAAATAAAAATAAAGAACAATTTGTTATGTTGATCAAATACTACACCGGTTTTAAATTGTATCATTAGCGGCTAAAGATTTTGCCAGTGTTATTAAGTATAAATTAATAGCGTTAATTAACTACACAACTGTAACAATATAAATACATTAAGTACAAAAGCTAGGACTACTAGTTTTATAAGTCTGAAAATATAAAAAGCAACAAAAGTTAGTAAAACTGACTACATCATTGTAGGTGGGATACAACGTACTACATTGCAACAAATATCTACAAACAACTCATAACATAAATCATAAGCAATATACTTATTGGGTATACAGGAAGGAAATTACATATTTTTCAAAAAAATATTTCTGGAATAATCAGGAATAGGAATAAAAAGAAAAAAAAAAAATTGTGCTACCAGTTGTCTTCAACATGCCACATTCAATGTAATAATAATCTATGTAAAATAAAAAATTTATAATAATACAGTTTAACGTAAAATCAAATGAAATTTACACATATATATATAATGAAAAGTGTCTGATCAATTAAAATAAAATATATACATAGGCAACACTAATCCATTACATAAACCAACAGTCTGAAATATAAACTAAAATCAAGGATACATTAACAGTATAAATTATTTTAGACATCAGGCGCTTCAGACTGTTGGTAAAAGTAATTGAATTATCACTAGGATCGTTGCAAGACACTACAAATTCTAATCTTTTTGTTCTAAGAAAAAAAAAAAAAAAAAAGTGGACAAGGAACACAAAATGTCGATCAGACACGTGGCACAAGGCAAGACACTAGAGGCACAGAATAGGTGGCTCACCATAGCCGGGGACTGTACAGGTACAGTGTGAATAATTGCAGTGGGTGGCGGATCGTAGTGCTCCTGGCTGAGGGAGGGAAGGGTGCGCATGATTTCAGATGGGGTGAGCACTCTAATCTGGTGGTCTACCGAGGATAATTGGCGAACAGGACCTACCCCCACCATAACGTTGGTAGTGGGGGATGACTGAGAAATGCTCAGACTGTTAGCGATAGTACTGGTACTGATCGTAATGTGAGCAGGTGTAGGACGTTGCTGGGATGGTGACGTTTGATGCTGCCCTTCACCGGCGCCCGTGTTGCAGTAAGAAGAAGAAGAAGCAGTTGCTGATGTGCAAGGCGTGGCTGGCGACTGAGCTACTCTAGCCTGGCTACCGGATATCTCTTGGTGTGCCAGGCTGTTAATGGAGTTAACAGAGTTGACAGAACTGGGCCTGGGTGAAGAAGAAGGGGTCGTGGATGTTGGAGAAGGACTCGGGGAAGTAGATGTTAGCTGCTTCGGCGGTCCCTGCACCGCACACACCTCCGCATGATGATTACTGCTAGCTGTTGACACTGTCACTCCTGTTCCGGACACAGTCATTCCATTCTTATCCTGTGTTTTATCACTGCCCACCGAGGCCAAAAGTCCGATCTGCCTTTGGTTGGAGGCCATAGCTACTACTGGAGAAACTTGAGCTGATGTCATAGTTGTGACAGGTTTGGTGATGATGGTAGGTGCACTTGTTGCAGTGACTGGGGTCGTGCTTGGTATATCCTTGGATATCTGTCGGTTCAAGGGGTGCCTCGTTCACACACTTATAGTATTTTTACGGCTTACAATATTTCCAAAATACATCATACAAAGGTAACAGTATAAATTTTTCCAAAGGATTTCTAAGGAATCTCGAAGGACCGCTATTAAGGGAAGCTAGATTTATATTGGTATTCCTAAATAATCAAATTAGCATCTACGCTTCTAACGAAATTATGATTTGTGACCGAAGAATGGACACTGTTAGAAAGATGACGATTTTAATTTTTAATGTAAGTAGAGAATATGCTTCGATATTTGTGTAAATTAGATAACGTAGTAACATTCATGATGGTGATTAACATAAAGGATAAGCAATCGTATATTATGTCCAATATAGATTAAATATACTTCAATGTAGCGTATAGTGATTTGAATGTATATGTTGTGCATGTAAGTTATTTTCATTATTTATGAATTCTTTACACTATACGTTTTCTTCAATATTCTCATCTGTACATTATCAACTTTCATGAAATAGATTAAACAAATAAAACTTGACTAATTTCAAATACGGGTATTGGACACAAAGGACAAGCTGTTAGTTTGACCTGTGTGTTAGCACAAGACATTTTTTTAAGATGAAAATGGATACATATCACATAAAGATTCACGCTTCTCTGTCACCTGCATTGCTAACAAGATATCTAGATATTAACCCTACCTGTTGGGTCTTTTTCATACGAATTGCAGCCCTGTTATCCCGCGCCAACGTTAGGTATGGAGCTTTTTTATCATTTGGAAGCGCACGCCACTTCTTCAATATTTGTTTGCATCTTTCTGACCAAGCTTAAATAAAACAGGTAGATTTATGGTCGAATTACGTTTATATTAATAATAACGAGAAAAAAAAAAATGAATTACACATACCTGGATATTCTGTCTTCCATTCCGGATGGTTAAGATTAGCATACAGTACGGAAGATATAGTTGCTCCTGAACCTAAAGCTTCATCAGCTTCCATTTTAAGATTACTTCTTTGGTTGTATGAAATTGTAGTACTGCCTGTTTGCGTGGTACCCTCGTCATCAGGGTTAACCCACGGACTTCGTGGCTCAGAGATAGCAGGGCTAAATTGGGGACTACTATATAATGGAAAGATAAGGAAAGGATTAAATAAACATGTTGTTTCATTAATTAATCTTAAATTACATGTAAATATATACGTACTTGCTGTATTCTGAATGGTACGGAGATGGTGGTGGAAAACTCATTGGAGAATTTAAAGTCGATTGACCAACAGAGGGTAGTGAACCTGGTACTTGAGGCCTTGGTATAGGCATCGTTGTTTGTATACCTATAAATTTCACGATTAATATTAATTATTCTTCACGGGACCGCCCGTGGGTCGGGAATCTGAGGAAGGGGAAGTTTAGGCGAGGGCCAGGAACCTCAAAACCCCGGGGAAACCTAGGATTTTAGATGAAATTATATAAAAATGATATATTTACCAGGATGCGGCGAAGGAGACACAAGAGGCGTCGTAGTAGATGACGGATGTGGAGGTTGAGTTTGAACCGGAAAAACTGACGATTCTTGAGATTCCTGAGATTCATCAGTTAAAACTCCTTTGAATATCTCTTCAATGTCTTTACTATCCATATTAGTTAAACCTGATAGAAATATAATAAGAAAGTTGTACTATACTAATTCAACAAAAAGAAAAGACAAATTGTTTCATACATTATGAAACTTACCTGTATCTCTGACCATTGATTCTAAATTGAAATGTGGACTAAGAATGTCTGTCAGCTCGTCTTTAGACGTGCCTGGGGTGTCGTCCAGTTCATCCAAAGCTTCGCTAGCTTTTGCTAAATCTTCATCTTGTTCGTTCATGATAGTATTAACAAGATCACTGTCAAGTAAATCGCTTGAAATAGGTAATATATCACCAAGAGCTTCCGTATCGCTACCATCGTCATCCATCATTTCTTCCCGCTTGATCGGTGTTTCTGAAGGTACTTTATCTTCTTCTTTTTCTTGTTTAGCTTTAACTTGTTCCATCGCTTTCAATTCATCCTGAGACAGCTGAATGGTGTCCGCATTTCCAGATATATTTCGTTCGCTATCCGATTCGCTACTACTTTCCAGTTCTTTATCTTTGGTGGTATCCATAAGATCTTTCCCAAAGAATGCCTCTTGCATGTAGGTTGGAAAACATTCAGAAAGTTTTGTCTTTGGTTTCCTTCTCTGCGGTTTCCTGCGCGGTTTATCATCGTTAACACCGACCGTCGAATCAGATGGTTTTTCAGGATCTCCGTCTTCTTCTTTATCTTTACGAGTACCTCTTATCCTAACGATAAAACCTCCGATGCCGAGCTTTTGTAAGTTACGCTGACGTTTACGTCTTAATATTGGTACACCATTTTCGGTAGTATAAATACTAAAACCTTCGGGCGGTGGTTGATCGCCGCGTGGTGTCCATACCATCCCTTCTTTCAGTACCTCAGTAGGTTCATCTTTAACATCCGATAAATCTATTTTCCCTCCATTTTCTTCTAAAGAATTATCTAAACTTCCACCGGCAACTACAGACTCTATCGTAGCCATTATATCAGCTTCCTTATCTATCAGATGATGCATTTTTCTTCTCTTCTTTCTCGTTTGTTGGTGTTCAGACGTTAACGATTTAATGTGATTCATACCAGCTTCGGACAAATAAACACCGTCAATCAAATATTGTTGCGGGGAAGGTTTGTACAAATCGGGGCTGCGCGACGTTGGCGGTGGAGAACGGGGATATTTATTTGGCTGTGGTTTAGATTGACTTGATAAAAGATGCGGCGGTGGGACATCTCTTGGACGACAAAGTATACAAATATAACCTTCTTCCGCACACTTTTCAGCCTCTGCCTCACTTTTGATCGAGTCACACGCGCAATGTAACCACCTTTCACATTGTATGCATTGTATTATCAGGTCTCCCTCGTTGTATGTTTCTTGACACGATATGCAGGCAGTGTGCGACGCGCATGGACCACACTGAGTGTAATTCTTTTGCCAACTACTATTGAATCCTGGATCGTTCGAACCACACGTTTGACAGTGCGCACACCATTTGCACTTCCACGTACCGTGCGGCACGTAATCGAGCGGTGGATCCATACAGTAAATATGATAACTGATATCACAATCATCGCATAAAATCAAACGACCCTCGTCGTTCCTTTCGCCGCAACCCTCGCACACTGTACAATCAAGGCACCGCCAACCCTTCTGTAATATTACTTTAGTAACTTTGACATTAGCGCAATAAGGATGATAACATTGACCACATTGCGCGCAAGCAATTAAACACCCCTCTTGGTCAGTGCCAATTGCACCGCACATCACACAAATATCTTGAGTCAATACAAATTTATCTTTTGCTGAACATAACACAAGTCTATTCTCGATGCCTGGTTCATCTTCTTTCGAGAATGAGTCCGACATTGGCCTCTGAAATGAACAATAACAAATTTAAGTCCAATTTTCTCAGGCTGATTATTACCGGTAATTATCAAAGAAATATTTAGTAAAAAAAGAAAAATGTTACCTGTAGTCCTACTCCTGGTACTCCAAAGATACCTCTCATTTTTGCCTTGGGACCACGTTTCCTTCCAAATTCTGTCATCTTTTGCCGTTTTTGATATCCAACCTTGCCAATTCCTTTCGGTCGCCCGATGATACCACCGCCGAGACCTAATCGTTTCTTTGCTATTTTAGACGCACAGAATGGTTTACCCTTTCCAAGACCTATAGAATACAGCGTTTCCTCTGATCCCCCTTGATAATCGAACTCAGACGAATCTCCATCACCGTACAGACTTTCTTGCGACGCGCTTAAACTCAAATCACCACCGTAATCGTCGATATTATCTTTCCTTTTTACAAGTGCCATATTTTTGCAGTGTAAACAAATATATTCATAGTCAGGTTTAGCTTCTTTACGGTGTTGGTAAGTTAATGGATCAGCCTCAGGGTCACAGGTACCATGAACAAACTTTTTACATGCACTACATTGAACCATTTCTCTATACGCGGCAGCCCGATACGCCTTTCTACAAAGGGGACACGAAAAACCTTTGTTCCTTTGTTGGTAACACGAATCACATACAGTGTAATGGGAATGCCACCGTGATGAAAGACCAGCGCCTGGTGTACGGGAACCACAGTCTGTACATACACGGCAGCACTTACACTTCCAACCGTATTTAGGTATAGATGTAACAATTGGTCGTAAACAACTAGGATGATACGCTTTCTCACAACGTTCACACAACATTACTTTCGATACATCCTCCGGTTGACGGCACACTTGACATACTCTGCAAGATACACATTGCCAGCCGGCCCTTACGCCAGGCAGAAGTGCCAAACCGACACAACTACCATGGTAATGTTGGCCACAGATGGAACACATTACTAGGTTGGAAACATCTCCCATCCCACAGCACTGTATACAAGTAACATCACCATTCACTAGAACAAAATATAACGTATAAATCTGTACGCTACTCTACTCTACTTAACAAATAAGATAAAATAAAGACTATCACATAGGACTTACACAAAAGTGGAACTTGTCCCAAGTGCTGACTGCAAAAAAGAGACAAGGTTTTCGTATCCTGGAAACAACTCGAGGCTGCAGCGCATGGTAAATGAAAATAACGATTGCACGATGCCACCTGTATAGGAATAATATTAAACTGTATATTAAATTGATACGGTAGAATGTTTGAATCATAATAAACGAGTATTAACTTTGCAAGGAATTCCGGCTCCATAATGAGAACAATAAGCGCAACGTCTCGAAGAAGCCTGTACTATTGTTGGACTCAGCGCTTCTGTTGTTAATTCTTGGGTACCGTTTGACCATACTGCACAAGACTGATGAACATAATAGTGCCCGATTGATTCAAATAATGTTCCGATTTCCGGTTCCTCCGAATATCCCACTATGGTTAATTCCTCCACTGGTTCCGTAAAATTTGTTAGACTAGTATTTCTACGAAGAATAGAAATTGAACTGCAGTAATGTTAATAATGTTGTTTATTATATATATGTTTATATTCATTAACATCGTGAAATAGAATTAATACCTGCACTTAGCTAGACTCTTCTGTCTACGGCAAGTGACAGCACCAGGACCCACTGTACGCGGACTTTTGTCCCCGGTGGTTATATCAACAAGATGGTCAGTTGTATCGTCACGATTGGTAGACTTTTCAGGGGTGAAACCTTCGGGACAGGTAAATCTTAATAATTCACCCTGCCCTAGCTGACTTCGTTCACCCAAATTACAGAAAGCGCATACTTTGCCAGGCCTAAAAAAAATGACGGTATTTTATTATAACTGACGTTCGTTTAAAAAGAATAATGAGGGGTAGTAAATATTTGTACCATTGTTCTGGAAAGTATGGCGGTTCTTCTGGTGCTGGCATGCATCTCTCGCTGTTAGACGTCTCTCCGTCAGGAGTAGCATCTTCACCGAGACGAAGAGGACTTGGGGATTCTGAGTGCGTATCGTCATCTTTGCTTTTAGTACGTCGCGGTACACCTCTTGCGTATCCAAGACTATACAAAGCGTAATTCGTTATTTCGAACAATTTTAATGTACAGGTATATTCTTGGCTCAATTCAATGAAATACTACAACTACTAACCCTTTACCCCTAGTAGTTCCTCTTCCAAAAGGTCTACGAGTACCTCCTCCGCGCGTAATTCCAGGTGGACGTTCTTTCCTAGGTCTACCTGGACCACGCCGAATATTCAAAGGTTTACCTCCAGGAAGTGGAAATTTCTGGTACCGTAAAGGATCATGAAAAGCTTCATCCGGGGTTACTGCAAGAGAAACAAACTTTTGTGCTTCCTCTGAAATGATATACAATTTTTTACAATGACATTATATATTAAGAAATTTCGAAACGATCGAACCATCATTTACGACAGACGCGTCGAAGCATGTTTAGGGATACGTATATTGAAACGTATGTACTTACTGTTACCAGGAGTTGTCGACGAATGGCCAAGCAATTGATCCGAATTGGCTGGAGAAACAGGAATCCCTGTTGTTTCTTCATCTTCATCTTCACCATCAGAGGCTTCGTCTAATTCCATTTCTTCCTCACCCTCAAGACGCTCTTCATCATCCATGGCACCTCTACTAGACCTGTGTTGCTATGTAGTCCTGTGGATGAAGAAGCATAAGATTTGTAAGATTTATTTGTAATTTATTTGTATAAAAATTAATAATATTACCATACATATTTAGGTATGAAAGTAAAATTAAATTTGACCTTGATTACATCTTCAATTCTTGCATACTTTTTGAAATAAAATCTTCTACATTTCCACTGATAATTCTCCTTTCTAGTTTTCTTGAAATTAATGCATCTTTATGAACAAAACAAATCCCTCAAATGCTCCAAACTGGCACAACATATAGACTTTCAGCCCATAGGCTGTTGATCAGTAATCAGTTGCATTTGAATCAACTTTTATAGGTATCAATACTATAAGTGCATAGCTTTTAGTAAGGAAATGTTATTTTTTATGATAATATCATTTAACTATGATCACTTAAATCCATTAAAATTTGAATGATTATGCAAAGATTTGGGTGTTTTCCATTCATCAGAATGTAATCAAAAGCATTTATAAATGAAAACTTCTAATTATACGAGAATTATTATCGATAATTCACATATAAATGATTTACAAAACATATCAATCGTTTTCTGACGATCGAGCGCTTATTCCCACAGGCGTATTATAAATTCCCCATGGTAACATTACTTTTCATTGAAAATAAAATTATTAGTTTCGCTGAAAAGCGGGTTTCGCTGTTAACGAAAACACTGGTATCGTCTCCGTGTCTGAATTCATATAGGTTTTAATCTCTTTACAGTAAAGACCTCAGTCAGCTACAGCAGGATGGCGTGCCGCTCGGCAATCGGCGGTCATTCCACAGTGGGGAAAACCGAGGCACTATAATCACCGACGGTATACCACTTTTCATCACCGTGGATCACAAATTGTTCTTGTCACTATCAGACGTATCACCACAGACGAAGGATCGTAAACCGGCTGAATTAATCCCTGCACAATTAACTTACGCTAAATAAGGTAGAGATGAAATTTTGTTGGCACGGCCTTTACGGCGACAGTACGCCATTGCTATGTCAGAGTTTGCAGGCTATAAACATACCCGGGCCGCCCGTAACCACGCCGGATCACGTACCTTTCAGTTACTGTTGTCTCCTTAGCAGTTTCATGGCGGCTTTGCACGCGGAATTATCGGGATCCTCGTCGAAATTCGCACGGCTCATCCAAGTAAACATCTTGTAGTAACAGAAAAAAATGTCACAAGCTGCTTGAACGGAAGAGTACGCAACTGACGAAGCGCTAAAGTCACGGAGTCCGGATGTCGGAGGAGAGTTAGAGTGCGCACCAGGTTGGATGGAAGTACGTGCTGCCACCGTCGTGTAATAAACGAAAATGCATCAATACCAGGTGATCGTATAAAGAATCCACCAATGAAACTTTAATTAATTAGTAACGCTCATAATCAGTCGCATAAATGTTTTTAATTTCATTCAAATTCCACAGAAATGGAGATGCATAGGACATTCTGCATAGTAGCAACCATGCTGCACGGTAAGTTTTGGGAATTCATTCTAGATCATTGAACAGATCCAGTGTAATAAAAGAAAAGATACATTCATAATGTTTTTTATTGATCAAATAACATTTTTCTTATAATAAATACAATGCATGTTTATTGCTTATCGTTATATATCAAACTAACAATTAAATACTGGGGTATTTCATTATTTAGTACTATATTCTGTAAGGTTGGTACTTGTCGCTGTAATGTCACTACGAAGTTCAAAAACAGCTAAGAGCGCGTGTATTCTCAGATGCAATAAATTTGCCGCAAAGACGAGACTTCTGACATTCCATGTTCTTCTAAGAAATTCAGTATATTTTTTATCGCTGTGGAATGAAAATAATGGTTACCATAACTTTATGGTAAGTTTGTTTATGTAAAAATTTCTAAATTTGGTACCTTGCTTATCTTTGGCATTCATAAACATATTTATGATTGAAAAACGTTGCACTTGGCTGAATGATTTTAAAAACTTATTAAGTATCTCTGTATCATTGGATGAGCAGAAATGTTGTTCCAGGCAGTGTACAATAGTACTAAACATGTCCCCGTCTAATTCATTTCCTAAAACTAGAACACCCCTCATTAAAAAATCTTAGATCCTTATATTTCATCAAAATACATACCTGAACTTAATTTATCAATGTTCAACGAACGTAGTAATTGAGCATGTACTTTTAAATCAGTATCGTTCTTCAATGACTTCCATGCTTTCATAAAATCGTACGCGCTTTCGATGTTACTGAAATTCTGAAAACATTTCACATTAATTAAGAATTTCTTATAAAATTAGCAAAAACATACCTTTGGAACATATTTCTCTGATTTACTAGTTTTATTTGTATACTTATCAGCTACTTGTACTTTTCTCGGCGACCACTTAGTATCGTGCTTTCCATTCAAATTACAATTTTCTTCAAGATTTCTGTTCAAATTCCTGATACTCGATGCGTTTATCGTTTTGTTATCGCACTTGTTATTTTTATTTACGGTTTTAGATTTAGCTATCTCCTTCGATTCGCTTTTAACAGCCGTGGAATTACTATCGCTAGATTCTCTAGGTATTTCCTCGATAAGGACTGAGCTAGCTCGTTTAGAAGGCACCGAACAAGAGAAAATTGATTTCGGTTTCGTAGTTTGAGGAGAATCGTTCTTTTTCTGCGCATTGAAGGAACGATTATTTCCTTTAGAAGAGGAATCTATAATTTTAGCTGGTCCTGATGTATTTTTTCTCTCAGTTTCAGGTTTCTTAGGAACATTATTTTTAATCGTTACTGTTTGTTTCTTCTCGTCCTCGAGACAATAATCGGCTTTTATATGCGGCCTCGGTCCTAAATTCTGCGAGGGTCCTGGTGCTCTATCACAGAAACATATACTGTTTTCTAAACTCAATCTTTCTTTGAATTGCTCGTTGGAATTTTTCGTAGATTTCAATTTTTCATTTGTATCTTCTGTCTGTTCTTCAATAGCCATCCTGTAAGCATCAGATTCAAATAGATAAAGTTTAATTCATGAAACTTTTTAAATACCATACCTTACTTTTCTAGATTCACAGGGTTTCCTTAATTTTTTCACCCCAGCTATTGCCACAGCATTGGTTGGTTCTAGTTTCAAAACAGCCTCGTAATCTGCTAATGCCTAAACATTTAACGAAGATATAACAATCGTACGATATTCGATGACATACTATTTGTTATAATACCTGAGACGATTTGTCGAGATGCTCTAAAGTCACCGCTCGACGAAGCAGAGCTTTGATATTCTTATATTCCACGCTAAGAACTACATTGCAATCGTCGAGAGCATCTTTATAACGCTGTAGTTTAATATCTAAGGAAAGATATCATAAATCATATACTTGATTATAATTATTTTGCAATGTGTTTCCAATAATTAATTATCTTACACGTCATTGCACGATTATTGAACGCAGTTGTATTCGAATCCATTTTTATACTTGTACTATAATGTTCTAGAGCTTCTTTGTAATCTCCAGCTCTAAACGCCTCATTTCCTTTTTCCCTTTCCTGCTCTGCCATCACGTTCAGTTCAGTTCCGGTCAATGATGCTGATAAAATGATTTTGATTTACTTAAAATAATTATTCTCTGTAATTTTTTTTATTACTATTTAGAAACTTTTCTTATACCTTTGTCGATAATTGTATTTTTCTCCAGTTTCTTTCTCTCAGTTATTTCTTTCTGTTTTTGTTGAAATCTCTTGGCATCGACTCTCTGTTGTTCATCTCGTATATCTATTTTATTTAATTCGGTGTCGACATCGTATTTATCCCAGGCGCCATAGTCGCACGAGGAAAGTCGCTTATTTTTCTTAGTATTCTTCGAATTTATTGCTACAGGTTTCTGATCGGAGGGAAAAATAGAAAAAAAAAAGAGAAAAATATTACTTTCATTTATATTGTTGACTTAGAATGAATAATTTATATACTTCTGTGATTTCTTCTTTCAGTTGCCTGATATCCGGTTGAGGAAGAGGATCTATCAAAGTAGCTCTTCCTTCTTTCAAATCTTTCTCCCGAGACTGCATTTCCGACGTCCAGGTATTTATATCTTTCTCAATTTCTGTGTATTTGTTCGGTTCTAACATGTTTAGTCTGAGAATGGGCTCGGATTTTCTTAATATTATACTTGTCGGTTTGAGAAGAACTAAACGTTCCTCCGCGTGTTTCGTCAAGTCTGGATAATATCCTTCTTCGCCGGAGCTATCAGTACGAACAATTATATTAAGTTTTCTAAGAACTTGAAAACCCCGCCGATTTGTAATTGATACTTACCGAAGTATAGTTACTATTCTTTCCAATTTCTTCCCGTCCGTGCATTCAGAAATGTATTCGTACGAAAGATGTTCTACCGGAACATCGTATTTTTGTAGCAATGATTTTTTCTCGTTTTTCACGACGCGAACGTCTGTATCGTTTGCATTCATAATGCTAGAAGAAAATACCGTGTTGATGGATCTCCTTTTCGTCAGAGTTCAATTACTTCGGTTACTATGGCTACACGCACACCAAATTATCAATTTTATCTACGAAGGTAGTAACATACCAACAATTCATTCCCTTATATTCGATCATTAAACTAGGACTAAAGTTATAACTGCAGTTATTTAATTGAAATATTCGTTAGACAGGCGCCAAAACTTTTATTTAGTGGTTAACCTCTCTTTCTTATCGCATTGTTTGTACCCTCTGGTTGTTTGGCGCCAAATTATAATTTAAATTTAAGTGTCGGTATTTATCAGTCGGTATTTTATCGATATTGCTTAGTCGGTTTCTTACCGACCAGTAGCTACGCGGATGGTGAAAGTTCAGCAGGTTATACGTAGATGGCGCTGGCGTGATAAAAAGCGGCGCTTATTTTTAAAAATATAAACCACTGAGACTTTTTTAACAGAATCTTGCTAGATTTTTAAGTGGCAGAGGATTAATCATGTTACCGAATATTATAAATAATTAAATGATCTCTTGAACTGCATAATTAGAGAAAACCTATGTTATCCATTGAGCTAAATACAATTACAAACCAGACATTAATAACAAATCCAGCACGATAAGCTTCATTCATACCTTTTATCTAAAATATTATTTATTATCATAACAAATATTTTTCGAGCCGATAACAATGGTGTTACGATCCGTGGAAGTATCGAGACTGTAGGAAAAATCATCGTGACCGTAAGAATAAGTGGCTGCCTAGTTACCTGTACCGGCGGACACGCGCTTGCATACTAGCGCTCGCGCATCGGTCTCCGCTTACCTGTTAACACGGCAGTCACCTTGTAGCGTGGAGCGGAACGCCATGTCGTGGTCGAGGCGTGCAGTGGGCACGCTGGAGAGTGCATATTAGACGGCGTGAGGCGCTCAAGCTCGAGCATTCG